TAAGCTCAAAGAGTCTTCCCAACAGCAGGTTAGGAAAAACACCCCTCATGACACAGAATGAGAATCTGAGGAAGAGAACTCAGCCAAAAACTCAGATTTTGATGGGTCTGAATTCCAAGTAAGGTATCTGAGACAGATGTGCCTTGCCTGGCACATGGCAGGTTCTTAGCAAGCACCTTTAGCCTGGGATGGAGTTGTGAAAGCTTAGTCACTTTAAAAGGCATTCAAGACATGCTTCCTGCATGCCAGCGTGCCAAGTACTAGAGGATAGATAGGCAAGGCCCCATTCCAGCTCTCGGGGAGCCCTGGCTCATGAAGTATACTGACCATGCCAAGTGTAGGTGTTGACTAGAAAGCACCCTGCCCCAGAGGAAGAGGTTCAGAGAAGCGCCAATGTCTGTTCAGCTGGATCCTAAAGGGTGAGGAAGCCTTAACGCAGGAAGAAACAGAAACAGCACAAAGAAGGACAGAGTCTGTTCAGAGCCTGGGAGCTGTTCAGGAAAGATGAGGGTGCCAATGAGCATCTTCGGTGGCTCAGATCAAAAGACAGTTCTACAGTCCAGCTCACAGACTCTCAGAAGCCTAGGGGCTTAGGGTTCACTGGGCTACCAACAAAGGACAGTGTTCCTACACGTTGGAGTTGAGGAGAGGAGAGTCCAGGAGAGTTTGTCCCATATCATGATCCTGCTAAGGTCTACAGGTTTCCAAGAAAGAAGGGCTAGGAGGATCCTTACCAGGAAAGGAACCATGGAGGGTAATTAGGGACCAAGAGCAAAACAACTCAAGGGAAGGCTGATGGGACAGAGGAGAGGAAAAGAGCTTTTGGTGGGACCCAGATGAGCTACACTGAAAACAGTCAACAATCTTTTATTAGTGATAGAATCACCCACCAGCTAACAATCTCTCTGAGAGTATGTAGCACCCAATTAAATAAATTAAATAAAACTGTGTAACAAGTTGGGTATGGTGGTACACACCTATAATCCAAGCAATCAGGAGGCTGAGGCAGGAGGACTGAAAGTTCAAGAACAGCCTGGGCTACATAGCAAGGACCCGTCTCAAAAAAAAAAAAAAAACCAAACAAACAAATAAACCAAAACCAAAAGAACTGTGTAACAACCAGGCAGATGCACAGTTTTAGGATAGTTTGGGAAACGGTCCAAGATGTGCCCAGTGTATTTATTCTCAGTCGCCTGAGCACACTTAAGTAGCTGGAGGGAGACCACCACTGCTTACACACAACCAGGAAGGGAGAGCTCTGAGGCTGTGGGCAGACAGGGGCTCCTCTTATATCATCTTTCCCTTATTCTTGCCCATGTAACCCCCAGAATGGGAAAAAAGGCTGGGGAGGGGGTATCACGTGCTTGGCCTTTGTACCCTCAGTCAGTTCTTTCCAAAGTCCAGTCTACTGCTAAGGCTGACATACCACACAGAAGCAGGGATCCTGGAGGGAAACAAAGACAACCCTGAGAATTGTACAACTATGGCTCTCTGGGTCTGAGAAGGCTTTCTTCCAGAGTTCTCATTACAAGAATATCGAAAATATCAACCTGTGGTCTAGAGGTGAGGAGAGTGACCCCCAATCTAAAGGTTCCCCTAAAGCCAAATAGGCACTTGAGACAGAAAAGCCTCTGGAAGAGAAGTGGAGCCATGGAGGTCTGTGCCTTTAGTACCTGACAACACCCTTTTAACAAGCAAACTGGGTCTCTGTGACAGGATGAAAAAGCCACTACCCTACCCCTAATCAACGAGGCAGTAGTTACCAAACTGGCCTTGTGTCCCCTTATTTACACTGCCTTAAGGGCACAATATTAGGAGTTTGTAGTTACAGCCTCCTTTTTCTCACTCACTTTATACACCCTACTAGGAAGACCCAACTCACTCCCCAGTGCTAACTCCACACAGGAATGTCCCTCAAATGCTCTCTAACCCCATGTACACTCCTGGCTCCACAATAACAGACACCCAGCTGCTGCCTGGATGTGTACTCTCCAAACCCAAAGCCCCACATCTTTCCTAGGCCTGCTCCTTTCCCACACACACTGTGTGTGTCACGGTGCTTCACAGGCAGCCACCCAATCTTCAAGTGTCCCCAGCACCCTCTTCCCTCCCTGGCTCTTCCTATCCCAGCCGCTGCTTATTTCAGTCTGACCTCCTTGCTGCGCTTATGTCTCTGGGTGTGCCATGAAGTCAGAGGCCCCTCACTGGTCCCCAGCCTCTGTGTGTCACAGCTGACACTGCCCATCCATCCTCAGAAGACACTAATCTCATCAGCTCGTTCACATGCTATGCTGCTCCTGGGGTTTCTACTGCAACCTCTTGGGCCTAGCACTCAGGGTCTTTCCCAATGTGCTGCCAACTCAGCTTCCTTCCTTTCGCTCCCTGTCTTTCCCCAGACACCTGGAGTTACCCAATGTCCTTCCCCAACAGCTGAGGGTGGAAACCATGGTCCTGTCACTTCTTCCATGCTGTCCTTCTGCCTATAAGACTCTTTCACTGATCTTCCAATCCTGATAGTCCTTTAAAACAAGGCTCAAGGCCTTTTCTGAGTCCCTACCCCCCACAGTTCAGCTGGATGTTAGTCCTTCGAACCCACGGCAAGCTCTGCCCACTGTTCTTGGAGAGACTATCACTGTGCATTCATTTGTTGGTCTCCCCCCCTGCACTGTAAGCTCCTCAAGGACGGACAGCAAACTGCCCTCAATGCTGTGCCCACAGTCTAGCACCTCCTCATATGAAGCATTGAATATGAGTTCAATAAACACATATCAGGAGGATAGAGAAGCTCACTGGATAATGAATTCAGGCTGGCTCTCAGGAAAACCCCTGAGGTTTTGTTTCTTGATATTATCTCCATTTGGAAGGTGATGGCTACACACAGCCACTAAAACTGCTGCTTTGAGTTGAAAAGGGGTTGTTTCTTCCATTTACAGAGTTGTCATAACAGAAAAGGTATGCTCAAACAGGTAAAACATTGAACAGGGCAAACATTAAGTGATTTTTTACAACTTGCTTCATTATCCTGTGTACCTGAAACCAGAAACCATCCAAAAGCAAACACTTAAGCACGTCTTCTAAGGTTAGCTCAGTCTCGAATGAGGATTAGGAGCAATACTGTGTGCCCAAGGTCACTGAGACCTGCTGGACAGTCCTGGCTAGCCAGAGCTTGCAAGGCCTACCTGCAGGTGAACTTGAAGACCCAGGGGAGTGAATTTCACTACTGTTATGAAAACCCAGCCCCGGTTACTAGATTACTTCTGCATCTCAGAAGGTCACCCTTAATCCACTTCAAAGCCACTGAACTAGTTCACTAGCTAACGTCTTTCACTCTGACAACAGAACCACTTAGACAGAACCTGGCCCACCCTGTGCCAGCCAATGGGGGAGCAAAGATGAACATAACATGGCTCCAGTCCTGTTCATAGGGAGACAAGGGTTTAAACAGAGCACTCGCTACCCAATGTCTACTTCCCACAAAGGCTTTACCTGAGTGCCAAGGCCAAGGAGATTAGATGAGGATCAACCCTCAGGATAAAAGGAAGTACATGCGGGGGTCACACAACTAGCTATGATTGATAATTGTAAAATATATGTGACTTTGTTTTTCTTCTTGGTGGGACTGGGGTTTGAACTCAGGGCTTCACACTTGTAAAGCAGGTGCTCTACCACTTGAACCACACCTCCGTCTATTTTTGTTCTGGTTATTTTGGAGATGGGGGTCTCTTATGTTGGAGATGAGCTGGCCTTGAATAGAGATCAAGGGGCTGATCTCAGCCCCCCAAATAGCTCGTTTACAGGTGTGAGCCACCAGAACCTGGGTTATGTGAGCTTTCTTGATCATTTCTCATCTGGGCTGATTCCTGGCTTAAAATGAAAGAAACTGACTGGGCATGGAAGTATGTGCCTGTAATGTTAGCGAGCGAGGAACCGTTCACTTGTCTTTAATAAAGCAAACGCTTACAGGGATGTACTATGTGTTGGGGATAGAAAATGAAATGGAGCCCTTGCCTACAAGTGGAAATTATGGAATAGTTCTGCAAATTGCCTGGAAGTCACCTAATGAATCTGGAGCGCACACACAGCAAAATAAAAAATCTTCTAGAGCTTCCAGCTACCCTGGAAAGGCAGATAGACTCTCCCTGTCTAGGAATAAGCTGCTGAGGAATGACCCCCTACACCACAGCCACTACCAGTCACCCTATACCTGCACAAAGGTTTAGACAACCTTTGGCCTTTAGTCAGTCCAGAGTCCTAATCCGGGAGGCCCATAGCACAACGGTTTTCACACTGCCCTGAGTTACCATGGAAAACCTGTGCCCAGGCCACCAACACCCCTAACCCACGGGCGCCTGACAGGTATGGCTCACCCCGCCAGGTGGTGCCAGCTCTGCCCTCCCGCTGTCTTACTCAAGGGTCCAGGAGCATAGAGCCAAGCTCCTCATTTCCACCTCCAAGGGCACAGCCCGGAGGAGCGCTGCTGCCTGGCGCTGACACCACAGCCAACGGGCACCCGCTGGACAGGGCTCAGAGGCTGGAAAGGTACCTAGACGTCAGGTGGACAGATGTGTCATCCTGGGCAAGTGAAAGGCCTGGAGGAGCTGCAGGTCTCACAGGGCACAAGAGGTCCGAACAGCTGCTACAATTTCCAACGTCCTCGGAAGAGGATTTCCTACGCGGTAGAGACGGAAAGTGCCCCGAGGAAACAGTGACACAGAGGCAGCTCTTTCCGACGACACCGCACCCCAGGCCCGACCGACTGGCAGGCAGTGGCGGGCGGGGCCGGGCCTGCCCCGGAGGGGTCTAGCTCCTGGGCCCACATCACGCCCGCAGCGCCAGGCTCCGGAGCCCCCTCACCCGCGTGCCGCCTCAGCCGCGTCCCCAGCGCGGCCCATGTCGCCTCCCTCAGCATGCCCGCACCTCCGGCCCCCGCGCGGTGACACCAGTGTCCCCCCTCCCCTCGGGCCCCGCGCCTGTCCGCCACGCCCCCCCAGCGCACCCACCTTGGCGCCCCGCGCCTCTGCCTTCTCCGCTCCCCGCGCGACGGAGCTGACCTTTCTGCGCACGCGCCCACGCGGCCCCGCCCCCCGACACGCACCGCCTGCCGCCCACCGCGAGCGCCCCGAGTCCGGGCCCTGCCAGTTCTGGGCATGCGCGCTGGCGCCCAGCGGCGGCTGCGGCGGGAGCATGCGCTCGCGGAGCAGCGGTTCCAGCGCTCAGGGGCGGGAGCGCGCGAGCGGTCCCCAAGGTCGAGCCCATGGGGCGGGGGCTGCGGCGTCTGGCCGAGGGTAGCACCGCGGGTACAGGAACGCTGCTCCCCGGAGTCGCCACATAGCCCTGTCACGGTGGACTCGACCCGCGCATCCGTGGCATCTGGTCCGGAGTTAGCGTAGGGGTACTGGGGGCGGGACCTGTGCCAAGGAGCCCTGAAGGCGAGGCTCGGATATGCGGCAGAGAGCAACAGCTGGACGGAGACCAAAGACGGGGACACAGGGACCAAGAAAGAGACGGGACACAGGCAGAGACACATCTGGAGACAGGGACACTGACACCGGCCGGCAGAGGCAGGCCGGGACGGACGTTGGGGGGGCGGGGTGACCAGAACCGCGGAGTTGTACAGAGGCAGCCATCCTCTCACGGGAGCCATGGCGCCCTCTGCGGGTCCTGGCCAGAGGCGGGGAGTTAGGTCACGGACCCAGCAGCTGTCCACAGGCGTCTAAGATGGCCATAGTGGCTTTGGGGAATTCGAATGCTTTTGAGACGATTACAGCATCAGGGAGTTGGTCACAGTGGCCCGTGGGATGTGCTCAGACCTCTGAGGGGCCCTGGTATCACACGGGGGTTCGTAACTTTCACGGGATATCGAATATTGTGATGCCCCTTAGAGAGGACAGGGTGGAGGAAAAAGATCCTCTGGGCGTGGCAGCTGCCCAAGGAGCCTCCGGGCAGTTCTTCGGAGCCATCACACACCTCTGTTGTGGGCGGAGTGTCGCTGTGATTGTCGCACCCCTCTGCGACTCAGGCATGAGGCACCCAGGGAGGCGTCCGGTGAGGATGGGGAGGGTGGGTGCCCAGATGTCTACGCGCGCGACGCGAGCAAAGACTCCTCGGCAGGCGAATGCACTGATGAACGTGCGCCGTGATGTGCAAGCAGCGCCCCGCCCAGTCCCCCGCCCGGTCCGCGGGCTCAAGCTGTCCCGCAGCGCCCCCGCCGCTCACGCCGCTGCAACCTCCGCAGGCGCCGCGTCCACGCGTCTCTCCAGGGCAGTACGAGACTTCCGCGGGCGGCGCTGAGTCCAGGTCCCCGGCCCCCCGCGCTCCCGGCCGCGGTCCCGGGCCCGCCCCCCAGCAGTAGGTAGCGGCGGCCGGGTAGTAGGCGCGGGCAGCCACAGGCCGCATCACGGGCCGGCACCCACAGCGCACTGCTCCCGCGACGCGCGCGCTCCTCGCCACTCCGGAACACGGCGAGGACTGCTACTGGGAAGCGCGTCCACGCTCCGCGCGCCTCTCCGCCTGCGCCCACCGCCACCTGCACAGCTGCAGGGAGAGCGAGAGGGGGCGGGGTCAGGCGGGCGGGGCCGGAAGGAGGTCGCGTGGAGGAGCACACTGCTCCCACCCGACGTGGGGAGGACACAAAGAGGTCACCCAGCTGAGAAGGGTACATCGAGGACACCGGGGACTGAAAGGGCGGGGCCGGTGGTAGTGAGGTTCCTCAGGGATGAGCCTTGAGGCCCAGCGAGGGTCACAGTATTCAAAGGGGAAGCTGGGGCAGGAACGTGAAGGGGTGGCCGGGCAGCCTACCGTAGTCCTTCCGACAGAACTTCTTCAGGCTGATGCGGTAGTTGCCACGCGCAGGTCTGCAGTGCGACTCGCAGTCTAGGGGGAAGGGGAGGAAGCTGGGAGAGTCCCAGTCCCATGTCCCTCCCCGCTCCTGTCTGAATCCACAGTTCCCTCCCCCAAGGTCATGCCAGCCTGAGACCCTGTTGAGTCACCACTTACCCTGTGGGTCCACAGGGCTGCTCTCTTCAGTGGGTCCAGGGACAGGGGTCTCTGCAGAGAGAGTAGGAGAAAGGCCTTTGATGGTGGTGGTGAAAGGAGCAGGGGGAGCTACAGGGCTTAGGGGGCAGAAGCTGATGTGGCCTTGGCTGAGGTGGCTGAGGCAGGGCAGGGTCACTCACTAACACAGGGTGCCACAGGAGAACGGCTCTGCTGGAAGCCTGGGGCACAGCGGTTACAGGTGAGGCCAGTGACACCGTCCTTGCATGGACACTGGCCTGTGGTCTGGTTGCAGGTTTTGCCAGCAGCCCCAACAGGGTGACAGTCACAAGCTGAGGGCAGAGATGAAAGAGCCTGGTCAGAACCCCATCTGGGGTTTTGGGGACCCAGAGCATGAGGGCATGCAGTGGCAGGTGGCAGGCTCACCTCTGCAAGCACGGCGGTCACTCAGGGCACGACCTGGGTCACGATAGAAACCCTCCCGGCAGTAGTGACAGTGGCGACCAGCGGTATTGTGCCGACAATTGAGGCAGACACCCCCACTGCGGCGGCCGGACAGTCGGTACAGCTCCATGTTGAAACGGCAGCGGCGAGCATGGCCATTGCAGGAGCAAGCTGCAGGGAGGGATGGGTCAGGGGCAGGCCCACCTGGTCCAAGGTCCCCAGGTCACCCTCCAAGGCCTCACCAAGGCAGGCGTGGGCTTCCCGGACTGTAGCCCGCTGCCATGGCCTGTCGCAGTAGAAGGGTTTGCAGCGACCGCAGTCAGGGCCCTCGGTGCCATGCTGGCAGTCGCAGATCAGGTGGCCCTGGGTGTCCAGCAGGCACCTTGAGGCATGCCCGTTGCACTTGCAGCGACCGCCCACCTGGAGCTCAGTGGCTGAGTAGAAGTAAGGGACTGGGGCCTCTGAATCCCTGGTGTCCCCCAGAATGGCAGGCCTTGTGAGCAATATGCGGATATCTGTAGCGGTCACCCAGTCTTGGAGCACAGGGCTACTGTCCAGATCCAGGCCTGGTGGGCTGCCGTCCTGCACACTGAAGGCCAGAAGGCCACCACCATCAGGCTGAGCCTGGGGGGCTGGAAAGCACAGGGCCTCAGGCCCTGGGCCAGCAGGGCCATCATCAGAGACAGGCAGACGGCCATAGTCCGGGCCACAGTGGGATGAGAAAAAACCCAGAGGGGTCCAGCTGCGGCCATGGTCCTGCGACTTGAGCAGGGCCGCGGAGGCGGGAGGAGCTGAGCAGAAGCGTAGGCTGACGAAGACCAGCTCAAAAGCCTTGCCCAGGGGCACTGTGAGGGTCACGTTGAGGGGTGCCCGATGAAGCAAGTCAGAGCGCCAGCACAGAGGGTTTGCTGTGCCCGCTGCCGAGGTCAGGAGGGTTGCAGGGTGTGCCCGCCGAGGGTCCGAGGCGTCGCAGGACCTAGTGGCCGGCCGCCCGCACGTGCTGGACGCCAGCACCTCACGGCCCAGGGCTGCATTCACCAGGCCTGGAACGCAGCCGCGGGGCGCGCCCCCCTCGTCATGGCAGGGGTCAGCGGGCGCCGGCAGCCCCGGGCTTAGTGCAGCGGAGAGCGTGCCGGCGGTCAGCAGTAGCCCCCAGGGCCAGCCGGACATGGCCAAAGTCGCCGTGGGGCAGCCAGCCGGCGGGGGCCCCACGACTCTGCCCTGGGGCAGGGGGTAGCCTCGTCCGAGGGGCTGCCCGCCGGGCCCGCAGTGCCAAGCAAACAGAGCCCCCAGGTGGCCCCAGCGCGGGCCCAGAAGTGGGAGCAGCCGCGGGCACGCCCGCGACCGAGCGCAGCAAAGGGTATGTTGGCGCGTCCTCCCGCTGGGCCTGGAGCTATGACAGGCGTCGTCCCCGCTGCCGGTGCCTCCGCCCGCGGAGGCCCCACCCGCTGCCCGCTGCTCGCACTCACCCACCGAGGGCCGGGCCGAGCAGGTCTCCCGGCCTCCCGGGAAGGGCTGTGGGCGGGCGGGGCCTGGGGCGCCCGGACCGCTGCCTCCTCCCGGCTGCAGCGAGGGCGGGCGAGCTGTGCCAGGAGGGGGTGGGGGGCGCAGCAGGCGCGGGCCTGGGCCCAGCCAGGGGCGGGGCTGCTCGGGCCGGGGAGGAGGGAGGGAGGGGAGGGGAGGGGAGGGGAGGGGAGGGGAGGGGGCCTCGTCTGCACAGCCGGAATCAGAAGCAGATTCAGACACTGGCTGGGCCAGCGGGGGAGGGGGCTGGGAGGCCCAGGAGCCGGGGGAGGGGCCGGAGAGCCAGGAATGCGCTGGCGGGAGGGGTCTAGAGGGGGCGACGCAGCCTCGCGGCCCGTGGGGGACCACCCAGCAGGGTCCTCGGCCTGGAGCCAGGCCTTGGCTGCTCCTGGGATTGTGCCACGTGCTGGGCTGGGGTCTGGGCCACCTCTTCTCTGAGGCCCATCATGGGTTTAACAGCTGAGGTCCTGGATGCAAGTGGAGCTGGTGGATTCTGGGGTGTCCCCAAAGCAGCAGTGCGTTCAAGTCGAAAGAATCCAGGATTGGGGTCAAATATGATTTTGAGTCAGAGCTGCTCTGATTTCTGGCTGTGTGGCTTGGGTTCCTGTTTCCTGGTCATCCAAATGCCTGTTATTATTGTGGAAATGCTGGGAGGATTGGATGAGCCCAACACAGATACCAGGCCTCAGCCTGGGCTCAGTCAGGGCGGACCTGAACTCAGCTAATGGATGAGGCCACTGTTCCCCAGCGGGGTGAGGCTTATCCTAAAGCACGTCTGAATCTCTTGAGGGTCTAGTTTCCTCATCACCAGGGGCCCAGTAGTTGGAGCTGGAGGGGAGGAAATGGAAGCTGGGGGTGAAGGTGGGGAAGTGGGGACCCCTGCGGAAGGGTGGGGGATGGGCTCTGACTCATGGGGAGGGGGTGGTCAAAGATGAATTTGGGTCAGAATCCCTGAGTCTGCTGACCTGCATCCCAGTAAGTTTGGGCAGGGAAACAGGCAGAAGCTCAGACGAATGGCTGGCACACCAGCTGCAGCCAAGAGTGACTCAGCCAGGAGGAACAGGGATCGCTGTGGGCATTACCTTTAGGTCCTTGACAGAGGGGCCAACGAGCATCCCAGCAAGAGCTGGGGGTTAGCCTCATCCTGCAGCTCACCACATGGGCATGTCTGTGTAGGCAGCGCTGCCACCCTGGGCCAGGCTAGAGGGACTATGAGGACCAAGAAAGGGAGAGAAGCAGAAACATTGCTTGAGAGAGGAGGAGCAAGAGGAAGGAGCAACTGACTCTGCCCTAGGTGCTTTTCAGGCCCAACTTCCACACATGCAAGGATTGGTGTGTGTATATACTGAGCCTTAGCTTCCCAATAAAGTGAATGCAAATGTGTCATTTACAACAAGCAGTGATTCTGGGATGGGTCAAGTTCAAAAGTAGCACCTTCCCAACCACCCTCTCAAGGTCCTGGCTCTGGGCCCCAAACCCTACTGGGATGTTGAGGGGCCCTGGTGGGAGCAAGGGGAGGCAGTGGAAAGAAAAGCCTCCTGGGAAACACACAAGCCGCCAGAGCCCCCAGGCTGCATGAGGGACACCATTATGGTAAAGCCAGCTTTGTCTCCAGCCTGCCTCTCTGTAAAGCTGGGGCTGCTGGGATCTGCAGAACATCTGGTGTGTGTGGAAGTTGGTGCCTGGGGCTCAGCACTGATGGGGTCATGGGGTAGCGGTGAGGGTGAGGAAGCCTGGGGCCCACAGGGGCATTGCATCACTGCCTCTCCAGGGAGAAGGCTGTGGGCTGCAGATTCTTTCCTAGAATTGCCCTCGCACACAATCCCCTCTTGTAGAGGTTGCCTTTGCAGATGGTCTGCTGGGAGTTGTTGAGCGCGTTCCCCACAGCCCCCAGGCTAGGCGCATTACTCCCCAGTGGGCTCAGCCACCTGTCCCAGACCCTGATCAGGGCCTCTCCTACCTCCCACCTCTTTGGTCCCTGCCCCCTCCTGGCACCTTCAGCAACCAAAAAAGCTTTGCCTGCCTTCATTCCTCCCACCTGCAACTCCTCAGGCCGCTGCACACTCCTCCCTCTGCTCAGAGTGAAAGCCACTGGCTTTGGGTTACAGGTAGGGAAGAAAGCATAGCGGGGCATGACAGTCCCAGGCCACAGGGAGACAGACATTCATGATCAACTAACTCTCGGCCCGGCCCAGGTCCTATTGTCCCCTCCAGACGCTTGCAAGCCACCACTTGTGCACGTCTTGCACGAACATTTATTGAGCGCCTATTATGTCTCAGGGGGCTCGAGCTCAGCGCGGAAGGCAGACAGCTCGGGAGCGAGGGCACAGCTCACTGCTGCCTCGCCTGCGTAGAGACTGGTCACGCGAGTCCTCATCCCGCCGCCCTGCACCCTGCATGCCAGGCTCCCACCCGCCCAGCGCTGTCAGGCCTGCTCTGCGGTCGCAATCGGCTCTGCGCGCCAAGCGAAACGCTGAAAAGCAACATCGGGCGGAGGGCGGACGTGGGGGGAAAGTGGAGAGGGAGGAGGGAAGGGAAACGGTCCATAGTCCCCTCCGCCCGGGCCTCCTAAGGGTTCGGAAAGAAACGGCTTAGGAAGGGGGCTTCTCCGACCCGCGCGGCGCTGGAGGGAGGGGGCGCACCGCCCGCTTTGGTCTCGGAGGGAGGGGGCCCTGCGCACGGGCCCAGGGTGTCCTCGGCTCCCGCCGCCCCCCTGCGTCCAGCCCTCCGCCGCTGAGCGCGCCAGCACAGGAAGGCGGCGGCCAGGAGCCCGAGGCCCGTGCCGAGCGTGGCCAGTGACACGCCCTGGGCCAGGTCCAGGCGGGGTCCGCGCAGCGAGAAGGTGATGGCCATGGCGGCTGCACCGGCCAGCACGGCCAGGGCGCCGAAGGGCAGGACGCAGCGCGGCCACGAGACTCCCGCACCGCCGGTGGCCAAGAGCAGCGCGCGCAGGGCCCCAGGGGGCTCTGGGCCGGGTGCGGCCAGCTCCGGGGGCTCTAGCGCTCTCATGACGCCGACGCGGTGGCCGCACTCGGGGTGGCGTGGGCGCCCACTAGCCCCAGCCTGCGTCCGGACCCGCCACGTCAGAGCCGATTGGCCTGGGACGCAGTGACGCCACCGGGGACGCCAGGGATGTTTCGCTGCCTCCTCCTGGCTTCAGCCGGGAACTAGGGGGGTGGGCAGGGTCTTTCTTACTTGCACTGGACTTCTTGTGTTGAGGCAACTCACAAACACCCCCTGCCAATTCTACCCTGGGTCAACCTATCCTGGATTGGCCCTGGGATAGGCAGGTCATGGAGTGAAGATCCATTGGGCTCTTGAGCACGGCCAGAAGCAGGGGTGGACAGTGTTCCACCCTCCTAGGACTTGAGATAAGGAAGGCAGAGCGTTGACCCAGGAGGAACAATAAGCCAAAGGAACCAGTTGAAATAATGCAGAGTAGACCGCAGACTATGGAAACTGACACTGGAGTGGACAGTATTGCAATGGGTTTCATCCTGGGGACTAAAGGATCCTCCAGGTCAAAGCACTTGGGCATAAGTTCTGCAGGCAGCCATGGAGTGGCCAGGAGGGACTTGACTAACTGGGGTGGTGGCAAGGCAGGGGTGCTGGGTGTCAGCTTAGCAGGGTGAGCTCCACAGGCTCTTGTATCTTGGCTGAGGGTTCCCTAGGTTCTGTCTTTGGAGGGACCCCCCTCAACGCAACAGCGCTTTTTTTTTTTTTGGTGGGACTGGGCTTTGAACTCAGGGTTTAGTGCTAGCAAAGCAGATGAGGCTTTTCATTTTGTACTTCCAGCTCTGTCATTCCCCAGTAGCTCTCAACCCCAAGCCCAGTGTCTGACAGTATTTCTTGACTGCTGGGTCTTTTAAAAGTAGGGTCTCCTGCAGATAGCAAAGAGCCACGCAAAGCGACTTCACTGTCACCTAGTTCAGCTCCTCATCTGCACATTTCCCTTAGCTCTCCACAGACCCAGCTCCCTTCAAGTGCTGCACACTTCCTGCCCTGCTGCCTACAGGGGCCCAGGCCACTTGGGACGAGGCTGGTGTTCCTCCAAGCTCTAAGGAATGCTTGGGATGCAGTAGGTGCTTAATAAAGTTTCACTTAAAAAAAAAAACCCAACATATGATGAGCATGGAGGTGCACGTCTGTAATCCCAGCACTTAGAGGAGGCAGAGGCAGGAAGATTTCAAGTTCTAAGCTGGCCTGAGCTACATAGCAGAGACCTTGCCTCAAAAAGCTGAAAGGGAAAAAAAAAAAAAAAAAAAAAAGACATGTTTCCTGGCCTTGGGCTAACAACACACTTCAGTCCAGTGCAATAGATGTATCACCTCATTCATCTTCACACCAACCCCATAAAGGTAATAACCATTACCCCATGTGACAGTGGGAACAAACCCTGGGAAATGAGGCTCAGAGTATAAGAATCTTGGTGAAAAGCTGGGCATGGTGGCTCACACCTGTAATACTGGCTACTCAGGAGGCAGCGATCAGGAAGATCACGGTTGGAAGCCAGCCCCAGGCAAATAGTTCAAGAGCCCTTATCTTGCAAATATTATCATAATAAAGGGCTGATGGAGTGGTTCAAGGTATAGGCCCTGAGTTCAAACCCCAGTACCACAGGAAAAAAAACATCGCTGAACGTCCCCCAGAGGAAATAAGTCATGATGTAAACTCAAGTCTGGAGTTGCAGAGGTCACTCCCTGATCCCTACATTTCTACAGGAGCTGGACAATCCTCCCAGGAGGTGACAGTGGAGTAGGGGAGGGAGTAAAGGACCCCCTGTTGGAGGCTCACCAGGAGAGGGGAGGCCCCAAATCTGACACAGAATCGGCACCAGGAGACATGGTGTTGGAGCTGCAGACACTGACTGCCCTATTCTCCAGTGTGGAAACGCGGTTTGTCTTCCAACAAGCCCAGTGTAGCTCTAGGAACTTGGGGATTCAGTTATCCTGTGGCAAACATCCACTGAGTGGCTTTATCCTTTCCTCTTTGCAGATTTTTTTTTGAGGTGCTAAGGACTGACCTCAGGGCCTTGTGTATGCTAAACAAGCACTCTACCACTTGAGCTATGAGCTATGCCCCTGTGCCTCAGACATTTGTTGTTTGCTTGTGTTTTTGACATAGGGTCTCACTGGAGCTGGCCTAGAACTCAACATCTTCCTACCTCTACCTGAGCAGCTGGGATCACAGGCATGCACCATCATACGCAGCTTCTTGACTGAGATGGGGGGTCTCTCACTAACTTTTTGCCTGGGCTGGACTCAAGTTGAAATCCTATGCATCTTTTCCTCTCAAGTAGCTGTGATTACAGGTGCGAGCCACTGTGTCCAGTCTCCCCTCACACTTTTTTTCAGGATAGGGTCCAGGTATGTAGCCTAGGCTGGCCTTCAACTTGAGATACTCCTGCCTCAGCTTCCAGAGTGCTTGGGTGCTTCCAAACACCACCTTGCCCCTTACCCGATCCACTCTTTTCTATTTTTATTTTAGTGGTACTGGGAGGTTGAACTCAGGGCCTCCTACTTGCTAGGCAGGCACTCTACCACTTGAACCAGGCCTCCGGTGACACAATCGTGACTAATAAAACCATAAATAAGGAAACAAAAAGACCCCGTATCAAGTCCCACCTAGGCATGATTTACATAAATATTTCCTAAAGTAGTTTTAATATGATACAAGTGGCTCTAAGGTCTATAGTAAGAGAAAACAGATACCTGGAAAGGCTTCTCTGGGCCTCTGGGCTGTAACCAGGGCCCCAGGAATGTAGAAAGCCAAGCCCTAATCAGCAGGCTTGGTTGTGAGAAGAGCTGGGGTGGCCCTTCTATCACGCCTTCAGCACCCACATTTCCCAGCAAGGTACAGGCATGTCTGGGACTCCAGACCCACCATCCAGGGAAATCTCAATCCATTTAACTCCATCTGTGGGGAGGAGGATCTCCCTGAGAGGCTTGCTGCCCAGGGTCTGGAGGCCTGAGGGGGAAGGCTCAGTCAGCAGGGTCATCTCGGAGGACAGTGAGGAAGCGCTCACTTCCCTCGCAGAGCAGGCTGTGAGCAGCCCGGCACAGTGTCAGCCAAGTTGGTCCTTGTGGCTCCTGGGTGCTTATCAGAGGGAGGAGTTCAGCCATCAGGACCTGGGGGGCAGTGCAGGGCAAAGGTCTCAGGGGGGCCACAGGTGGGCATCCTCCTGGTGGATCATGGGGAGGGGCACAGTTACATCACAACCTGGGCTTGCCTTCTCTTAAAGCTGAGCCCTCAGGAGGCACCAGTGCCAGGTGTCTGGATACACTGCCCCACTTCCTGCTTTGGCAGTACCTTTTCTAGGTGGATCTGCTGGTCCAGCATGGCCACCCGAAGCTTCAGGGCTGCCAGGGTCTGCAGCTCCTGGGTGCTGGAGTAGAGAAGGATCTGGGGACTCCAGGATGAGTCCTCTTCACCTCTACAGCTGGACAAGGCCTGGGGGGGATTCCCAACAAGATATGGTTCTGGTGGTGGTTCTGTCACAGCTGTGAAGACAGGCAGATATAGTCTCATGGGGTGGCAGCCATGACCAAGACCCAACTTCTTTCCTGGGCCAGTGCTTGGCTCTTTAGACACCCCTCCCTGTTCCCAATTCACGCTGGGCTTTCAGAACAGCCCAGTGTGTGATACAGTGCAATGGCCCTGGGCTTGGTTTGGCAAGGAAAGTCTTTGGTGGGGTGTTCTTTCACCTACTGGATTTCTTTACTGTGCTTACGTGTGACTTTCTTGGGACTGACTTTGTTATTGATAAGATTTCAAACAACTAAAAAATATAAAGGAAAAAGAAGCTCTGTTGTCCATGATACACCCCCTGTTATCTCTTCATTCCCATGCACTGCTTGTCCAGTAACAAGCAAATTGTTCAGTGTGATGAGGAGGCTTGATGGGCAGTGAGTGGGTTAGGGGCTATGTTCAGCAGGTGAGGATACCTGGCTGGTCCTACAGGACAACTGGTGAGAACCCAACACATTGTGGGTAGAGTAGGAAGGGCTTGCCTGCCTTTGGTCTCTGGGCTGGTCACCCTTCTTAAGGCATGGCCAAGGTGGGCCACAGTACCCTGACCCTGGTTCAGACCTCAGTGGTGGTAGTGATGGGGCCTTACCTGCATGTAGGTCCTGCAGCCTGTGGAGATACTGCTCAACGATGGCCTGTAGCCCCTCCAGAGTGAGCAGGGAGCGGTATTCCTGCATCCAGTCAGCAGGGGCTACACAAGTTAGGGAGGGCAGACTGGTTCCATGGCCATCTTGAACCCCGCTACCCCATTCTCCACACTTCCTCCCAAGCCCCAGATAGAGTCCACTCACCTGCTGAGAGCTCTTCTTGCATGTGCAGCCTCAGTAGCATGCAAACCTTCCGCAGGCGCTGGGTCTCCACCTTCACTTCCATGGCACTGGGCCTGGGGCCAGACCAGCCTGACTGCACACAAGTCAGGGAAACTCACCTGAGGCCAGACCCCACCTTCCCACCAAAGATGGGGCTGGGGAGAGGTCATGGCCATCCCATGCTGGCCCCTGCTCAATCCTGCCAGGTTTAGACCAGAAATTCCCGTTTCCCCCACCCATCCACCCAGTTCCCACATGCTCAGCAAGGATACAGCCATCTGCATATTCTGGATGAACTGGGTTTTGGCACTGCTGGTGGCATCTCTGGAATCACTGGTCTGTGTAAAGTTGAGCTGGGCCCACAGGCTGGGATGCGTACAAGGACACCCAGGAACCAGAGGGACATGGTTATCCTAGCCAGCTGAGATGGGTCTTGGGAGGTAGGTGAGGATCAGGTAGGAAACCCAAGTTGGGTGTATGTCTCTGCTGAATGCCAGCAGAGGCCTCTAGAGGCCTCGGAGAACCTAGACAACACTGACCAGGGCAAAGAGAGAGCTGACCTGCTGTAAAAAGTGCTAGAGGATTCAAAAAAGAAGGACAGAGGAGCTGACAGTGACTGGTAACGTGACGGGTAAGAGACCTAGGCGGTTACTCTGTACCAGGAACAGTGCAAACACCTGAAAGGCACCACCTTGTTCAACTACCAGTTCTAGTATTGTCACCTCCAGAGGGAACACAGACCGGTATTTGGAGGTACCAGGCATCATGTTCAGGTCTCAAGTCTGTGGAGCCTGAGTGACTAGAGCAGTCCTAGCTGGGTAGACCCTGAATGTGGACAGTGACTCCACCCAGCAGAGAAACAGAGGGACCCGTTGGAAGGTCTTGCCTGCATATCCCCAAACTTGTGACGTTCTTCCAGTCTCTCCCTGTCCCCACCCAGCCTTACCGGGAGTTCTTGGCAGCCGCCTTCCTGAAGGCCATGGGGAGCTGCAAGAGGGTCCTGTCAGAGAAGCCAGTGTTCAGAGTAGCCTTGTCTCATGCTGGGGGTTATCAGTAGGATAGCCCCCAGCAGGAGCGAGGCCCCTCTCTTGCCAGCCCCATTGTTAGACAAGCCCTTTCCAAGGGACTTGGGAATGGCATGGGAGTTGACCAGCCCAGTACTGAGAGAAGTGAGGGCACCATAAGCAGATCCCCCGCCCTCCAGAAACCAGTCGAGAACAACTGGGCTGGGGGAGAAAGGGAGCAGACAGAGAGGAAAGGGCAGGTCAGGTTCCAGCACGTCACTGGGCACCATCTCAGTCAGCTGCTCTGCTCTGCCTGCTACAGAGCATGGCCTCATGCGGTGGGCACCCCAGGGCTCCCACATCCAGCTCAATGCCCTGCCTTCCCTGTACCCAAAATCCAGCTGCTGGATCTGAGCGGATAGATGGCAATTTCTCCAGTGAGAGTGTTGGAACTTTACCCTTTCTCCTTGAGCGTGAAGGCTTCTGTGGCCTGAGGAGCAGCCAGTAGGGACATTTGTTGGTCCCTGAGGCCTGATCCAGGCCTGGTGGCTTGGGTTCCTATTCCCACATGGGTCCTATCTCCCACTGATAGAAATCTGCATTCAGGGTGCTCCTTGACAGGCACTTTGGTCTGGTGGATGGCTTTGGTGGGTCTTGTCACTGATACACGGCTGCCAGTTCGGCTTGAGGCCTGAGGTGGGGCAGAGGCAGTGGTGCTAGGAGCAGTGGCAATGGATCCAGATTTCAGGTTGGTTGCTCTGTTTCTTTCTCCAGCCTTAGAGATGCCTTTGCGCACGCGAACAGCCTTCTCCAGGGCCCGGGTCAGAAACTCCAGCTCCTTCAGGTCTTGGGGGCTTGGTGTGCACGCTATGGAAGCCCAGAATCATGCAGGGGACTCCTTCCCCACTGTCCCAGGACGGGTCCCTCATCACTGCATGCCAGAGCCAGCACCTGGAGAAGGTGGGTGACCGAGGTTTACCTGGAGATGGGTCCTTTTCCTTACTTTCTGGCCCTGGAAGTGGCTCCGGAGCCGGGGTGTGGGCAGGTTCCCTGCAAAGACAGGGCAACCATAGACTCCACCCCACAGCAGCGACCTGGCCTAAGAGCCTGAAAGGCTAAGGGGATGGGGCGCTGACAACTGGTATCTCAGAAGTGTGTGGCTGGGCCCGACCTCCCAGCCCCTGGGGCTTTGCATGATTCCGAGGGTCGCCCGGTCAGGGTGCCTGGGGTCGGCATACCAGGCCTGCAGCAGCCGCCGGGAGACGCGCAGGCTCTCCTCCAACTGCCGTTGTCGCTCTGAGCAAGCGTCTAGGGCGTCCTGCAGCTCGGTCACCAGCCTGGGTAGGCGCATGGACAGCTCAGGACCCCTCTAGCCTCGGGCCCCGCGCCCGCCCCGCCTTTCCCTCCCGCCGCGCGAGGCTCACCGCCGCGCGCTTTCTGCCGGCAGCATTACTGCGGTGCGGCTTCCCAGAGTTTTGCCGCCGCCGGATAGCCTGCCCCTTCCGGGTAGAAGACCGCCTCTTCCGGTCGAGCTACCCAATCCTGATCCCAGTAGCCAGGACCCGCCCCCGACCTTGAACCCGCCCCCAGCTCCGCCCCCCGGCGGTATGGCTGGGACTCCGCGCTGGGTTTGTGGGCTAGAACACCGGTGACTCGCAAGATTCTGGCTTGGGTAGGTGATGACGCCATTCCCGTGCTCCGTTTGTAGGGCATCTGCGAGCGTTTGACCTTATCGTAATCTGACCTTATTGAAGGAGCTCTAAAGCCAGGGACAAGCTGTCTTGCCGATACCAGGGTCACATGGCGCAGGATGGTCAAGAACATGGACGGGGTAAGAATGATTCGTGTTAGGATCGGGGACAAGAGACAGGAAGCACTTCTGAACATGGCGGGGCGAGGGGATGATATCCAGGGAGGTGTCAGGTAGGTACCTGGATAGAGGGGGATGAAGCCCAAGAGATTGCAAACATATGGCATATGAAACTATGGGCCTGGCAATATGGCTGTACTTGAGGCAGTTTGAAAGGTGAGTGATGGGTTATTAGGAGAGGTGGCTGGAATGCAGAGAATGGCTAGGAGACGGCCCCCAGTAGGGAGCCATGGGCAAGCACTGCTGCCAAGGACCTGTTAGTGTCCTTGTCTATGGTATGGGGAGAGGGGATAAGGACTACTATGGGCATAGAGGCTGCTGGGAAGGAGTGAGGAGGGGAGCAGGCCCCAGTGGAACTGAAGGTTAATAGGAATAAATTATTAACCCAAACCTTTCAGGGACCAAAAAATCTTTGCCCTAACAGGAAGGGCAAACCTTGGGGGTTGCTTTAATATGGAGAGGTGACAGGGGACATGAGGAGAGCCCAGGATGCCAAGCAGAGAAGGGAAAGAAGGTTGGAACCCAGGAAGTCCCAAAACCACACTTAGGATGGGCTGTGGGCATTCCTGCCTCCTATCAAGGAAGAGGGGAGTAGAAAGGCTTGGAGCAGCCCTTAGGAGGGGTAGGAAAACCTGACAGCACAGTCAGGTGGGCCCAGATGCCCCTTGGAGCAGTTTTCTCCTACAAGTGCAGGCTAAGAGAAGGCAGAGAAATGAGTCCATCCAGAATTGGGGTTTTGATCAAAGAGACCATGGACAAGAGGCAACGTCATCAAGGGATGGTGTCACTCATGTCACTATTCTGATCACATTTAATCCTCACAACACCCCTGTGAGGTAGGTATTATTGCCCCATCTTACAGATGAGGAAACTGAGGTCCACACATGCCAGGGGCACACGGTCAATAGCACAGATCTGTAATTCCAATGCCTGGGTTCTCCTCACCCCACCCATGTCCCGGTCAGGGTCGTCAGAGTTCTCTTACAGTAGCAAAAGATAGCTGTCACAGGGACAAACACATGCAAGCACACACCAGAGTGACCACTGAGCCAACATCCCCCCATCCCTGTACTTCTGGTTCAAGAGCATTTGGGGACATTCCTGGCCAAATGGTTCTTTCTTATATTCAAGAATAAAACACAAGAATACCAGGCACTGTCTGGACTGCTACCTCACAAACCCAGGGCCTTCTACATACTAGCCAAGCACTCTACTAGAGCTGTGCCTTTAGCCCTGTCACCTTTGAAATGGGGAAGACTCTCTGGCCAGTATGAAAGGGTACACATCTGCTTGTTTCTGGTGGAATCCACAGCACTTCTACAGTTCTGGTCAGCCAAGGGGAAGCCCTCTGACTTCTTTTGATTTTCTGCCTTTTGGTCACCTGTTATTACAAGTGACTTTTTTCTCTCCCCTCTGGAAAAATTCTTTTTGCATAGAGTGCCAGGGTAGTACTGAGGGGCTAGCTTCAGATTTTCTTTGTATTTAATGCCCTCTGATTTAAATGTTTCTCGTTTTCATCTTGGAGGAAGAAAGAAATACAGAAATAAAGATGGGAAAAGAATGGCTCAGAAATTCAGTGTAGAGAGATGTTCACATGGATACCACAGGGACCCAGACAAACCACTCTGGAAAGATGAGCTGGAAGTGCTGGAAGGAGGGAATCTGTGGCCCCCGCTTCACAGTCCTCACACCCAGTGGTCAAGCTGCAGTTCACACTGATGTGCAGGGACACAGTGAATGTCCCATGCAGGCCAAGGGGAGGTGAGGGGACAGTGGTGTACTTAGAACTGAAAGCTCCCTGCTGGCTCCTGAATCCAGACATGCCAGCAGGGGCTCCAGCTGTGCCAGGCTGTCTGGGCTGGGCTATGTTTTCAGAGTGTGGAAGCTGTTAGCTCCTGACATGAGGCTCCGTGGGGGCTGGGAAGATCAGATCACAAACAGGCTGAAGCTTCCAGAACAGCAGGACATAGGAGAGCAGAGAGATGGGCTTCATATGGTATGGCACAATTACTTTGAGGCTAAACTTTTCCAAAGAGGAAGGAGCTAAGCTTTTCACCTTGATTTTGATGTTCTAATGGCTTGTATGGGCAAAGAAACCTGGTGACCATGAGTTACCCCTTTGTTCTCTGTGCAATGGCCACCCAGGGTCTACACAGCGCCCCTCTGCAGTGCCCCACTCCTGGCCCTGGAAACAGCAGCCCTTCCTCAGTAAACATTCACTGTGGAAGACACACTGACACATTCACAGCTTCAGGAAGCCCAAGTTCATGTCCTCATCACTATGGACTGATAGGTTTTGCCGCTTCACCTGTCGCGGAGAAACACTGTTCTCTAAGAGGTTAGGGGGGCGACACTGTAAACATGACTTCTTGGCCTGATGGTGGCAAGGCTGTGTGCTTGAGTCGCTGCCTGGGGACAGCACTGAGGTAGACTGGGGAGGATCCCCGGAGCTGACGTCCACAGAATTTGTGGAACTTGCACTGCTGATGGAAGAGTATCCTGAGGTGGTGATGTCCTTGCCCAGCTCCCTCCTGCTGCAGAGAAGAGACCCTGGGATTGGAAGTGTGTGGGTGCCTGGCACCAGGCATCCTTCGTCCTCCGGGCAGGGCTCCTCATCACTTGATTCCTGGCAGCAGTGCTGTTCTGGGTTCAGGTAGACCACAGTGACATCAAGGATGCCACTGGGAACTGTCACTGTGGGAAACAGGTCGGTTATGCCACAGCCTGGACATCAAGGGTGACTTTGCCTGGTCAGGACCCAGGCAACCCAGACTCCAGCTCTCAGCCTGGGCAGTCTATAACATCCTGTGTCAGGACAAATATCCCCCACCTGGCTGAAGTCCCTCACACTGCTCGGGTAAGCACTGGGTGATGAGCCTCTCTCGAGGTGGAGGGAGAGAGGAGGTGAGAGTGGGGCTCATATACACCATATGGGCACATCTCAAAAAAATGTTCTAGAAAGATCTCATCAAGAACCCCAGAAAGAGTCTCTGTCTGCTCCATGCCCAAGAAAGGTCCTTCAACCAACATAGACCCAACTGGAACTGGACACAGGTTTGGCCTAAAGCCTCTCACTTCCTGTGGGGTGGGAGTAGTCCCTCTCAGGAGCTGTGGTGTTTTGGGGCTCTCTTCCCATAGCTCCCTGTGTCTGGATGCTCTCTTGCAGGGGAGGGTGTGGTGCTGGCAGCCAGTCCCAGCCCTCCATGCACTCTCTGCTCCCCTCAGCACAGCACCAGGTGCCAAGTGCCTTGGTTTGAGCTGCCTTCTGCACAGTGTTCCTCTGGTGCACCCTGGGCCACACTCACCATCACCCTCCTTCTCGCCCTCACTCTCCTGGTCTCCCTCATAGCCAGAGTAGCAGTCCAAGCTCCAATCCAGGAAGCTGCCCAGGAGTGTTTCCTCCTGGCTGGACAGCTCTGCGGTGGGGGTGGTGACAAAGCTGCCTCTGTCCTCCTGGAGGCTGTTCTCTCGCTTCCTGCAAGGTAGGGAGAGACCAGGAAGCCTTGGTTTCAGGTGGATGCATTGGAGGCCCAACTTGATCTTTTGCACTTGCCTTAAACATCTGCATACTCCCAGCCCTCCCCTTGTGCTCTGGAAAGGTTTGCTGAAAACATGAGGGAAGCTAAAACAAGTGTAAGCCTTGAAGGGCAGGGTCTTACTGGAGGAAGAACTGGGCAAAATCAGGCCCCAGTTTAAGTGTGAAGCCTGGCCAGCTGTGGGGCCCAAGCCCAACTATTTGGCTTCTCTAGAAACTGGCAGGAAGATGATTCCATCATCCAGGGTGGTGGGCACATTAGATGCAGGCACTGCTGGGCCTGGCACTGGGCACACTGTCCTGGGACAGGATGGGGTCAGGGGTGGAGGTTTAAAATAGTGAAGCTGGGCACACAGGAGGGACTGACTGCCTACAGCAGACTTGTGTGCTTGTCTGTGCACCTGTTCCTAGAGAGTCAGGACACCATACAGTAAGGTATATGTGATTCAGGAGGCCAGGCCTCCCTCATTCAGCAGTGGAAGATACTGTGGTGCTGCTCAGGAGGAAGCAGCAGTGCCAGGAGCTTAGGCTGCCTCTGTATCTGCTGCTTCCTCAGGGTCCCACTCTCTACAAAAACACTCAAGGAGGTCATCCTGTCTGGCCTTGTTTAGTGACAGAGACCAGCAGGTGCCTGCACTCAGGGAGCTCAGGTGTGCACAGGGCACTGAGGAGTCACTGAGACATGGCCGGCAGCACGGACTGGGCTCTACACATCTGGGTTTTGTCAATAGGAGCTCTTCAGATGGGTGAGGTGAGAAGGGGAAACTATTCCAATTGTTATGAGAGACGGGAAAATGCAATTACACACTGGCAAGGAGAGAGGAGAAAAGGGGCGACAGAGAAGTGATGAGGATGTTAATTGAGTTACTGCCACACTGTGTGAAGCAGAGTGGCCCAGGGTGTCCAGGTGGTGTGGGCAGGGCCAGAATCTGAGCCAGATAAACTGCACTCAGGACCATCTTCCCTCTAAGGGAGCCAGGATAAAGCAGGGCAGACAGTGGCCTCTGAGAAAGGAGAGTTGGGCTAGAAACGGTGAAGCCCAGAACAGGGCTAGGCCAAACCCCTGGTCCAACCTCAGGTTCATTTTACTGGGATGTGTCACTTGTCCACTTGAGCCTCAGGAGCCTCTCACACGGCTGCAGCATCGGTGAGGTAATTTGGGCCTGGCACACAGCAGCCAGCATCCCATGGCACAGTTGCAGATCGGGGTGGCACTCACCGTTTAGTTCTCCGCCCAGAGGGAGAGCTGAGGAAGGTGTGGATTTCCCCTGCACTGAGGAAAGATGGAGGCTCTGGGCTCTCTTGTTTCACTCCTAACGTAGCACACAACTGGCCATAGCTCAGCACCTGCGAGGAGGCCAGAGTCAGAGAGAGGGAAGACTGCAGGAAAGGCTGGGAGCCGAGGGCCACTGAGCCCTGGCCCCCGCCCCACTCCCATCTTAGGCCTAGGTCAGGAAGGGGAGGTACCTCTTCCTGGCTGATTTCTTCATAGCGCTTGTCCTCGAATCGCTGCTTCACGGCGGTCAGGGAGACTTGCCTGTAGTCCTTAGGAGCATCATCATGAAAGCTGGAAATAAACAGAGGTAGACACCTGAGGGCCACTCTAACTTTATTTATTATATTATTTTTTGGCAATACTGGGGTTTGAACTCAGGGCCTTATGCCTGCTAGGCAGGAGCTTTACCACTTGAGCCACACCTCAAGCCCCTTTTTTGCTTTAGGTTATTTTTCTCATGCTTTTTGTCTGGGCTGGCCTCTGACAGCAATCCTCCTGTCTACACCTCCCCAGTAGCTGGTCTTACTGGTATAAGCCACCATGCATAGCTTGTTTGTTGACACAGAGTCTTGCTAACTTTTTGCCCAGGCTGGCCTTGAATCCTGAACCACCAGATCTCCTAAGTAGCTGGGATTATACGTGTGATCCACTATGTCTGGCCTCAACCCCAACTTTAGTCTAACTGTCAACTTGAAAGGACAAAAAGCTTCCAAAACCAGTCCAGTGATGTGGATGCAAAATAGTACAGTTGCTTTTTTTGTTTGTTTGTTTTTTTGTTTTGAGACAGTGTCTCACTAGGTAGCTCAAGTTGGCCTCAAATTCTCCATCCTCCATCCTCAGCCTCCTAATTACAGGCATGTACCACCATGCCCAGCTAGTACAGTCACTTTGGAAGACAGCCTGGCAACTCCTCAAATGGTTACAGTTTCCAAAGAGAAAAACATACCTTCATAGCAGCACTATTCACAATAGCCATTAGTAGAAACAATCCAAGCATCTAACAGATGAAAGAATAAAAAGGTGATCTGCCCATACGGTGGAATTTTACTTAGCCATAAAAGAAACTGAAGTCCTGACACACACTGCAACATGAACTGGAAAACATGATACTCTGTGAGAGAAGCCAGACACGAAAGGCTGCCTATTGTATGATTACCTCAATACAAAATGACTCAAGTGGTAGAATGCCTGCCTAGCAAGTATGAAGCCCTGAATTCAAAACCCAGTACCACCAAAAAAAAAAAAAAAAAAAAAAAAGGTAGGGGCATAGCTCATGTGGCAGAGCCCTTACATAAAGTGTTAGAGGCTCTGGGCTTTATCCCCAGTGTGGGGGATGGGGAGGGGAAGTAGTCATGGTGATTAATATTTCCAATTTAAATAGTTTGAAAGAAAAATTGGCTGGGGATGTAACCCAGTGGTAGAATGTGTGCTTAGCGTGCTTAAAACCTGGAGTTTAATCCCCAGCACCAAACATACAAAAACAACACAAAAACCCTCCATTTGGGGCAAAGAATAAACACAGTCCTGCAACAACTTCTGAAGGCCAGTATTAGGCAACAGTTTGTGCTCCTAGTAAGAGCAAGGTGGAGGTCACATGCACTGACTCTTTGACCGTCACCCTGGTTCCTCAGACATCAGCTACAGGGTCTGAGCACCACAGGAGAAAACGGTGAGCATCAGCACCTGCCAGTCCTGGGAAATGCTGACAGGTGCCCGTAAGTGGGGACAGGTGGGCAGGGAAGCCGCTGGTCAGAGGGACCGGGGACACTCCACAGAGTTCTGAGCTTATGCTGGAGCTGGACAATGAGGTTCCGGTTTGGTAAAAGCAGAAGGGACATGCTTCGCGGCTGGCATTCCAGGAGGGAAGCTGCCAAGAGGACCAGAACCCAAGAGCGTGAGCAGGTGCGGAAAGGACTCGAGAGCCGCTAGCCTGCGAGAACAGCAGCGCTATGAGGAGAAGCAGTAACAGGCTGGTCCCTGCCTCTGCTACGCCGATGACATCTCGTCTGTCAAGCACCAAGCACAACCTGGAGGAGGAACGCCCAACCAGAGACCAAGGCGGCTGGCTCACACACCCTTGGTAAGGTGGTTGGGGATCCAGGTTCAGATGTAGTCTGAATACTTGAAGTGGTTAAGTCTCCCAGGGAGAAAGTCTGACAGCAGAACGCCAGAATTTCCTGACTCCTCAGGGTGGTGGTGAGAACCACACTAAGGCACCATGGCCTGGAGGAGGAAGACTGGACTCTGAAGGAAGGGGTGGCGCGGGGGTAAGGGGAGCCAAGAAGTGGGAGAAGCCTGTGAGTGAAGCTGAGAAGGGAAGAGGCAGCGAGCAGCAAACTCAGCCCATGTGCCCACCACTCTCCAATCACAGCCAGAAGCCCCACTGGTACACCCTGCCCCGACAGATGCCCCTCTACCGGGGAAATGGATGCCTGCCTGCCCTGTTTGCTTCATTTAGGGGAATCCTGGCCCTGCCCAAATACTTGTGCCCCCGCTTGCTTCTTGTTTCTCCCAACTCCATTGCCACCTGACATCCTGACAGTCTGTGTTGGAGGGACTCCGTGAACTACATGGAATGAACCAGTGTGAGGTGAGGGAAGCACCCAGAAAGAGGGCGAGGGCTTGTAGGTGGGAGGCCACAGGGCAGTGGGATCTGAAGTGGGGGCAAGCTGTTAGAGCTGAGATGGGAGGGTCCCCTTGCCTGCTGGTATCCTCTTCTTCAAAGAGAAAGAGGTTCTATCTATGTGAAAAAAGAAGCATGGTCCTGTGATTTTGAAATGTCAGCCCTGAAGACTTTTCTTGCATGAAATTCACTGTGGGGAGACCTATGTGCTGAATGATACCTGAAGCTGTCACATGAAGAAGCAAAGGCTTTGATGTATTTGAATATCCCCTCAGACCCCCCCAACTCTTAAGTCTAGTTGGGGGACTCACTTCCATACAGACATACCACTTTTTATGAAGGCTTAAGACGCAGGGCATGAGGTCTTCATAGGAGAACCCAGTGAGGTCCCACATCCGAGTGGTCCAGGGCTGTGCTGGAGAGAAAGTGGGCAGGGAATATGGTGGCTGCCTGATCGCTCCTGCCCCACGACTCTGCCAGCTGTGCTGTAGAGGCTCCTGGAGCTCAGTCACTTTAAAATGACTTTGAAAAGACCCCATATATAGAATGCAGGCTGTCAAAAATCTTGGAAATATTTAAGTAGAACCACCTCTCATCTCCATTCTGCTGTTTCCTTCTCCAGGATAGATGGGAACTCATATATTTCTGCCCTTCCATCCCTCTCCTATTTTAAAATTTTCAAACACTGGGAGCCCCACCCCCATAACCCCCAAGACCCCTGCACCCTGGGATTCCTTACTCTGTCCATGCATCAGTCTGGCTAGGAGCAGTGCTGCAGAGGCCAGGTGAGCTGGGGCAAAGGCAGACAGGCTGGTGTGCAGCAGGGAGAGCTCGCAGAGGAAGCTGCACAGGTGTTGGGTTCTGGGTGCCACCGGGACCAGTGTCAGCAGGACCTCTTTGTAATCAACAACGGTGGGGATCTAGACAGAAGAGGGAGGTGGGCATGGGGTCTCCTCCATCAATGCCATGCCAAGGCACAGCCCAGTAGGAGTCTAGACCAGACGTTCATGTTGGTGCCGAAAGTCAAGGCTTCAAGGCATGTGATAATGCAGTTGTGACCTCTTGCTCCATGACCTCGGGCATGGTACAGATAGCTGCAATGAGGACGGTTCCACAGTAGGAAAGCTGGATGCCCTCAGCGACTCCCCTCCCATGACCTCAAGCACAGCAACAACTTTGACTCAACAGGAAGAAGAAAACTCCTACTTACTCGAATCTTCCCTTCCAGGGCGGAGACAATCTCTCCCATCATTCTCACCAGGTCCTCATATTTATATGTGTTGTCTGTGAGCCACACAGCCTCTCGGATAGTGAGGATCTCTTTACTGATGAACCTGGGATGTGGAAACGGGGTCTCAGCCCTGAGCCCACTTCCTGAAGCAGGGGTGGAGCTAAATAGGCCCAGGGCTCTGGGAGGCTTCGAGGCAAAGAGAGTGTGATAGCTCTGGGCTTTAGGCAACACAATGAATCCAGCTGCCTGTGGCTGACAAGAAAGATTAAAGGTACTAGAGAGAGGGATTCGAGTCAGAGGGGAGAGGAAAGGCCATTGGACAGACATAAATCTTTCTGCAAAATGCTCCCATTCCACTCTCATGATGACCTTATGGTTTTTTTTCAGGGGGGGTTGGGATTTGAACTCAGGGCCTTGCACTTGGGAGGCAGACATACCACTTGAACTATACCTCCAGCCCTCATGACAACCTTCTAGACAAGGATTTGCGAAGCAAATCCACTGAGGCATACCTTAACTCCTGCCCTATCTTTTTTTTGGTGGTACTGGGGTTTGAACTCAGGGCCTTATGCTTGCTAGGCAGTCTCTCTATCACTTGAGCTGCTCCACCAGTCCTTTTTTGTGTTGAGTATTTTCACGATAAAGTCTCACGAACTATTTGCCTAGGCTGGCCTCGAATTGCAATTCTCCTGGTCTCTGCCTCCTGAGTAGCTAGGATTACAGGTGTGACTCACTGGCACCTGGCTAACACCATTGTTAAAAGTAGCCAAAACTACTTCTTACCCACCAGACCTGACAGGCAAGGACACAGGGTCTGGAATGCACTTCCTAAGGGAAATGATAGACAATGCTGGTGATGTCTGGTTGAGCAAAACAAGAAAATGCAAAAAACATCACAATAATCGCCTTCTGCATTGTTTCAAGAGGCAAAACCAGGGTGATCAGGCATTGGCTGAAGGAAGGCAGGTTTAGGTAAAATGTACAGTGATCCAATTTGAGAGGTAAAGGAGCAGGCACTCTACCACTGAGTGATGTCCAGGTGGCAGGAGTAGACTCTGTTGGAGCATTTGGTGAGGGACACGAGACCTGAGACCCTGTGACCCCAGAATTTGGGGAAACTGACCTCAAAGATTGAGAACTTGATCTCACAGCTATGGTTCTGTGAACTCTGAGTACAGAAGGAGGGTAAACCCTCTCTGGCACTATCACTCTTGGGAGCCAGAAAGCGTGGTCCAGCTGTGCCTACTCAAGAGTACATGCCCTAGGTCCTGAGACTGTGTGTCAGGACAAGCTGCCTATGCCTGAGTACTCAGCAGAGCAGCAGCCCACATGGCAGGCTCAACTCTGCTGTCTTTGTCTGCAGAGTACACTAACCTGAGTACTATACAACTGAGCCAGGTGGGACCCTCAAAACTCATTTCCCTTAAGAATCAGCCATCAGTACTGGGACAGGAAGGGACAACACATATGTACACAAGCATGTCAGTCAGGCCAAAGGACTTCTTACCGAGTACAGATGACCATGCAGGCAATGCCCAGCAGCTGTAGCTTGTATCGGGGCACCAGCCTCCTTCGCAAGTACCGGTCCACACATTCCACCGTCAGATGAAGGCACAGGCTTGTGAAGTCCTTCATCGTGGCGACTTCTACCAGCCAGTCGATTAAAATGTACCTGTGGAGAGAGTGCCAACCCTGAAACTAGGGCAAGGTTCTCCAGTTCTGTCTTGCCTGAGCAAAGGAGCTGGTTGTTTGTGGAATCACTGATTTACTCAGGGACCCAAGCTGGAGACACCAGGGCCCAGAGAGCTGGGGAGGTTCTGCAGCTTTTTCTGGGAAGAAAAGAGCCGCACATTCCTGATGCTCACAAATCCAAGTACTTTGGGGCCTCTTCCTAGCTCCAAGTGAAAAGCCAGTCCTCAGTCTTTAAGGCACTGGGTGAGCCCAACCATCAGGGCAAGCACATAGCAGTGAGTTGCACAGCAGGGCTACAGTCAGGTCATAGCTCTCAGGATAAAAGAAAAGTCACTCAAAAGTGGTAAGAATTTCAGCTGTTCTGCATACTCAAGCTCCCTTGTCTAGGTCATTTTTAACAATGCTTTGCTGGGGATCAAAGAGCCAGGAATGCTACTAAAGCAACAGTCTCTGAGTCTCTGCCCTGGAATTTCCAGGTTCACTCACCCAACAACCCTGGTGATGCCCACACATCCAAGGGCTGACAGACAGGTCCCTCTCCACCAGGGCCCTAAAGGCCAGGGACCAGGGCCATAAACAATAACAAGAGAACGCTGCAAGGATAATACTGCGATATGGTTAAGGCTTTTCTGAACAAAAGAAACACTTGTCATAAAGCAGAGGGGACTTAGCCAACAAAAGCAAGAGAAGAATGGTGATAATGCAGATAGCTGGAGACAGCAAGGGCAGGGCCCAAGTCAGCCCAAAGAGAACCATCTTCAGAGGTAGTGAAGGAGGGGGAGATGGGCTGAGCAGAGAAGCCTCTATTTCCTCCCAGAAGGAGGAAGTTTAATGCAAGGTTTAAACTGACCAGAACTGAACAGACTAGGAAGCTCCCCTAAGCAGATGTGGACTTAACAAGATTAATAATCTGACTTCTAAAACAGATCACCAAACTGTACACTTTAAAATGGTTAAATTTGCCAGGCATGATGTCACACGCCTACAGTTCAAGCACTTGAGAGGCTGAGGCAGGGGAATGATGAGTTGGAGGCCAGCCTGATGTCTAGAGCAAGACTCTATCTCAAAAAACAAACACAAAAAAAACCCCAAATCCAGATATATAAAATAGCAACATTCCAACAAAAATTACAGACCAAGAGGATTAAACTGTGTTATCAGCACACTCCTAATGGGAGGGAAAAGCTGAGGGGGAGGGGTACAGGATGCCAACCACAAGCCCAGGGTGCAAAAGCACTTCAGCTTGAGGCTGCTAATGTGGGAGTGAAGGCATGCTGCATTCCTGAGCCCAGTGTGAGTATGCAAATGTGTAGGTATGTGAGAGATCAAGCCTTCCCAGGGGAGGGACATGCCTAGCAAAAAAAGCATGAGGCCCTGAGTTAAAACCCCAATACTGCAAAAAAAAAAAAAAAAGAGGTTCCCAGGGGAGGGACAATAATTTTTTAAACAAATGTTTACTGAGCACTTTCTATATGCTGGGCGATCTCCTAGAAGCCAAAGGCTGCCTACTATAAATCCAAAATATATTTGAAATCCTCATGTATTAACTTTAAAGAAACCATTCATATATTTCACTATGATAAAGAGGCAGATTGTGCCAGGTATCATGGCAGCTGTCCTGGGGTGGCACAGCTCCCTGGGTCTGGCATAGCCAGCTACCAAGTTTCACAAAACACACTGGTGTTTGTAAAGACGAGCTGCAAAGAAGAGGTTATGGGGAGGAGCCAGAGGCAATGGCCTATAATCCCAGCTACTTAGAAGGTGGATGATCGCTCTTCAAGGCTGGCCTGGACAAAAAGTTAGCAAGATTCCATCTCAACCAAAGAAAGCTGGGCACCCACCCAGCTATGTGAGAAGCATAAATAGTAGGATCATGGTCCAGACCAGTCCAGGCATAAACTTGAAACCCTATCTCGAAAATAATCAAAGCACAAAAAGGCTGGGGTATGGCTCAAGTGGTAGAGCACCTGCCTAGCAAGCATGAGGTCCTGAGTTCAAACCCCAGTACCACAAAAAAAAAAAAAAAAAAAGATGACAGTTACTGTAAAGGGCAGAGTAAGGTATTTTCTCCTTTGAAGTACTGAATAGCTTAGACATTACTGGTTTCAGAAAACAGACACATAGTAACACACACAAATGTGGAGATCCTAATCGGCTGGTAACAGAATGCCATGCTGCCTAGTGACAGAGGTCAGTGGATCAGACACTTGGGCTCTTGGGTGTCTTACCTCATCGTGTCATTGAGTCCCTTCTGCACGGAGAAGACCTGCTGCTTACTGATGGCTTGGGAGCCCTGGAACAGCTGGCAGACTATCTCATTGCAGGCTTTCCCTTCTAGACCAAGCTGGTTTCCATTTGCACAGGCTTTGGCTAAAGCCAGCTAAGGATGGAAAGACAAGGACGACATGAGCATGAAGGTCTTCATTTTTTTTTTTTTTCTTTCTTTCCAGTACTGGGGTTTGAACTCAGGACCTACACCTTGAACCACTCCACCAGCCCTTTTATTGTGACTTTTTTTTTTTGAGATAGGATCTCACAAACTATTTGCCCAGGCTGGCTTTGGACCACAGTCCTCCTGATCTCTGCCTCCTGAATAGCTACGATTACAGGCGTGAGCCAAGGGCACCCTGCGAAGTTCTCCACTTATGAAGTGAAGTGAAAGGACTCTTTAGAAGGAAAAGATGTTCACATTTGATTACTTAAGCCTTCTCAACCTTCTGGAACAGTAGGGCTAAGAGCTTTAGCATCATTGATTTTTGAATAATATGGCACATGATACAATTTTTAGAAGGAACAAAAGATGGAAGATGAAATGTTAGTTGCCTGCCCCAGTGCATGCAGGTCCTCAGCCAATCTCTCTTGCCTGTTGAAAAAGTTGAGTTTGTTTCTGTTCATCCCCAGGTGTGAAAAATAGGCATTTTGGGGAGGCTGCATTGAAATGTGACAAGAATTGCCTGGGGGCTTGGGACAATCTGGCTTTAAAACCTGGGTCTGTGTATAACCACAGGCAAAATGGGGGACCACTCTGCACCTTGGTTTCCTCTTTCATGAAATGGTACATCAACAGCCCTGGTTAGCAGATGAGGACGGACTGAGATGTATCAAAATTTAGCACATACCACTCAGTACCCACTAATACTTCAGATGGTTATTGTCTATCATTTTTATATATTTCCTTCTGGATGTTTCTAGGCACTTGTAACATATGCATTTGTGACTATGGTTCACATACATTTTATCTTTTCTTTGCCAACCTAATAATAATATAAATTTTTTCATGTTATTAAACACATATAGGCATGTTCCACCTATTCTTCTACTTAGAGTATTTGTGTTTGTTATTTTGTTCCTTGTATGATGAACCCACAAGAGTCGTTGTGAAGTTTTTTGTTTGCCTTTTTTTTTTTTTGGTGGTACTGGGGTTTGAACTCAGGGCCTCATGCTTGCTAGGCAAGTACTCCACCACTTAAGCCATGCCCCCAGTCCTTTTTACTTTCAGTATTTTTCGGATAGGGTCTCACACTTTTTTCCCAGGGCTGGCTGTGATCTTCCTATGTCTCTCTGTAACTGGAGACATATACCACCACGCCTGTCTTGTTTGATGAGCTGGGGGTCTTGCTAACCCCCCAACCCCCACCTGGCTGGACTTGAACAGTGATCCTCCCAAGCTCTGTCTCCTGAGTGGTGGAGTCTTTTGCCATACCTACCCAAGGGTTCTCTGAAAGGCTTATGCTTATACCACTCACAGGAGCACCGTGTTTATCTCACCTTCACCAACAAGAACTGTCATTAAAAATGCCTACTTCCACGAGTTAACCTGCTACCCACTCAAGAAACAAAGAAAACAAATATAATCTGCTAATGGGATCAGCTCCAAATAGCATGTTCAAAGGTCCATTTTTGGCTGGGGATGTAGTTCAGTGGTACAGCATTTGTCTACTATGCACAAAACCCTGGATTTGATCCTCAGCACTGAAGAAAAAAAAAAAAGTTGCAGACTGGTGAGGTTAAAAGTTACACTTTTTAGGTTTTTTTGTTTTTAGTTTTATTTTTGGTGGTATGGGGGTTTGAACTCTGAACTTTGTGCTTGAGATGCTCTACTGCTTGAGCCACTTCTCCAGTCTGAAAGTTATACTTTTTAAACAGTTGTATTTATTTCCTGTTTTTTGAGAATTCACTGAGGCCCTCTGAATATCCATCAGGGTCTTACTACTCTTACTGACTACCCTGAGCTTCTAATAAACTATATTTTCTTATAAATGTGTATTTCTTGACAACTTTTTTGGACATGACTACCACAATGTTCTGTGACACATCAGCCTAGACTTGCAATTTCTACCCTAGTGTTTGAGTATAGATGGATCTCTAGCACACACAGGGTAGGGTGATAAGAACAGGTTTCAACCTGCTTGTCAAGGAGGGACTTTCTGTGATTTGTTCTGAACCCCAGGACTTGTGTGTATGAGGCAAGTGCTCTACTACTGGCTACATTCCCAGTGCACAACTTCTTCCTCTTCTTTTTTTTTTTTTTTTTTGAGATACTAGGGTTTGAACTCAGGGCTTTGGGCTTGCTAGGCAGGTACTCTACCACTTGAGAACAGCCCTTTTGCTCTGGTTATTTTGGAGATAAGGTCTTACTTTTTTGCCCAAGCCAGCCTGCACAAAGATCCTCCTATTTTAAGCTTCCTGCCATTGCTGGGGTGACAGGTGCTTGCTGCCACACCCAGCTACTGGTTGAGATGGGGTTTTGCCAACTTTTTTGGCCTGGACTGGCCTCAGACCAAGATCCTCCCCATCTCAGTCTCCCAAGAAGCTAGAATTTACAGGTATGAGCCATTGGCACCCAGATTATAACTTCTTTCCAGCTGAAAGAGGACAGAGTCTGGTGAATGTCAACTATAAATCCTTGATTTCCTGGCTGAATGACTTGAGCAGGGCTAGGGACTAATAACTACAAGAAAGCCTTCTACACACCCTTCTGCTGTCAGGCAGTTTCAACCTTATTGTCAAAATAAGGGTTATCTACAGGACAAGTTTTGAAAGTGAGTGATGAATTTTGATTTATCACTCTGTGATGTAGCACACTGACGTCTAGAGTTAAGGGGCTAGAGGGCTAAGAGTAAAGAGTGAAGATGTGCAGAGATACAGAATTTCTGGGCTCTCCCTGCATACCCAAGAGTTTAACTCCTTTAAGGGTTGGCTCTGCCCTATACTTTACTACATCCGTTGGTCTCCTACATGAAGCCCAGGCAGTCCTGCCTCAAAGATGTAAACAAAAAAGGCCACCTCCCCATGTTACCTGTGCTTCCCAGCAGCCTTTGGCAGCATAGTCCCTGAGTTTCCGAAAGCTGTGGAGGCATCGCCCAGGATCTGACACCTGTCAAAGGCAGAATGTTACCTTCATGTGATTGTCTTGGGAGGAACTCAGAACTGACTCATCAGGTTCTTAAGTGTCTCCTCTCCCACCGCCAGGTCTCCAACTCAGCTAGCTTCCCAGCCTCACAACTACAAATTATGATGTTGTTTTGGGGTTGCTGATAAAAGCCCATCAGCAGCTGCTCTTGATGGCTGAGAAGTCAGCAGTTGTAAAAAGATTCTTCCTTTTGCCAACAGAACTTCCTCCAACAGCCAGTTTAAAGACTGCCTGTATGACTCCTCTCCCCAGAATCCAAGTACACTCACATCTGTCTTTCTGTCACTTTCCCAAAGGAGGTATGAGCTGGCTAAACATCCTTGATGAGCAGCCTCTTCCAACAGCTCCCGGGCCTGCTTCCTTTTCTCTTCATCCTGTATTAAGGGTAAGCATGCTGGGTCTTTTCTTATCCTCTACTTGATGCTAAGTCGTTCTGTCAGCCACCTGCTTCCCTCTCCATCCTCCTTACCAATCACACACAATGTGATAACTGATAAGTTAACCAAATCAGAGTAGAAATGACTTCTCTAAAGGCACACTGCTCAACAACCAATGCAGAACATGGACTTGGAGCTCTGGACTCAGGGCTTTGCTTTTCCTGGAGCTCTGTGTATGTGCTTGGCTTTTGCATTGACCTTGGACACCCCCTCCTGCTTTCCAAGTACTTCCTGGATCCTGGCCAGGGACGTGTCAAATAAGGCAAAGCCCAAGTACACAGAACAACTCCACTCACCTCAAAAAGACTTAGTACTCTTCCTAAGCAATGTAGTATGGATGCTTTGTGAGTCTTTAAAAAAATAGAGAAAGAAGTGTGATTTCCAGCCAAAGAACTGCCAGGAGTCACCCTCCCCAGCCATGCCATTCAGTCCCACCTCCTCATACAAAGGACCACTCCCCAATTTCCATCTTCAGCTCTGGCTGTTTATGTAGCCTGAATCCTTACTCTCCAGTTGTCAACACATCCACCACAGCCTCCTCTCCTGCCAGACCAGTTTAAGATGCTTCCCGCACACAGCTGCACTCAATTTTCTTTCTTTTTTGAGGGGTGCTAGGGATAGAACCCTATCCCTAGCTGGAGTATGCTAGCCAAGTGCTCAACCACTGCACTACACCCCAAGACCTGCACTCGACTTCTGCACTTCTACTTCCTTTAGGTTTCTTTCTTTATGACCCATGGGGTCTACCTTGGTTTTCCTGTGTCCCAGAAGCCTGCAGATGGACTTGCAGGTGCTGTGCCTCCTGCCCCTTGCCAGGACTTACTCTCTGCAGCTGGCACTCTGCCCTCAGGCTCTCATGGACCACGGCCTTGCAGCAGCTTCCAGATACTGACCACGGCGGGCGGATGAAGAGCCAGATGAAGGGCTCAGCACCCACATTCAGGCGCTCAGCCAGACTGAAGAAGCGAGAAGCCTTCAGGCCGTTCACTTCTGCACGGGCCTCATCAGATACGGACACTGTGCGACAGACAGAGCAGAACAGAACCAGGGATGTCTCTGGTGGATGGGATGAGCAGTCTTTAGGGTCTTTCTTAGAGTCTAAAAGCTTAAGCCAGCTGTAGTGCAAAGCTGGTGTAGGCTCCTCCCTCTCTTCCCCTGCTTTGTTCAGATCTAAAACATGTCAAATCATCTTTGTGACTGACGGCCCCTGCTGGAGTCCTTTGGGAAGCCTGTATTCTGACCATTAGGGGAAGGTGTCCCCCACAGGAGCTTCAGCCCCAGCATTCCTCCTGTAGGAACTGCTGACTGATCCTTGCTAATGAGTTGGGGAGAAGGGGTTCCTTTGGGGACAAAAGTGTTCTAAAATGAGACCATAGCAATGGTTGCACGACCCTACAAATATACTACAAACCGCGGCACTGCTTGTTGTACATGCGTAGATTATGTCTAGAACGGTTATCTGACAGGAGGGTGAGGGAAGGACTTGGTTCTTCTGAGCCTGGAGAAGGGGATGCTCATGGAATCTGTCAGGCACACAGCTCTGTCAGGTAGACAAAGGCAGGGAAGGACATCTTGGCAGGACAACACATCTTTTAGAAGCAGGAAATCACAGGCCTGTATTCCTATCTTTATGTGTTTTGGAAGCTGGGACAGCAGACTCGAGGGGATCATTCCTTAGAGTGCAGAGCAGATGTGCAGAAGCAGGCAGAAGAGAAGCCTCTCCCAAGGTTCTTTCAAGGAGTCTTGTGGCAAAGGAATCCAAGTGTGAGGCCAGTTCTAACCTGTCTCCCCACAGAACCATGGGACCTGTGTCATTGGTACCCTGTGGAATCAGGCATGCGGACCCCTACCCAGAGTTCCACAGAGGATGGCCAAGGAGAGGCGCTCTACACGTGGACCTCAGTGTTAACTGGACTGAGGGTAGGGACCTTGGGAAAAGCTGGTTTGCTTGAATAGCCCCCATTCGGAGTCATTCTTTGCTTCTTTAGCAAAATTCAAGGTTTGCTAAAGCAAGAGGTGGCGCTCTTAGAACCTAAGTCGGAATATCGATGGGTTCCTCACAAGGCACCTCTGGCAGTAAGACAGATACAAAAAGACAAGGGATAAACTGCTAAACTGGGGCTGCGTCTTGAGAGAACTAAAAGCTTGTGCTTATCTAAAGCGTCAACACCCAAGGAACTGAAGACTTACGGCCTTCATTGTAGAGGTAGGCTATTCCCAGCTTCACAGCAGCTTCAAAATTTCCCTTTTCAGCAGCCCTAAAACATTAAGAATACCAAATCATAGTACTTTATGTTACAAGAGTTATGTATGTACTGTTACTACGCTTGTCATATAAATATGTTTCCTGAATTGGAATGTTTTTATGTATAATGACAATTATCCATTATATGATACAATATGGATAAGCCTTGAAAATATTAGCTTAGTGATAGAAGCCGAAGCTGGTCACAACAAATCACGTATTTTACGATTTCCTTTACCTGAAATATCTAGAATAGGTAAATCCATACAAAGAGAAAATAAGACTAAGTGTTGATAGGACTCTTGGGGTTGCAGGGAAAAGGGGAATGACTTCTACTGGGTACAAGATTTCTTTTGGGGATGATAAGAATGTTATAAAGTTAGACAGTGTGATGTTTGCACAACTCTGAAGACACCAAAACAGTGAATTGCATACCTTCAGTGGGTGAACTGTGTATGTGAATGTCTCAAGAAATACACACATTTTACCCACAAGCAGGTCAAGCACGGCCACAGCAATGTGGCCATCCTACACCTGGGCCATCTACCTGGATTTCTGGAAGTTCAAGTTGACGAAGGCCTGGGTAAAATCTAGGCAGGAAAACTCCTCCCAGAGTTGAGTTTCTCAGTTTGTTAAACATCGAGGCTCAAGCTGAGCCAGCTGGGTCTAAGGGCAGCCTCTGAAACCATTAGCTCTTGGATGGTAGGCCTGGTTGTCAGCACCAGGGCTCACAGATTACAGGCTTTGTGTCCCCTCTAGACCTCCCTCTGGCCAAAGGGGTGAGACCAGCCAGTGAGTGAAATGCAATAGGACTGAAATCACATTGTTTTGAACAAAGGAAAAGAAGGCTAAGTAGAGCTTCTTCAGGCAGGTGACTCATATCTGAGTCACATGGGAATAAGTCACAGCCCAAGGCGACCCTCTGGAAGCATGGTGGGCATGGAGGATGAACTCAGTGGGTGAGATCTACAGCCCTGGGTCACTCCTGGGGGATGAGGTAACATTGTGGGAGACGGTAACAGGAAAGCAGATCTTGAATCAGGCCATGGGACATAGGCTGGTACACCAAGAGGTCCAAAGGCAGGAGGAAATTGAGCCATCTGTTCTCAGGGTGCACAGATACCTTTCAAAGAGCTTCAAGTTCTTTGGAGAAGGCCATAGTTCCTGGAAGCTGGCACAGGCCCACACGCTGGCATGGCTGTCTACCAGGTACTTCAGGTGGGAGTGTACCTGCAGAGCAATAACAGCCATGTGTGAATTATGGAGGGAAGGCTTTAGATTCTTGCCTCTGAAGACTCTTGAAGACAGGACAGACAGACACAGGGCCTCCGGTCTCCCTCTAAATTTCAAGTGGCAAAGGACCCCATGTATGAAAATGAGATTGCTTTGCCTAGAGAACAGAGCCCAGAAATGAGTTTCTCTGAGGTTCTAAGGAAGAAGGGTCAAGGCTGTGGAAGGGAAGAACAAGCACCTTGGGTGAGAAAGAGGGATGATACTTCTGGCAAGTATTGGGGAAACCAACTTTAAATGGTGGCAGGCATTTTGTCTTGTGTTTCTTTGCCTAGGGCCTTGCTAGTGGGAGCATGGCCTGGAGACTGGAGGTCACAGTGACTTAAGAAAAAGACTTGAGATCTGTAGTGACAGCCTCAAGTAGAACTCTTAAGAGCCTCTGTCCTGGGCAGAAATGCCAGGCCAACGCCCTGAACACAGGTGAGCATTTTAAATGCTGAAGTTTTCACTGCAATTAGGAATCCAGCACCCCATGATTTCTAATAGGTGTATTACAACCACAATAGAAGTACCTATGGGAGTCATGAAAGGTTCTTGGAGTATTCCAGCCAATTCATTATACATCCTAGGATAAGTCACTCAAAGTGAGGGTGTGGCTCCAAAATAACTCCAGTTCATTTCAGCACTGCACGTTAGATGGGATTTGTCCTCAATAATTTTTTTCTTTTTTTTGAGACAGGGTCTCACAGTGTTGCCTAGGCTAACCTCAAACTTAATGTTCTCCTGCCACAGCTTCCTATATAGCTGGAGCTACAGGTCTGTACCACCATACCTAGCAAGAACATATTTTTATTCTTTTTAATATTATCCCTGTTTCTTAAGGAATACAAATGTTACTGCCGAAAAAGGGAATTTTCTCTGTTGAAATAAAACACTGCAATGAATACTGTGCTATTCATTCATTACTAAACCTTATTGTGCTATGCCTGTAATTGGAACATCTTTAAGTATCTATTAACAATTATCACCCTTGTTTCCTTTGCCTTCCTTTGTAGCCAAAGTTTTGTTTTGTCATTTAAGAGCACGAGGTCTTGACAGTATAATCAACAATGCCAGGACTAGTATTGTTTTTATCTGATGACTTACAGCTCGGACAGCAAGGATATCCCCAACAGAAAGCCATTTCAGGATGTGAAATAGTACATCTTCTGGGAGACTCAAGATGGTTAAGTTTCGAGGTCTCCTTCTGATTCTTCGCTTGGTAGGATAACAGAAACACTTGGCACACCTACAGTGAATCACTTAAGGAAAAAAAAAGTCTCAATGAGATGAAAAGTTTTATCTGAAGATGACTTAACAGTTACTGTCCCCTGCTCCACAGAAGGAACCTACTAGTCCCAAACAAAGATTAAATAAAGGAGTTGCATTATATGAACTACAGAAAAATCTCATCACTTCCCATATTCAACAAATATTCATGGTGAATAATCAGGTATTATGTAATTGGCTGTTGGAAATTTTCTGATCAAAAGCCCACAAGACAGTCAGGAAGGGGAAATAAGCAACCAACACTGAGGACTGTTTTCCTTGAATTTCACTCTCAAGAAAGCCCCTTGGATTGCTGCTAGTTCTTTTTTGCTTCTACTTGCAAAATAGGAGCATAATGTTCAATAGCGATCTGCGGACTTGAATAGTATAGTTTTGGAGTCCAAAGTAGGAGGGTCAGTCCTGCAGGGAAGCAAAGCCCTTGGAGACCAGGCCAGTTCTAGGCCAGTCTCAGCAGATGCCAGAGCTGCCCAGCTCCTGAACCTCAGTGTCCTCATCTGTAAAATGGGGAACTGACAGCTAATCAACAAGGTTGTGCAAATCCCAGTACAAGACCTAGCTCCACACAGAGGCGCTCATTAAGGGTGAAACAGGCCTTCTGCTGCCCGGCCATGCTTTTCAGAAAGCTCTCTCCCCTCTCCCGAGGAGTGGGTTGTTGCAACTCCCACTCCAGCGACTCCTTCCTCTGTACCCCTTATTTCACAGGAAGATGGACACAGGCCCTCGGACAGGATCCCGTCTTCCAGCCTACAAACCTGTCAGTCTGTCTACCCATCCTCTCCCCCACAAGCTCCTTTCAGCAAGGTGGCTGCTCTTTTCTGTCTCAGGACTTCTCTAGCGATTGCCCACTGCCCCGATCTTGCCCTGGGTCTTCCTGACAGCAGCTCTGTATTCGCAAAGATCAGGGGGACAGGACGGACCGTACAAGCCTGCCCATTCCCCTGACCCAGAACAGACATCTAGAGAAGGTTAATAACCACTTAACAACAAGGGAGGCCGCGCCGCCCCGAGCGACGCTTTCACCCGGCGGCAGCGCGCAGGTGCCGGGCGGGACGAGAGGAGGGCTGGGCTGTGGGGGATCGCCGTATGTATCCCCGCCACTCGCTGCCTAGGCTCCCGACCCCACAGAAAAGCACTCGCCGCTTGCTGGCTGGAAAACCTGAATTGTCGTCTGGAGGGAACAGGACAGGGAAGCGCCGATGCGAGAGGGCGCGCGGGCATTTAAACTACAAGGACCAGGACGCGGGCGGGCTCGATCTCGCCCACTCCCGGTCAAAGGGGCCTGAGTCCGCAGTCTATGGGTTTCTGTCCCGCACGACCCGTCGCCCGCCAGCACTCACCGCCGCCGCTCCCCATCGCCGCGCTCGCACCGCCGCCACCCGAGCCCGCCCGCGAGAGCTACTAGAGCCAGGCTATTGCTCCCGCCGCCTCGCGCAGGCGCAGACCCCACCCCCGCCCCATTTTCAAACGCGCCCGGCGTTCCTATTGGTTGGGTCGAGGGACCACGCCCTCCGGTCACGCCCACCTCCCCCGCCCCGCCGGATCTGGGATCCCGAGATTGGCTGCACCAGGACGCGAATTCGAACGCAGGTCACCGATTGGCTGAACCAGCGCGCCGCCCCGCCTCCTCGGCCGGAGTAGAGATGCTGGCGCCGGCGGGCTGGGCAGCTCCGTGGCGCGCTGGGCAGCTCCGTGGCGCTCAGCCCGCTGTCAGTGCATCCTGCCATGGGCGGAGAGACGACTCTCGGACTCGGCGGAGCTCTGGCTTGGGGAAGCACGACATGAGCGCAACCTGCCCGGTCTGTTCCAGACTCTACCCTGTCCCTCCCCGCCGCGAATTTCCTACCGAAACCTGGTCTGGATGTACCGGGGCGAACCGTGCTGCAGTGTCTTCGTGGGTTCGCTCGGAATGCGCGACCCTTATTTCCGTGACACGTGGCTCGCTGTGGACCCGCAGGGCAAGCCCTCACCCTCGCCTTGACCACATGCTGCCCCCGTGTGTTCCCAGTGTCCTGTCTTCACCGCCCGCACCTGCGCGCCAGCCACGGGCACGGCCCGGCTTAGCCGTGCGTTCACTTTGTATCGGGCACTGCGCATCTCGTTCCTCCTCTTCATGAGGCCTTGTGCCGTGAGGACAAATGTCGGCTCCAGCGGAGGGCGAGGAGCTGGGTCCTGACCCCCTTTCCACCTTCTCCCCCACCCTCAGCCTGCTTGCTCACCGAACCCTTGTTGTGCCTGGCCTGCGCTGGGCGCAAGGGTGGGAGGTGGTGGCAAGGTCCCTGTGTCAGTGTGGGGCGGGAGTAAGGGAAGTAAACAAGTGTTCACATTCCAGGGCATAGGAGAGCCCAGGGTCCCATAGAAAAGGGCAAGAATCCCTGCACCAGACTCAGGAGAGAGGATAAAGCCTGCCCCCCTCCCCCAAGTTCCTGGTGCCCATCGACAAGGAAGGGAAGAGGCTGAGAGCGGTACTCGACTCTCAGATTTCTCATGGCTTCTTTGTCCTCACAGGTTACTGTTTCTCACCTTGTTACTTTGTCCTCCTCCCCTGCACTGTGTTACTTTGTTACCTGTCCCCAGAACAGAGGTGCTCTTTCAGTGTTTGCCCTCAGGAGCACTTGGAAAGGATTGGTAAACTAAATCTAACAATGAGCAAGTCAGCTGCCAATCGTGTTACAGTCCTAACAGCACTCTGGGTTGTCTTTCAGTTCTACCTTGCTCTTTGTATCTTAATCACTCTCATTTATTCCAAGGCAAAGTGTACTTTTTGTTTTTATTTGTTTTGAGATGGGTCTTGCTATGTAGACCAGGCTATACTGGAACTTGAGGTTCTGCTGCCTCAACCTCCTGAATGCCAGGATTACAGGTGTTCACCACCACACCTGACTATATAGTATTTTCCTACTTTTCAGGAATCAGGTATTCTCTTGGCTGTAGCTGTAGGTGATGCTTCAGCCATGACTCACTGCCCCCATTGCAGTCAAGCCCTGAGGGCCAAGCTGGCATAATGGGCCACTCCTAGAGGATGTGAGATGTGCCCTTTTCCCACTGGGTTTCCAGAACTGAGAGAACTCAAAAAAGCCTGGGGACTTGGGAGCTCAGGGAAGTTTTTGGAAGAATTAGGTGGCAGTTGAAGGTCTGTTGGTGAATGAGAAAAAAAAACTCAGGGTGCAGAGGAACGAGTAAGGAAAACGAAGTAGAGTGGGGCGTGGTGGTGCAGGGCCTATAATCACTGCACTTGGGAGGCTAAGGCAGTCAAATCTCAAGTTCGAGGCCAGCCGAGGCTACATAGTGAGTTCAAAGTCAACCTGCGCTACATAGCGAGACCCTAACTCCAACACAAAAACAAAATTTAAAAAGCAGGCGAGAGAGACCTTCAGTAGAGGTCAAAAGGAGAACCGGATAGGATGGGTGAAGACCCAGGGAGGAGTCCATCACAAAAGGCACCACAGAGTAGTCACTTGGAAAAAGAACCAAGAGCCAGTTGGCATGGCACTAAGGTGTGGGCTGACACTGTTGTTTTGGATGAGGGGCTGTAAGGAGTGTGGGCAAGGCCTGTGGACGACACTTTCCTGACTGAAAAGAGGCAGAGAAAGGCATTGGCACTAGGGGATGGGGCTGAGGGACCATGGTGAGGGGCAGGGTGACTTCCACAGAGACAAACTATTTGATAAAGCACCTCTCAGAAGAGAAGACATCCTCCACGTGACAAAGGCATATACCATATCCTTCCTCAAGCAAAGCTGAAGCACTGACCTTTGCCCAGTGGTTCTTACACTGGAGCTGTGACTGAGTACCTGTTTTGGGGTTAATGACAACATGGCGTGCTGGTCCCTAACCCACCAGCTTCTGACACAGCAGGTCTACGGTGGAGCCCAAGAATTCACATTGCTTTTTCTTCCAAATTTTTAAATACTGAAAAACTGTGACTTAGGTTATTAAGTATTTTCTCCTACCTTCAGAAGAATAGCATCATCACAACCTGGGAAACCAGGTTTGAATTTAGAACTCATGGATTCTGTGAGGCTCCACTCTGGAATGTGGACTCACATGGGAAGCCAGCTCTAGCCATGGTCTGTGGTCACTCCTTCCATTTCTGGCTTCATCTTCCTCCCCAAGGGGACTGTGTACACCTGTGTGGACATGCCCATGTACTCACCCAAACCCTGCCCACAATTCTGCAACAGCAGCCAGCCTTACTGCACCTTGGGCCTTGGGATGCACATAGGTGGCATGACATATTAGGAAAGTACAATGAGGAAACAACCTGTCTGGGCAGGGGATTCTGGAGAATGGGGGGTCGCAGGCTTACCCTTCAGACTTCTTGTCCACCATCAGGGACATGGCCAGGGGGTGGCCCTCTAAAGCCAAAGGCTCAGGAAAAGCCCCTTGCACTGGAGCCAATGAGTAGCATGATCAATGGCAGGGTTCACGCAGCACCCCAAGCACAGAGCCAGCATTAGACAGCGTCATGACTGCTACTGTATCATCCCTAGGTCACTACTGTCTTTCAAAAAGAACACACAGCCATTCCTCTGAGGCTGCTTCCATAGCCAGGTCATGACCAGACTACAGGCTACCAGATGGGCCTCAGAGATGCTCCTGTCCAATCAGAAACAACTGGGTTCTCTACCAAGCCTCTGAAGCACTTGCCCCACTGCCTTGTGACTGTAATCAGTTCACTGAGCTGTGAGCTATCCCAGCACCTCTTTCAACCATGGCAGGTCATGCACACCTCACTAACCTGCACTAGGATCTTTATTACAGTAAGAACATGGAGAGGGAGGAGGTGAAGGAGGCTAAGAGGAAGGAGGTAAGGGAGGCTGAGAGGGAGGAGGTGAGGGATACTGAGCTGAATGGGATGAGGGAGGCTGAGAGAGAGGTGGTGAAGGAGGAAGTGAGGAAGGCCATAGAAGTGACGAGGGGCCAGCTGGCTCTGCTTGCACAGGGCTGGTGAGGTTCAGGAAGATGTCCTCTAGGGAGATCTGGTTGATTGAGTAGTCCTCCAACTTGGACTTCTTTTTGGCCTGTTCCATAATGCCAAACACCTGTTGAAGGGGGACGGTGATTGCTGTGGACGGCCTTGTCCACAGGTGACGTGTCACACATGGGGAGGGTGGAGAGAGGGTCAGCCTCTGGGCTTATGTGAAGGCCTCCAAGATTTGGTCCCTCTCTCAGCCGCTCCACAGCACCTCCTAAGAAGTCAGTCCTGTGGAGCAGCTCAGCATTTGCTCTCAGGGTGGGAACAGCGTCACAGGCGCAGTGGCCTAGCTGGGCCCCTGATTTGCCATGTGAGCCTGAGCACATGCATCCTCTCTGGGTCTTCTCTCTGCTCCTTGAAGCCTGGGAGATCAGTTCCTCCCAGGGCCCTTCCAGCTCAAACATTTATGTTCTGTGAATCCACATGACATTGCCATGGAGACATCAGAGGACATAAGAACACCACTTCCACCCGCGAGGGACAGAGGGAGTCTTACCAGAAAGCCAGTGATATCAGAGGTGTTCTCACCTTCGCCCAGCCGAGGTCACGGCTGAGCAGATGGTAACGAACCATGCCTTGGTGCTCATCTTCCAGGATGCTGCCTGCACAAAAAGGGACTAGGTCCCCATGATGGTTGGGCTGGAAGGCTGGGGAGGGGAGCCTGGGCACATGGGACCATGATCCTATTCCAAGGACAAACTCTCTGGGCAGCAGCTGACAGAGGCGCAGGCAGGGGCCCAGGGCTACCCGTGGGGGCTGCCACAGCCAGCACACACCTGGGAAGGTCAGGTCCACAAATGCCTTGAACTCCTGCAGCGCCTCTTGCTGCCCTTCTCTGTGGACCTTGGCCTGCAGGGAGTAGCCACTGCCGAACTTGCTCTTGAGGTGCTGCGGGCTGCCCAGGCACTTGAACTGACCCTGCACCATGATGGCCAGCCGGGTGCACAAGGCCTCACACTCCTCCATGCTGGGGAGAGGGGGGTGGGCCTGAGACAAGGCTGATGCCCACCCTGGGTGTGAAAAGCTTGTGCAGACAGGAGGGTGTTGATGCCCAGATCAGGCCATTCCTGACTCCCATGCTCAGAGTGTGGCCCATGTGGAGAGCTCCTGGCCAACTCTGTGCCAGTTGCAGACAGGGTTTCTGCTCACCTGGCCCCTCCCCAGCCACCCATTCTGGCTCTTCCATCAACCCACAGGGTCCCCTGGCTCTACCTATGGGAGGTGATGACAATGGCCTTGCCAGACTCACGGGCCCGGGCCACAGTGTCCCAGAGCAGGCGCCGGGCCACGGGGTCCATGCCAGTGGATGGCTCATCCAGGAAGATGACCGCAGGCTCTCCAATGAGGGCAATGGCAGTGCTCAGCTTGCGCTTGTTACCACCGCTGGGGACAGAGGGGATGAAGGTGGGGACATGGAGAATGGCACCAATGGTCTCCAGTAGTGAATTCTGCTGGTCCAACACCCGCCTGCTTCCTTCTCTGTGTGAGAGGTGGGGCTTTTAAAGACATAGCCCCACCATCTTTGCCCAGGTTGAATTGCAACTTAGTGTGTCCACTGAGGGTCTGGACATTGAGGGTGAGTCAATGAGTCTCTCTGAGGAGTGTTGGAAGGAGTACTTCCCCATCTGAGAGCAAGGGTATAGAAACATTTTAGGTAACTTTTTTTTTTTTTGAGTCAGGGTCTCACTATGTAGCCCAGGCTGGCCTCAAACTCTGCCTCAGTCTCTCAAATGCTGAGATTACAGGTGTGGACCACCACGCCAGAAATTTTCTTTCTTTCCTTCTTTCTTTCTCTCTCCCTTTTTCTCTCTCTCCTTTCTCTCTTTCTTTCAACTCATACAGCATTTACTATTTGCAAGGCACCATTCTAACTTTGCAAATGTAAATTCATCTGATCTTCAAAATATGGACGAGAACATGCAAGGCTGCTTGACACTGAAGGCAACAGAGGCAGGAGGGGCAAGAACATTATCATCTGACCCTGGGTCTATTGGCTAGAGGGTCAAGGTACCGCTCTCCTTTCCAGTCCAGGTGACAGTACTGCCAGGTACCTCCAGGGGGGCTGTGCACAATGTGATGGGGAGGGGAGTTTTTGGATTTGGGCAGTGAGTGCCTAGCTTTGTTTAAGCTAACTGGAGATGGGGTTTTCTCACTGGCAACAGAAGCCTGAGGAGCACCTCAGAAGACACACTGGGTGAGGTAACTGTGGACTTGAAATGCAAACCTACCAAAGACAGGAAGTCTGTCATGAAGGAGAAGGAAGGTCTGTACTGTCGCACATGTGGTGCCATCTGCCTGTTTCAGTCATGGAAACTGCCTCTGGGTCAGCCCCATAATCTCCTCTGGAGCTCAGGAACAAAACTGACTGGTGCCTTGGGGTACCCAGGCTATTGACCCTTTCTATAAGGGACAGAGGCCACCTCCACACACCCCTCTCCAACAGTGGCATGGACTGTGCAGCTACCCCATGCTTGAGCTGATGCACTTGGCCCCTATGCTCCAGTACCGAGAAGAACCAGAATTCATCTTGTATCTGAAGGTGGAGAGGCTGAGGGAAGTCCCAAGTCTCACCTGTAGGTCTTTACCAGATTATCTGCATACATAAGCATGACTAAGTCCTCAAGAAGCTGGTTCACACAGGTGTTGATGAGGCATTCGGGGATGCCCCGGATCCGGGCATACATGACCAGTACCTCTCGGCCCGTCATGAAATTTGGCAGTGCATCAAACTGAGGACAGTAACCGATCCACTGCCGCACCTGAGTCAGAACACAGCCCAAGACAGAGGCTTGTCAAAATGAAGCCTCCTTCTGCCAGGGTCCCCATTCTTCTAAGCAGTGCCTAGACCCCTGCCTTGGCCTTGCTCCAGTCCAGGCCTTGCCTGCACCCTGCCATGTGAACGGACATGCAGCATGAAAGGGCCATGAGTGGGATTATGATAATACTGGGGAGTCTGCCGGTGGTGTCTATAAAGAGGCTATTTCTGGCAGATGTGAAGAGTACTTGCTTTGCTCTTTTTTCTTTCCTACTGGCCTGAAACCTATGTACCTGGCACCTCCTTACTTTAGGGTAACCTTCAAACCGTTCATGTTTTATATTTCTTACATCATAAAGATCTTCCCAGGTCAGTGCATACAGACCTGCTCCCACTCTGGTTAACTGCTACTTACTCACCCAGAGAAAGTTTCTAGATTTTATTTAGCTGTTTGAAAAATGTAGGCACATTTGCATTATTTCCATTTTTTGCCATTATAAATTTGCATCTCATCACCTTGGTTTGTGCCCATGTTCAAGTGCTTTCCTACAGTAGATGCTGAAAATAGTGGGATACCATTTTTTAAAATAACTTAGCACAAGGCCCTGAGTTTAAACCTCAGTACCACCAGAAAAAAAAAAAAAAAAGGCCTACAGGAAGAAAATGAAGAATGTGACATTTGTTTTGTTTTGAGACAGTCTCACTATGTAACCTATACTAGCCTCAAACTCACTTCTGCTTCAGCCTCCCAAATGCTGAGATTATGGTGTGTTTTGCCATGCCCAGCTTGATATATGACATGTATTTTACACACTTTAGTTTGAAAGTTTGGAGTGAAATCCATACCCGTCACCTAGGGTGATTTACCTGGGGTGGCCAGGGAGCCCTATTCACTGCACAGTGGCATTTTGCATTAAGGACACCCTACACTGGAACCAAATAATTCTGAGCAACGAATGACTGACAGAAATGTAATGTGAACTCTCAAAAGGTACTTCTGATCTCTGAAAACCAGATTCTGATGAGAATGTAGTTTTTTTTTGTGCTGGGGTTTAAACTCAGGGCCTCACGCTTGCTAGGCAGGTGCTCTATCACTTGAGCCACTCCATCAGCCCTTTTTCGTGAAGGTTTTTTTTTTTTTTTTTTTTTTTTTGAGATAGGGCCTCTCTAACTGTTTGCCCAGGACTGGCTTCGAACCATGATCCTCCTGGTCTGTGCCTCCTGAGTAGCTAGGATTACAGGTGTGAGCCACAGGCACCCATCAAGTTTTGTTTTGTTTTTTGTTTTTTCCTGATGCTGAGTAAGCACTCTGTGACTGAGCTGCACTTCCAGCCCTGGGAACGTGTTTTAGAGAATGCCAAAAATGTCTAAACATACTACAGACAAATGTTTAAAAATACTGACAAACAGAAGGCTCACAGAGGAAGAAAGCACAGATGTTAGCATTTTCTAATGAGATTAATAAGATATGAGATTTCTAGGTGAAAACAGAGAATTGAAGGAACAGGTTAAATATATTGAAGTCCATATCTCCAACTATGAATTTCACAAATGGCTAGGAGGGAATGTGCAGATGGGTTCCAGGAAGGCTGAAATTCAATTTCTTGCCTGCTGGGCAGGACGAAGGCTTATGGGCAGGATGCTTATAGGCAGATGCCATTTGATTTTATGTAATAAACAGATATAAAAGATTTATCATCTGAGTTTATGGAATAAGGTTCATACCTTCTTTTATATGAGCTGCAAATAAATGCTGTGGAATAGATGACTGATCTATAAGGCCGAGTGGAGGGCTGGTCAAGGACCACCTGCTTATCCTTTCTTTTCTTTTTCCTCCTTCCCTCACTCCTTTTCTTTCCTTTCTTTTTTTACTTTTCTTTCTTTTTTTTTTTTTTTTTTTTTTTTGGTAGGACTGGGGTCTGAACTCCAGGCTTTTCACATTTTGCAAAGAAGTGCTCTACCGCTTGAGCCGCACTTCCAGTCCATTTTGCTTTGGTTATTTTGGAGATGGGGGTCTCATGAGCTGTTTGCTGAGGCTAGCCTTTGCCGAGGCTAGCCTCAAACCACTATCCTCATGATCTCAGCCTCTCAAGTAGCTAGGGTTCACAGATGTGAGCCACTGGCACCTGGCTCCTTTCATTTTTTTTTTTTTAATGACACTTTCTTTTTCAATTTTTATGTTTTGGTGGGACTGGGGTTTGAACTCAAGGTTTCACACTTGCAAAGCAGGTGCTCTACCACTTGAGCCACAACTTCAGTCCCTTTTGTTGTGGCTATTTAGGAGACAGGGTTCATGAACAATTTGCCTGGGCTGGTCCCAAACCATGATCCTTCTGATCTCAACCTCCCAAGCAGGCGACCAGCTTCTTCATTCCTTTTTATAGCTAAATAATATCCCGTGGTATGCCAAGACCTCATGTTTATCTGTTAATGGACACTTGGGTTGTTTCCATTTTTGGATACTATGAATAATGCTTCTGTGAACATTCTTATACAAGTTTTTCTGTGGACTTAGGTTGCATTTGTGTTGTATTTGTTATATATCTATAACAGTTGTATTTGTTATATACCTATAAGTCATATGATAACTCCATGAACATTTTTTTTGTGGTCCCAGGATTTGAACTTGGGGTTTTGCACTTGCAAGGCAGGTGCTCTACTGTTTGAGCCATACCTTCAGACTTTATGAACATTTTAAGTATTCACTCTGATCATTTTAATATTTTAAGTGAAGTCTTTTGTCCACTAATGTTTAATATAACTATTGATGTATTCAGAGCTATCTACTTATTCTATATGTCCTATGTTCCCTTTTCTCTCTCAGTTCCTGTCTTCTGACATGCTTTTCATTTTTCTATTTTCTATTATTAGCTTTAGAAGTATATATATATTCTCATCCATTATTTGGTATGTTCCCATAGAGATAAAGCATGCATCTTTGGCCTAGAAATGGATAATATTAACTGTAACTTTATTTATAAACAAGGTAAGGACCTTAAAATGCTTTTACTTCATTTTTCTCTCTTGACTTAAAACCATTGTTGTCATATATTTTAATAATATATTTAAAACCTTATAATACATTATTATTTTAGGCTTGTTTAGTCAAAATTCATGCATTTACATTGAAAAAATATCTCTTCATTTTATTGTGTCTTTGAGCTTCTTCCCTTCTGAAATAATTTTCCTTCTGCCTGATTTACTCTTAATTATTCCACCCCCCCACACACATTGTTTTCTTGGCAGTACTGGGGATTGAACTCAAAAGGCAGGTGCTCTACCACTTGAGCCACAACCCAGTCTATTTTGCTTTAGTTATTTTTCAGGTGGGGTCTCCTGGTTTCATTTGCCCAGGCCATGCTGGGCTGGGCTTCTCTTACCTGTGCCTCCCCGTAGATGGGAATACAGGCAATGTTCTCCTTTTTTGTTGAGATGGGGTCTCACTAGCTTTTTGCCTGGGGTGGCCTAGGCGAAGAACCTCCCAATCTCCACCTCCTATAATTGTTTCCTGTGCCTTCATGTTCTGATGACAAACTCTCTCATTTTTGATTAACTGAAATTGTCTTTTTAAAAATGTCTCTTTATTTGTGGTTCTGGGGATCAAACCCAGAACTTCATGCATGCTAAGCAGACATTCTACTGCTAAGCTGTATCCCTGGACCCCAAGAATCTTCTTTCTTATGGTACAGTTTTATAGTGCATGTTATTCCAGGTAGGTTGTCTCCTATATCATGGCTATCTTCTGGCCTCCTGCTTCTGTTTGGAAGTCAGAATCCAGTCTGACCGCTGCTCTTATAAAGATGATCCACCTTTTATCTCTGGGTCTTTTGAAGATTTTCATTTTGTGTTTGTTTTCCAGAACTCTTACTATAATATTCCCAGGACAAATTTCTTTTAATTTATCCTCTTTAGGATTAGTAGGGCTTCCTTTATTTGTAATCTGATGCCTTTTATAATGTTTGAAGGTTTTAGCTATTAACTTCATATATTGCTTTGTCTCCCCTTCCTTCTGAACCTCTCTCTCTCTCTCTCTCTCTCTCTCTCTCTCTCTCTCTCTTTCACACACACACACACTAAACCTTTTCACTGTACCCTTTATATATAGTGCACATATGGATGCACAGAAAGCTGTATGGGTATTGGTCACACAACTGTGGAAGGGGAAGTTCTGCAGTCTGAAGTACAGAACTAGAATTGGGCTGGATATACAGCTACTTGAGACATCAGCAAATGGATGGTATTAGGAGCTAGAGCAACAAAAAGGACCAGGTAGGAACAGTGTGTGAGAAAAATGAACTGTGAGTACAGTTCCTAGGAATACCACAACCTGATAGGCCAAGTGAAGACGAATGTCTGCTAAAGGAGCTGTAATCCCAGCACTTGGGAGGCAGAGGCAGGAGGATTGTGAGTTCCAGGCCAGTCTGGGCTACATACCAAGACCCTGTCTCAAAAGAAAAGAAAACTAAATTAAATAAAGCAAGATTTACCAAAGGAATCTGAGAAAGAACTGTTAGAGATTACAGTTAGGAGAAAGGGAGCTGTAGAATAAGTAAAAGCAGGTTCAGGTCTGAAGTTGGAAAAGGTCAGCCATTACAGAGTACTGTAGAGAAGTCAAGGAAGATACTGAAAATTAAGTTACCTCAACTAGGGTGACTGCAGTAGGAATGGATCCATGGAGAACATACTTGACAGTTACTCAGAAGGGAAACATCTATGTACTATGTCTGCCAATGGACATCTTGGGTGGTGCCTTGAACAGCAGGTGGATATGTGCCACTCACTGTCCAGAAAGCATGGGGAGAGGAAGGAAGACACGAGTGGTGGAGACACTTTTGGGGAGCCATTGAGATCGTGTTGAGTAAGCAGATCAATATCTGATCTGGAGCTCAGAGAAGCATCTACCATGCATATGTGGATTTGGGAGTCATGGATGAAACTGATACATGCTTTTCAGAGATCAAGTCCCATTCCAGGTCCCTGCCCCTGAATCCCATGTCAACCCACCAGGTTTGTTTCCAGGTCACACTCACCTTCTCTAGATCAGACTGGACACTGAGACTCTTGACAAAAGCATCCCCAGAGGTGATAGACTTCTCCCCAGTCAGCATTTTGAAAATCGAAGTCTTCCCTGCTCCATTGAGGCCAAGAAGGCCAAAGCATTCTTTTGCTTGAACGGTGAAGGACAGTTGGTTCACAGCCAACAAGGGTACCTTCTTAGTATAGAGCTGAGATACACAAGACAGAAGACACAGTGAGGATGTGGGCAGCCAGCAGTCAGAGCACTCCATCCTTGCAGGTTGGAGCTGCCCTCAGGGCTCAGGCTCAGACCTACATTCTGCTCTCAGCCACTGCTTCCAGCAGGGCTCAGTATGGTTTTCTTCTCCTCTTACAGAAGAACTTAGTTTTCTAAAATAAACCTTTTCCCCTTCTGTCCCTGAAGCAGCAAAATCCCTTTGATATTGCCTAAGGACTTTGTTTTTGTTTTAACCACCAGTAACTAAAGGGAAACAATATGACTACAAACCTGGGAGGAAATGTTACAAAGTTCCTGTGTGTTTAAAGGATCTCTCAAAATTTCTCCCTGGATCTATCAGTTAGGTTCGGGAGGCTGGGGTTGAACTTGAAAAAGCCGCTGGGCTCCTCCACAATTGTCTTCTAGCCCAGAAGAGGTCCAAATAGTCATGTCCTACCCTTCTAGCTTTTCTTGGTTCTTAGGGTGCATGACTCCTGTATCCCCTCCCCCATTTCCGGCCCTCCCCTATGAACCACAGAAGAAGCAGTGGAAGTCGGAGCTTTTGTCTCCCAGGGGGAAAAATGAACTCAGGTATGCTTCATTCTCAAAAACAGAAGCCTTGCTCTGAGTCTGTCTCTACTGGAAGCTCATGAATGGCTGTAGACAGTACTCAAGCCTATCAATGAACTGATTCCATGTGCAAAGGAGCCACAAGAAAAATGACCTTGGCTTTCTAAAGCCAAATCTGAGAGCCAGGTATGCTGCACATACCTGTAATCCCAGCACTCAGAAAGCTGAGGCAGGATGATTGCAAGTTCAAGGCCAGCCTGGGCTACATAACAAGACCCTGTCTCAAAAAAAAAAAAAAAAAAACCCAGAAAGATAGATAGACAGATAGATAGGGATTGAGATCTGACTCATGCAATAGTGTGCCTGACTAGCAAGTGTGAAGTCCTGAGTTCAAACCCCAATAGCACCAAAAAATAAAAAGTTTGACTTTACCTTTGACATGTCTTTAACAACTAGTGGATTTTTCTTTTGCAACAATTCCAAGTTAGTCTCAATAATCTCTGCCTCCTCTTTTACATCTTGGTCTTTGGGCAATAATGTTACATTGGGGAGCACTGCCTACATCCCCAAGACAAGGACAGAAATGTAGCTGTTAATGAGAGTAGAAGGTAGAGACTGAAGGGAATCACAAGGACTAGATCCTCCTTGGGAAACCCTGAAGGTGTCCCACTGACATCCGGTCTCATGTGCGCACCACTGCCACAATCTCAGGAGCAACTGTGGGTATCCGGGACTAAACTCCTATTTACAAGATTGTGATGCGGTAAACATGCAAACTTCACATGGTGTCCACCTTGGAGGAGAACTAAGACTTAAAGCCCAGGGATGTCAAGCAAAGCCCATTTCCTGCAGAGTTCTCTGGTGGCCTTAGCTTCTGAAAGACATTCATACCAACAACTGATAGAACAGACCTGTGTCCTGTTGGCTCATAGATGACTGGGGAGGAGTCACAAGATGACTGGTTCTAGGAAGCCAGTGTCTTGTTTATATTCAACTGATAAGCTGACCCTTAAAGCACCTCAGGTGCTGACCAGAGTCACAGGGGCTGAACCAGATTCTTCCTCCCCGACTGGAGGTTGGTTCCTGGGTATGGGTTATCACCTCTTTGCCCTGAGATTGGACAAGATGGTCTCCGAGCTGCCTCGGATATTGAAAATCAAGGCAGCTATAGAACACAGAAGGAAGCTACAGTTTTAGGCTTTTGTCCTGTCCTTAGAGGACTTCCACTCTAACCTACTCACCAAATTTTGCTTTATGCTGAAGTCAGAAAGCCTGGCTTTCAGTATCCTGAAGACATTGGTTTCGATAAGGAAAAGCAGGAAGATGTACAGAGGTCCTGAGATAACCAGGGCTGTCAGGTACTTCCCCATCCCGAGGGACTCCCAGGCATAGATGTTCTTTTGGACTATATATCCTTCAGCTAGCATGGGATAAACAGATGTTATCACACTTTGGGTGATTTTCAAAGCCAGTTCTCACCTTTACATATAGTAGGTAAATTCCCATAATAACAACAAAAGCAGCATTATTGTCATCAATGCTATCGCTACATCCTTGCAAATGGTAAGTTTTGTTTTCCTTCCTATAACCAATGCTCTGTAAAAATAATGCAATAAAAGGCTTTTCTCATATTGCACATCATATATATGTGTGTGTGTATATATATGTATATATATAATTTTTGACAATGAAAAATAAAAGGACTGGGAATATAGCTCAGTGGCAGAGTGTATTTAGTATGTATGAGGCCCTGGGTTGAATCCCAAGCACCAAATAATAATAATAAAAAAAATTAATTCTCCTTGTCTATATGGGAGCTATTTGAAATACAAATATGTTTGGTTCTCCTTTCAATTATCAATCCTCCTGCAACTTCAACTGACTACTGATATAGAAAACCTCAGGAGTAGGCTGGAGGGTAACTCAATGGTAGAGTGCTTGTTTAGCATGCAAGAGGTCCTGGGTTCGATCCCTAGCACCACAAAACAAAACATAAGGAGCATCTACTCTCTTTTTTTGATCTGATATGTCTTAATTTTGTAGGTACATGTATTTTATTTTGTTTTATTTTGGTGGGATTGGGGTTTTTCTGAGTTTCTCACTTGCAACACAGGCACTCTACCACTTGAGCCACACCTCCAGTCCATTTTGCTACAGTTATTTTAGGTGGGGTCTCAAGAACTATTTGTGAGGGCTGGCTCCAAACCATGACACTCCTAATCTCAGCCTCCCAAGTAGCTAGGATTACAGGTGTCAGCTACCAGAGCCTGGCTAAATGCATGTATTTAAAAATTAAACAATAAATACATACTTACTGGAAGAAAGAGAAAGGGATGAAGTAGAAACTATTCCCCAAAACTGCCATTACAATTTTATGTACAATTCTTCCATATTTGCTAGATACTTTTTTTTTTTTGCAGTACAGGAGTTTGAACTCAGGGCTTCACACTTACTTACTAGGCGGGCATTTTACCACTTAAGCCATTCCACCAGCCCTAAATAGTATCTTGGAACCTGGCACCAGTGGTTTATGTCTATAATCCAAGATCTTGGAAAGCTGACATCAGGAGGATCATGGTTTGAGACCAGCCTGCTCAACAAGTAGTTGGACATATTGGCATGCACCTGTCACCCCAAGCTATGCAGGAGGTTGAGATCAAGAGGATCACTGTTCCAGGCCAGCCCAGGTAAAAAACTTCTTGAGACTCCATATCAATGGAAAAAATCTGGGTTTGGTGGCACATACCTCTCATGCCAGTGACAACAGGAAGCCTAAAATAGAAGGATCATGGTCCAGGCTAGCAAGACCCTATTTCCAAAATATGCAGAGCAAAAAGGGCTGGAGGCATGGTGCAAGCAGTAGAGCACTTGCCTAGCAATCACAAAAGCCTGAGAAACCCAGAATCTCAAAAAAAAAAGAATAATGCTATGCATTATCTTCTCCAACTTACATATTTCACTTAATAATATACAACGGACATTGACCATGTGAGGATATGCAGATGAAAATAGTTCTTTTTGATGCCTGTATCATTTACTATTGTACCTATGTGTCATCATTTTTTAACCAGTCTCTTTTTGGTATATATACAGGTTATAGTGGCCCCTCAGTGTATTTGTTGCATTGGTACCAGGATTCCTCATGGACATCAAAATCTATGGATGCTTTAGTCCCTGACATAAAATGGCATAGTATAGTTGGCCTTCTGTACCCACAGGCTCTGCATCCATAGATTCAGTCAACCACAAATTGAAAATATTCAGAAAAGAAAAACCGTACCCAGCATGGTAGCTCAAGCCTATAACCCTTGCTATCAGGGAGGAAAAGATCAGGAAGAAATCAGGTGATCACAGCCTGAGGCCAGCCTGGGAAAAAAGCTGGCAAGACCATCTCAACTAATAAAAGTAGGGCACAGTGGTCTATGCCTGTCATCTCAACTACTCAAGGAAGCACAAATAACAGGAATACAACACAGGCCAGCCCAGACATAAAGCAAGACCCTATATGAAAAATACCTAGAAGAAAAAGGGCTGGGGGTATGGCTCAAGTGGTAGAGCGCTGCCTAGCAAACACAAGCCCTGAGTTCAAAGTCTAGTACTGCCACCTGCCAGGTGCTATGTCTCACACCTGTATCCTAGCTACAAGACCCCATCTCCAAAATAACCAGAGCAAAAAGAACTGGAGATGTGGCTCAGCAGTAATGTAACTATTTTGCAGTGAGAAACCATGACCTCAAACCCCAGTCTCTTTTAAAATGGCTAGCCGGGCTCTGGTGGCTGATGCCAGTAATCCTAGCTACTCAGGGCGCAGAGATCAAGAGGATTGTAGTTTGAAGCCAGCCCAGGCAAACAGTTCACAAGACCTTATCTCAAAAATACCTTACACAAAAAGGGCTGGTAGAATGGCTCAAGGTGTAGATCAAGCCCCACCCCCCAAAAAAAGTCTACTGCTGCCAAAAAAGAAAAAGAAAAACTGCATCTATACTGAACACATACAGACTTTCCTGTCTAAACAACGCATTGGAACTATAAATGCTATTTTCATAGCACTTATATTGACAGCTATTATAAGTAACTTAGAGATGCCTTAAAGTACATGGAGGATATGCATAAGTCATAGGTTATGTGCAAATACTCTGTCATTTTATATACAAGGGTGGATATAGCTGGGTGTTGTGGTATACTCTGTAGCTACTAGGGAGGCACAGGTAGGAAAATTGTGGCTCAAGGGGCAACCTGGGCAAAGTTATCGAGACCCTACCTCAAAAACAAAATAATGAGTTCAAATCCCAGTACCTCCGAAAATAAATAAATAAAATAAACAAATAAAAACAAAAGATCTGGGGGCATGGCTCAAGTAGTAGAGTACCTATAAACACAAGGCTCTGGGTTCAGTTCACAATACCCAAAAAATAAAATAATTTTTAAAAATAAATGAAAGGAACCAGGTGCCAGTGGCTCACACTTGTAATCCTAGCTACTCAGGAAGCAGAAATTAGGAGGATTTGTGGTTCAAAGTCAGCCCAGGCAAACAGTAGTTTGAGAAACCCTATTTTGGAAAAACCCATCACAAAAAACAGGGCTGGTGGAGTGGCTCAGGTGGGTAGAATGCCTACCTAGCAAATGTGAGGCTCTGTGTTCAAACCCAGTACCACCTCAAATAAATAAATAAGTGAATATTATATGAATTATATATAAGTAAAATATAACAAGCAAATTCCATTTACAATACTCACAAACATCGTTGCACTCAGTGTCGTTCAGGTTCTTGGCGCTGCAAAATTTTTTTAGTTCAAAATTATAATACAAATTGGTAAAAGCCATCCCCAGGCAGTGCCCTGGAAGTATTAGGAACACACGATCCAAGGACTCTGAGATTTTTGTGTAGCCCAGTTCTGTGAAGGGAATAGAAAACATTAATTCTGCCAGGTGCAGGTGGCTCACATCTGTAATCCTAGCTACTCAGGAAGCAGAGATTAGGAGGATCAAGGTTCAAAGCCAGCCCAGGGAAATAGTTTACAAGATCCTGTCTTGAAAAACACTTTGCCAAAATAGGAATGTTAGAGTGGCTCAAGGTGAAGGCCCTGAGTTCAAGCCCCAGTACTGAAAAAAAAAAAAAAAAGAAAGAAAGAAAATATTTACTCTACTTTTAGGAACAAGAGGGTACTATGTCTCTCTTAACCCATCATACTTTTTTTTTTTTTTTGTGGCGGTACTGGAGTATGAACTCAGGGCCTTAGGCTTGCTAGGCAGGCTCTCTATCACTTGAGCCACTCCACCAGCTCCCCACCCCCCATACTTCTTTAGACTGGATCATCATATTCCCAGGCCTCCAGATGGAAATCTGGTTTCTCTCTGACTCCTTGTTTTTCCTTATCCTCTGTAGTCATTCAACCTTCAAGCCATGAGTATTTTTCTTTGCTCTGTGCCCTGAATCTGTCACTTCACTTCCATTCTAGTTGTTTTATGGTAGGATCTCAAAGAGCACAGTGTATCTGGAAAAATCAGTAGGAGCATGGATGCAGTGTGGGCAGAGGTGGTACAGTGGAGGACAGAGGGAAGTGAGTCTGAGGTGAGCTGGGGCTAGATAGAGCAGGGTCTAAGAACCTGCTCTGGAGTTGCTGGAGTGTCATTTTACAAACAGACAAAGAGGACATGGTCCCTAACTATGTTTATGGAGACCAAACTTTCATTAAGCAATTTTTGAAAGATAGAATCATGAATCCCAAAATAAAAGCAGAAGGAAACTATTAGTCAATTTTTAAGTTAAAAACCAGTAAAACAAAATCAATCTGAAGGAGATGTTAAGTACAAATGCAAATGAGAAAAGTATTGTAGATGTAACATATCAGCACAGTCGTCCAACCTTGACTGAAACAGAGATGGCAGCATAAACATGAAGGTGCCAGTTTCAGGTACGTGGTGTAAATAATGGCTCAGCCTTAGTTTCTTTTCCTCTAATTACGAATTCACAAATAACTCTTTCCCCAACCTTGGCTTATGTATTTATTTATTACCTTTTTATTGAGGAATAGTATATTTCAATGAAATGTATGATAGACAATCTGATGTGCATAAGCCCAAGTAACAAGTGCCCCATCGAGATAAAGAACATCTCTCCCTCCAGAAAGTTCCCACGCATGTCCCTTTAGTCTACCTCCTTCTCCCAAAACTCGAGGCAAACGCTTTTCTGACTCTGTTCCCAGGACCAGCTTTGTCTGCTCATGAGCTTCGCCCCAGGTGTGGCAGACTCTTGCTCAGCACTGTATCTTTGGTATTCAGCCACTCTGCTGCACGTTCCCTTTTTATTGCTAAGCAGTAATCCATTGAATGAGTGTGATGTAAGTGTTTGTTCATCGACCTGAAGATGCATGTTTGGGAAACTCTAGTTGGGACTGTTCAACCCACAGCTACTGTGAACACTCTCACAGCCCTTTGGTGAATATGCACCTTATGGGCACAATTTTTGCAGCTGCTGGAGGGAAAACAGAAGTGTTACATAATATACAGATATGAACTTGTCCTCACCTTGTTCACCTGTGACTGAGACAAGCACAAGGGGGCCAATGCTCAAGAAGGTGAGCATTATGACGAGCTTGACACAAGCACTACCAGCACTGTCAAAGAAGAAGCTGACCACATAGATGAAGGGTGTGATAGCACAGCCATAGAGCATCAGCATCAAGACCACAGCTGGGGCACTCTCATGGTGTGTGAAAGCTTCTTCTTTGTAATATAAGAACACCACCTTAGGAAATGGAAGGGGGGAGAATTTGGAAAAGTTACTAAGAGCCTATCCCTAAACACCAGAGAAAGAATATGGTAACCTAAGTTTAAGAAGTAAGGTGTTAGCAGGACCCCACAGGCTTTTTCCCTCATCTACTCATGAAGCGATAAGCAAGTCTTGGGCTCTGTTCTCAGGGATCTGCCCAGTAAATCAATAGCATAGTGCAGTACAATAAGGGATGCAGAGACGCTTATAAAACACACAGGAAGAACAAAGCAGGAAGCAATTCATGGAACCCTAGAACTACTCAACTCAGCCACAACCAGACACTTCAACCCCTCAGTTCTCTGGTGAACTAAAGCATTGTCTCTTACAAGCATGAGGCAGCAGCTCTGTAGGTACCACAGAAAGACCCTACCTAGAGCAGGTCCCTCTGCTCCAGAGGGTGCTGGAGCCAAGTCACCTTTTTCCAATGTCAGTGATGAAGGAGCTTTCACACCCAGAGTCTAGTCAGACTGAGTCACCAACTAGACTCCCCAGTTGATTCTACTTCTGGGCAAGGGGATCCCCTAGTTCTCAGGAAATAACCTCAGCACCACCAGCACTCACCACCAGCAGCAGAGTGGAAACAAGGAAGGAGATGAGGTCCCACAGCAGAGCAGAGAACCAGAACGCAGTCACATGGACGCCGCTCACGAACTGAATGTGCTTGAACTTAATGCGTCTCTCTGTGACTGTCAAAATGGAAAAAGAGCTAGACAGAAAAGCAATTCCAAAAAGCAAGTTGATAGAAAGGTAATGTCCTTTCGGGCCCCTGTAAAAACAGGACATGAGAGAGGCAGATGTTTAGGTAAAAATGAAAACAGCAACTTTCTTCCAAAATAAAAACTTGCAATTAAAATGAGAAAAAGGAAGTAAGTGGTAAAGTAGGAAGCACTACAGATGTGTGAGTGTGAGCCTGGGAGAAGGGAGTCACACATACTGGTACAAGATGTTCTCCGACTGCTCCTTATCTGTCTGAGGTTGAGGGTGGCTGGAGACTGTAATGGAAGCATTGGCACCAGAAAGCAACTTGAAGAGAAGATTGTCCACCAGAGCCAAAGCCAGGGCAGGGGAATGGTATGCCTGGTTATTGAACAGCGCTGTCACTATGGTGTGGTTATCTACGTCTTCAAAGGAAGCTGCCACCACATAGAGACTATCAAATTCCTCAGGCTCCTCTTTTGCCTTTTTTAACAGGAACTCCTGTATAGGACCTAGAAGAAAGCAGAACACCCAACAGGCAGTAAGAGTTGCCGAGAGTGTCACATAGGCACGGTGGGCAGGGAGGACTCATTGGCCTCCAACCTGCTGTCCTCCTGTGTATCTCATCCCCAGCCCCACCAACCACTATAAGCTCACCTCCTCCTGCTGTTCTCCCCTTGAATTCGAATGAATCTCCAGGTCTTTTCTCTTCATTTTTTAAGTTTCTTTCAATGCTGTCTGCTTCTCTCCTCTCCACTATCTCAATTGGGTCCAGCCCCATCATCTCTGCCCAGACTATGTAGCCCCAGACAAAGCTCCTTACCGTCCATGTAGTACCACCAGTCTTCGCATCTGACCATATTACAATCAATCAACCCAACAAAGTCAAATTTCTACACAGCAGGAGGCCCTCCCAGAAGTTGAACAGAATATTATTTATAAATTATCTACTCCATAGCATTTTGACATAGCAAGAGAAAACAGACTAAGACACTACCCAAACTCTTGGCCTTGTGTCTTTAACTTCCTGCTACACCTAAGTACTGAGAGTTCCCTAGGCTTACAGATGTTCTTCTTGCTGTTTGGAACATTCTTTCGGTTATTGTCCTCTTTTATGGGCTCAGACTCTGGGGTATGCCCATTAGTCATGCACCTGCTTTGTAACTGCCCATCATCTGCCCCTGAGCATCTCTGTTAGGAGCTCCTTGAGGGCTGGCAGTAATATTGTTCACCACTGTATTCCCAGCACACATGCCATGTCACATAGATGATCCACCTAGACTTCTGGACTCTTTAGTGACCAAGATAAGAGTCACAGTGCCACAGGCTGAACGCTCAAGGGCACCAACTATGCAAGCACTCAATAGATACTCTCTCATGGAATTGTCCCAAAGATACCATGAGGCAGAGTTTAGTGTTCTCCCCATTTGGCATTTGAGTAATCTGAGGCCCTATTCAAGGTAAGCTGTACTAACCACTTTCTGTCAGTATAACAAATACCTAAGATAAACAACTTACAAAGAGAAAAAATTTATTTTGGCTCACTTTTTTTTTCTTTTTGGGTGGTACTAGAGTTTCAACTTAGGGCTTCGAATTTGCTAGATAGGCACTCTATCACTTAAACCATGCCTCGAGCCCTGGCTAACACTTTTGGAGGTTTCAGTTCACAGTCAGCTGGCCTTACTGCTTTGGGCCTGTGATAGCTCTTCATGGTGAAAATACATGGCACACAAACCACTCACATCATGGACAAAAAGTGAAAAAGAAGATGAAGTATGGGGCCAGAATGCTACTGTCCCCTTCAGGGGCATGCTCCAAGGACCTGAAGACCTCTCTCTAGGCCTCACCTCTTGAAGGTTCCAGAACTTTCCACTAGTGCCACTTGGGAACAAACCTTTGACACATGGACCTCTTGGGGGACATTTAAGATCCAAAATATAGCTTAGGGCACTATGATACCAACTGTTTTATTACATTATGTTCTACATTTAATCTCTTTATTTAAAAAGTACTTACTTTCAATTCTTGTTTAATCAAAATAGCATATGAGTATAATTTTAAAAAATACCCAAAGAGACATATTGAAAAAGAACACTAGTGCTCCATCCAACTTGCACCATCCTTAGTGCCTGCTCATCATAAGCACCCCTTTTCAAATATTTTAGCACATTTACTTGTTGATGTCTTATTATCAAATCAAGGATTTCGTTTTACTGCCATCACCAACCCCAATGGATTTCCCCACCCCTTTCTTATCCTAGAGTTAAATCATAATTTTGGTTATATCAATAGTCAGTTTGTGACACTATAATGACTAGATAAGAATATTGACAGTTGAAATAAGTAGCGTATATATTATGTTTGTTTTTTGTAAAACTTCCCCCCTGAAGTTAATTGTGCTCTCCTTTCCTCATTTGCTTAGTTTTCCTTGCATTTATCACCAGTTCATACCCACAAACTTCCTGATAGAAGTGTAAGCCTCCCCTCAATACATTCAAACACATTGAATAATTTATCAATTTCATTTTGGGAATGCTCTAATCCCTAGAATGACACACATGGTCTCATTCCTGGGAACCTTTCCCTTCTTGTCATTTGGAATTTGAAAGATGTTTTTTGAGGCTTGCTGATAATTCATCTTCAGAGAGCACTAGGTGGCCCAGAAGAACATCGCTTCCCTGCCAAGAAGAAAAGGACTTGCTTCATGCCCTACTCCCCTGCTCTTGGTACTCACCTGGGACCTGCAGAGGAATCTGTCCCTCATCCACAAGCATATTTGCAAAGTTATCTGAAAGTTGAGGATCTAGGCTGGAATTCTGAGAAACAAAGAACGGAACAATAGTCTGACCATATGTTTTTAGAGTCAACTCCAAGGGAATACTTTCTATGCTCTTTGTTTTGAAGAACATGAGGCTTAGCATAATGATCACCAGAGGCACCAGGATCTGTACAGATAACATCAACATCCAGTTGCGCCACGAGTATGTGACCCTTTTCAGGAGCATAGCGTAGAATTGTTGGCAGAGAAGACTGAACTATAATAGAGAAAGAAGGAGGCATCAGCACAGTGACAGAAGCTGCAGGCACTTAAGTGGCCCCTGGCTTATTTCCACTTACTGTCCCTCAGATATATCTAAGTTTTCAATTATGTTCAAAATTTGCTTCATAATCATAGTCATGACTTGATTAGGTTTAATGGCAGAAAGAGAAAGAATCTGGAAGCAGAACCAAATGCAAATGATAGTTTTGGTTTTTTTCATCTACAATACTGGTAAAAATTTAAAGTTGGTGAGAATGTGTGTGTTGGCGGCAGAATGCCACTGTTGGAGATTTCATTTGGCACAACTTTTTTTTTTAAAGGAATTATCCACATGAATACAATTTCTACATAATCTTTAACCTATAGCTACTCATGTATCCTATAGCTTACTTGTATAAATATTTAAGACCTAGGCATGTATCCTGTCGTGTCTAGTCATGTGTGCTACAGCTTACTTGTATAAATATGCAAGACCTACACACAAACATGCCCCAGTGGTAATGACAGTCAATATCACAGTGTGCAGTTATGTGCTTTGAGGTCCTAAGAGCTGGAGTGGAGTCTGGGGTGGGAGGCCCTCGGAGGCTGCATACTTTTCTAGGGTGCTGATGAGTGGGGATGTGTAGGGCCCTCAGACCCAGGCATCAGTGCTTTCTTATGCCTAGCCCTTAGCCAGGGAGCTCCTATGGGGAGAGGTTTGAGCTAGTCATTCTAAGTTCCTGGCCCAAAATATCAACAAATTCCTGAAAGCCTCTACCAAACACTATCTGACTTTTCCACATTCGGCATGGTGGAGGCTTCATTCACCTCCAGCATTCACCAAAATGCACTCCTGTAACTTCTCATGAGAAGACTCAGCAGCTGTCTCCAGAAGCAGATCATGGCCATGTGGAACCAGGTAACTCCTTGCAAAGTAAGGACTTTAAGGGACAGGTGGCTGGTCCAGATGACCCCTAAACTCTTCCCACCTCAAAGGCTCAATAGATAACAACATCCCCTTTACTATGTGACTCGAGACTATGAAATATGAAAATCAGTCTGTAACCCATGATAGTCTTATTTTACATTAATATTTGAGGATAGCTAAGTCAAAAACACTTTGTAAAATGTGTACCAATATTTTTCTTCAATGTTTTTAGTTTGGGGGGATAATGGGGTTTGAACTCAAGGTCTCTTACTTCCTAGGCAAGTGTTCTACCTCTTGATACATGCCCCAGCCCTTTTTTGTTTTAGTTATTTTCAGATAGTATCTCACTTTTTGCCCAGGGCTGGCCTTGCTTTGAGGCAAGCACTGTACCACTTGAGCCACCTTCAGCCTCCCCGCCACCTTTTTGGTATTTTTTGAGACAGGGTCTTGTTATGTAGCCCAGACTGGCCTCAAACTCAGGATTCTCCTGCTTCAACCTCCTGAGTGCTGGGATTACAAGTGTGCACCATCAAACCTAGCTCAGGCAAACCTACCAATGCACAAAAGCTAGGATCTAGACACACACCACCAGCCCAGCTTGTTGGTTGAGATGGGGGTCTTGATAACTTTTTTGCCTGGGCTGGCCTCAAATCCCAATCCTCCTGATCTCTACCTCCCCAGTAGCTGGGATTACAGGTGAGCCTGTGATGTACACTTCTTGACAGAATGATATCATGATTACAAGAATTAAACCACAATCTCCTTTCTTGCATGTGTTTAGAATACACTGCTTACTCCGGTGTTTGGTTTGATTGGTAGGCCTGTCTGTATTGAGAAGATCCTTGAATGAAGATATTTAATTCTGTCAACAGGAACTCTGCTAATCAGGGGACGGGGACGGACTTGGGATTGCGTCTCAGTTGAGATAGGTGCACTGGAATCTGCCAATAAACAAACCCTAAACCAAACCAAAACACAAGCAGATATAAAATCTCAGAGTCACAGCATACTTCATTTTGCTTGGATTTTTAAACAATGAAATCCATGTAATATTTTTTAAAAATTGATGTAAGGATAAGAATAATGAGGAAAACAGAAGCTGTATCTAGTTTGTTTCCTGGGTAGCATGGTCTTCAAAAAGCACTGAGTTAACTAATCAATGCCTCTTCCAAAGAACTGAGACAAAATTAGCATAAATAGATTTTGTTATTTTCCTTAAAAAGTACCACATTAACATTAAAACGAATTAATGTATATTTAATATCTATTTAATAATAAAAACTGAAAATTACAGAATACATCATTGCTGAGACAACAGGCCAGGGGCTGATACACTATGGCCAGTGAACCAAATTCAGCCAAGGCCAATTTTTTATCTGGCCCTGAGCTCAGGATGGAGCCATATCAATGGCCACATGTTAGGTGGTTATGTAAGTTCCTATGTAATATCCTTGACTGTGTTACTAAGCCTGCATAGTATAAAACACTTACTATCTGGCCCTTTAAGGAAAAGTTTGCTCTAGGCAAAAGATGTGCTCACTGTTGGCAATAAAGAGCTCTGGTGCAAGGAAATGTGTTTCTATTCATGGCCTTTGGACCACTATCCTACTCCTGAGAACCTGCCACAGTAGGACACCCAGTAAGTTGTGCTTCACTTTCCCTTCAGCAGAATTCTGTAAAAGATGGTGTACTTGTTATTTATTGCTATGATACAGATAATCCCAAAAGTTAGCAGCTTGAAACAAGAATGAGTATTCATTATCTCACACAGTTTCTGTGGGTGAGGAATTTATGAGTGGCTTAGCTGGGTGACTCTGTCTCAAGTTTCTCATGAGACTGCAGCCAAGCTATTGGGTAGGGCTACAGTTGCCTAATGGCTCAACTGGGGCTATGGATCCACTTCCAAGGGCCAGACATACAGAATTTTTCATGCCCAAGGCAGAGGAACAAACATAGATGGGTAGGTAGGTATAAGAATCCAAATAATTATATTTCTCAGACAATAATAATAATGCTTTGGGATGGTTAAGAAGAGAGAATTAAAATATACAACAATATTAAATAAGTTGTTGGTGGGATATATCTGATTGAAATAAAAGGTCCTAGAATTTTTCCAGGAGCAGACATAAGTCTTTAATTTGCTTGAGACTTTGACAAACTACACATGTGTGTCTCAGTATCCAGGCTGATCTAGTATGTGGGGATGGGTAAAAATAGAATGAGAAGAAAAAATCCAAAAAACGGAGAGAAAAAAACTGTATGTACTTGGAAGGACTAGTAGAAAATATCAAATTAAACGAAAGGTGTAAGTTTGAGGGTTGGGCGCATGGCTCAGGTGGTAGAGCACCTGCCTAGCGAGTGAGAGGCCCTGAGTTCAAACCCAGTACTGCCAAAAAATAATTGAATATATCATCAATAATATTCACAAATAAACTACATGTTCCAGTAAAGAGACAAATATTGCCAGACTGGATAAAATCACTCCTCCTGTGTTCCTGGCCACACTCTGACCTGGCAGTTTCCATGCACCACTGAGTAGTTTGCATGCAGCTCTCCATCAAGCCTTCCTAGAACAGAGGCTGCCATTCTGCTTCTGGATGTTCAAACTGCTCGTCAGAGAAACCTACAGCTGCTCAACCTTGGGAATTCTTTTTAAATGAAGTAATAAATTCTCCTATTGTTTAAACCATCTGAGTTGGGCTATCTATTACTTGTAGGCAAAAGCACTCCAACAGATAGAATGCCTTTTTTATTTTTCATTCCCTAGAAATTTCTTTTAAAATGAGACTTGTTGAATATTTAACATAATCTCCATTATCCAATATTCCCATTATTGTAAGTACCAGACAGGAGCTGGACAACCATTAGTGAGGCTGTTAGAGAAAAAATTCAAGCATTTGGCAATGTTCAGATCGTTGACCTGTAACCTTTAGACGAGTAACATTCCAACCCTAACATGCTTGGAGCCAAGTTTTGCTCTTCCTTACCTAATGAACACTTCCTCCATTGAAGTGACAGAGGCCCCAAAGGTGGAGATTCCCAGCTCTGTCTGCCTCAGTTCTAGGTCAGTAAATAGAGATTCAAACCTAGAAGGAAAGAACAGTTTTATTCCTGAAAGATGGAAAGTGAATTCTTTACCACCTTTAGCTCTCTACAGGGGAAAAAACATGGATTTTGCAGTAATTTCATAACTACAGCATGTGAACTTGAATGATGGTAATAGCATTTACTTTGAAAGGCTCCGCTGGGCCCCTGTGGTTCATACCTGTAATCTTAGCTATTCAGGAGGCCGAGATCAGAAAGATTGCAGTTTGAAGCCAGCCCTAGGCAAATAGTTCGGGAGACCCTATCTTGAAAAACCCATCACAAAAAAGGGTTGGCAGCAGAGTGGCTGAAGCTGTAAGACTGCCTACCCAGCCAGAGTAAGGTCCTGAGTTCAAACCCCAGTGTTGCCAAAAAAAAAAAAAAAGACAGAAAAGTTCCTATAGGGATTAACCTAAAACGTATCTGGCACATAAGGTTATTTTGAATTGGCACAATGAATTCCCCCCCCCAGTACAATGAATATAAGCTAATAAAAGTGAAAGAAAAAAGAGAAATAAATGATCTCATCTTTGAGCATAAAAAACCATATATAGCATATTATACAGATGCAAAATAATTATTGATTTTTTTCCCTTTTGAGTAGAAAAAAATAATACTATTTTTGGAGTGCTTTCTAAATGCCCATAGCCCTTTCACATGTATTACAAGTATTAACACTGTGTGTCCTTTCAACAGCTCTTTTTTGTTGTTGCATATATTTAGTATCTTACAGCTCTGGAGGTCATAAATCCAAAATGGTTTCACTGGGCTAAGATTAAGGTGTCAGTAATGTATTGCATTCCTTTCTGGAAGCTCCAGGGGTGAAGCTGATTCCTTACCTTTTTCAACTTCTAGATGCCACATGCATTTCTTGGCTTATGGTCTTTTCTTCCAGCAACTGTTATCACTCTGACTTCCTCTTCTGCTGTCATAGTTCCTCTTCTGTTGATTTTTGAGACAGAGTCTTGCTATGTAGCTCAGACTGGCCTGGAACTCTCCATCTTTCTGCCTCAGCCTCCTGAGTGCTGGGATTAGGTGTGCATATGCCACCACATCAATAGCTCTTTGAGAAACATGTCAAGAGGTTAAGAAACCTCCCTGAAGTCAGACAGCCAAAAGCAGCAGAGGCAGGACCCAAACTCAGGCTCTGTATCTCCAGAGATGTGCTTTTAACTATTATGCCAGGTAAGGAAAGGAGCAAGTCCTTATGAGTCTGCTAACCTTGAACATTTGCTCACATATGACTTCTATTTTTTGAACTGCATGAATTGTGGCTTTCTGGGTGATATTAAGAAATCTATCATAACCTTCTACAGTCGAAGACCTATGCTCTCTCACAACCCAGTGTCCACTCCAACTAAGTGCTTTTAAGAGCCCACATGTTATATACCCTTTACAGTCCTGCTTTGTGTATGCTCTTATAGGCAGACAGTGTTTGAGGGCTTACATTGCAAATTAATTGTGTGACTTTAAGCTAGTTATTTCCTCTCTCCAAATCTTTCCACATCTATAACACAGATATTATCTAATTCACAGAGTGATTATAAAGATTGAGATAAATGTAAAAACAAGTTAGCAAAGTAGCCAGCCTCTGTTAAACACTTGGCAAATACTATTTACCAAATATATTCAATATGTTCAATATCTTTTTCTTCATTCAATTTTCAGGTACTGGAACTGTACTCACGCCATTGTTTCTGTTTCACCACTGTAAAAGGTGATTATGTCCCTTTTTAAAAACTGATGTGCAATAGACATAGTGAAGTACCTTGTACTTACACCTGAGGTACTATATAATGTGAAAAATGTACACATCTCAACCCAGTGAAGATACAGGACATTTCCATTTACCCTAGAAAATGCTCTAATGTTCTCTTTCTGATGAGTGCATCTCTTGCCCTCAGAAATCCAGTCCTGATATCTATTACCATAGGTAAATTTTGCCTGTTCTTGCTCTTCATATAGGTCGCGCAATCTTTTTAGTATCTAGCTGAATCTTAGAACATGTATTTGAGATTCAGCTATCTTGTTACATGCATTAGCTGTTCATTCATGTCAACTGGATCAGTACTCAATGGAAGGAATATACCTATCCTGTTGATTAACACTTGGATTGTTTCCAAGTCAGAATGCCTATGAATAGAGCTGCTATAAACATTAATCTACATGTCTTGTTTCTTTGGACATGGTTTTCACTTATCTTGGATCATATGATATATAAAATATAGCTTTAAATTCTTTGCTACTTCTATTGAGAGGTGGGGTTTAATTCTCATTCTCTTCTATCTAGGTTCACCTTAGAGACTTTTTTGACTAAGAAGATTCAAAGGGCCTGGAGTGGTGGTACACACCTGTAACCCTAGCACTTGGAAACTGGAGGCAGTAGGATTAAGGGTTCCAGTACAGCATGAACTACATAGTGAGCTCCTGTCTCCAAAACCAAGGGCTGGAGATGCAACTTAGTGGGAGAACCCTTGCCCAGCATATGGAAGACCCTGGGTTTGACCCCAGAACTGAAAAAAAAAAAAAAGGTGATGCAATGTAAGCAATGGAGCTTAGGTCCGAAGAAGGCTTCAAGGTGTCTTGAATTCTCTGACAGCCTTAGGCCACCATGTGAGATGCCTCACTTCCTTGAACCAACCATGCTGGACAAGACATATGGAGATGTTTTGGTCCACAGGCCCAGATGGGTCCAGCTTTCCAAAATTCCCTGCCGAAGCACCAGACATATGAATGAAGCCATCTTGGAGCCTCCAGATAAAGTCCATTGTCAACTCATATATTGTTCAAGATTTTTTTTGTCTATGTTCGTAAGGAATATTATTCTGTAACTTTTGTTGTTACACCTTTTCCAAGTTTTGATATCAGAGTGTTGCTACCCTTAAAATGAGGAGGGGGTGCTATCTTCTCTATTTTCTAAGAAATTGTAGTTGTTTCTTTCTTCAGTGTTTGATAGAATAGAGAGTTGCCGTTTGGGGAATGTTTTTTATTGCAAATTCATTTTCATAAACAGATGTATGACTATTCATTTTTTCTACTTTATTTTGTGTCAGTTTTGATAAGCTGTTATCTTAAAGGAATCAGTCCATTAAATCTAAATGGCCTAATTTATCTATTCATGGTGTTGTCTTATCCTTTTATAACTCTTGGCTCTGTAATTATAGCAATTCTTTCATTCCTGATGCTGGTAAATTTTCTTTTATCTTTAATGGCTTTGCTAGGGACTTATCAATTTAATTTTCAACTTTTGGCTTCTTTTTTCTTTCTCCCACCATGTCTTCCCATTCATAGTACAGACCAGGCACAGGACCTGGGTTGAGGTATATGTGGGGTAGCTTTACTTCTCCTTTTTCTGTACAGTCAGTGTAAGAACACAGACTGTGGTGAGCACCAGGAGGCAACTTTTTGCTTCATAAGTTTTCTCCTTTTTTATTTGTTATTTCTTTTTTCTTCTTATATTTATCTCTTTCTTTTACATATTCTGGATTTAATTTTCTCTTCTTTTTTCTACCTCTCTAGTTAGAAACTTAGGTGATTGGTATTAAGCCATTCTTTTCTAGTGGAAGCTTTAAAAAGCTACATATTTCCCTCTGAGACGTGCTTCAGCAGCATCTGAAAAATTTTGGTATGTTGTGTTTTCATTATCATTCAGTTAAAAATGTTTTCCACTTTATTATTGACCCCAAGCTATTCAGAAGTATGTTGTTTAACTTCTAAATATTTGAGGATTTTCTAGTTATCTTATTGTAATAATTTCTGATTTAGTTCTATTTTAGTCAGAGATCATAATCTACATGATTTCAATTTTTGCTGAGAGATAAGCTAGACAAATGGGTTTAATAATACAATACTCTTCACAGAGATGATTATACAGAATTTAAAAAAACTTTAATCCAGGAATATATATGTAGCATAGCTCTAAAATAAACTTTTTAATTTTTTTTGCCACAACTACTATAAACATAATAACTCTTCTTCTCTCCAAAATGATCCTAATTATACAAGAAAACAGATATAGTAGAAGAACTAGAAACCTAGCCTTGTGGACAAAAGTAACACCAAGGGGGAAATAGCAATTCAGTGGTTTGCTATTAAAGCAAGAGCTGTGCCCCTTCTCTGCCGCTTCGCTCTTCTTGCTTCCTCTGTCCCTCTCCAGCCCTTCCATGTCCGTCACGTTCCCTTGCAATAAGCCATGTGAGTTTTACACTTTGATGACTACAGAGATTTTAAAAAGATATAATCCAGGAATGTGCATGAAACAGAAAACTTTTTTTCCCCACTACTCTGTAAACACTGCAATACTTCTTTGGAGTTTACCACAGTGCCAATCTTTTTCTTATATGTAGCACTGAGCAGACACTTGTCTGAAGGCACAAAGCCTTCAGAATCTTTACTTGAAATGGGTTAGTTTGACCATCATTTCCTTTTCAATATAATGAACATGCTGCTTGACAACAAGTACTTCTGGAAGGGCCTGGTCACTTACATGGGGAACTGCTTGCTTTTGTACTCTGCTCCATCAGTATAAGCCTCCAATTTAAAAAATTTATTTGGATTTATTTCATGGTCCAGCACAGAGTCCATTATGATAAACACTTCGTAGACACTTAAAGAGAATGGGAGTTCTGCAGCTGTGGTATGTAGTGTCCACTGATGGCAAGTAAATCAAGTGTCTGCTGATGACAGTGTTATTCAAATATCTTATATCCTTAGTGAGTTGTTTTTAAAAACAAGTACTGGTACTACCCACAATGGAAGGCAGGGTGCTGTAATTTCCAACAAGGTTGTAGAATTTTTGACATCTGGTTTTGTCAACGTTCATCTCACCTATTTTATTTTATTTTATTTTTTAAATAAAATTTATCAGAATTTAATGATTCTCATTTCAGTAAATCATAAATCAAAGCCCTTCAGTAAATGCAACCAATGCAGTAACATTTGGCCATATGAACCAGACCAACTAAAACTAAAGAGTTTTAGTATATAAACCTCTGCTTAATGTTCCGTTGTCTCTTAAACCTGCCAAATGTACAAATCTGTCTAGAACTTCAGGACACAAAAGTGCTCAAGTATGAGTCTGAGATTGTGCTGTCATAGAGAAAGGCCAACACTGATGTGCAAAGGGGAAAAGAAAGATAGCAGCTTCTGCAACAGGAGCTAAAACAAAGAAAAACCAGCTAGGTCCTGTGTGTGTCTCTGCTTCATTGCTTCCACGTTTGGGAAAAGGAGCCTGTTCTTTTGCTAGGCCTCGAGGCTAGAATCCACTAGGCATCATGTTGAGATCTAAGTTCACGGTGCTCTCAGCAACAGCCGGGTGTGACTCTGAGGCTGGGTGACCTATGCTTTCAGAGAAGCAGGAAAGGGCCCACTCGTGTGTTGCAGTCTCTCAGAAACCAAGAGTCCATCAAAGCAGTGAGCAGCGGAAGAAACTGGTCTTCTTGGATCGGTGTTCTGTAATCTTCACTGGCCCACCTGCCCCTGATGAATTGCTGTCGTTCATTTTTCTGTTGAGTTTTGTCATTATATCTCGTGCAAGTGTAAAAAATGCCTCTTCTACATTTGTACTGGATTTTGCACTTGTCTCCAAGAATTTAATCCCATAGTCAATTGCTAACTTCTCCCCTCTCTCTTTTGACACTTGTCTTTTGTCATTCATGTCACACTTGTTCCCCAGGATCATCCTTTCAACGTCTGAAGAGGCATGCTCTTCAATGTTTCTGATCCAGTTCTTAATATTGTCAAAGGATTTTTCATTAGTGATGTCATAGACCAGCATAATTCCCATGGCTCCTCTACAGTACGCGGTTGTGATTGTTCGGAATCTTTCCTGACCTGCTGTGTCCCAAATCTGAAGCTTAATTTTCTTTCCATCAAGTTCTATCGTTCTGATTTTAAAATCAATCCCGATGGTGGAGATGAAGGTGGTATTGAAGGCGTCCTCAGAGAAGCGGAACAGAGGCAGGTCTTGCCTACGCCCGAGTCGCCGATCAGCAACAGCTTGAACAGATAATCGTACGTCTTCGCCATCTTCTCGCTCCGGCCCTCTGACCGACGAGCGAGAGGAGGCGGCGGAGAGAGGCGCTCTCTCACCTATTTTAAAGTTCTGCTATGAGGCATGTACACACACATACAGAATTGTTACATGAACAGTCTTTACGTACTGTCTCTTCCTGTGGCTAGCTGGTAAAGACGACCTAACAATTCCTCCCCCCAATCATACATGCCACTCCTTGCTTCAAGAAGTGCTTATTTCCCCCTTCACTTTGACTGCTCTGAGCAAGACAATGTGACAGAAGAGATGTTTTGGTATTTCTGAGCTCAGGCCTTAAAAGGAGTGGATGTTTTTGTTTTCTCCCTTTTTGAACACTCACTCTTGGGATGTCCCTTCTTGGACCTTTCCTATCATGCTATGAGAAGTGCAAGCCACCTTGAGAGGAGGACTGAGTGCTACAATCAGCAGCCCCAGTGAGCTCCCTGCCGATAGCCAGTACCATCACCCCAGATGTGAAAATGAGCTGTTGTGGATATTCCAGCTCATTCTAGGCCCTAGACAACTATAGCCCCAGACAACATTATAAAAACTGACCAGCTGAGCCCAGTCAACATACAGAACCATGAGAGGAGTAAAATGGTTGTCACTTAAATACAGCACATTTTGAAGTAATTTGTTGAAAGAGAATTTGGTACCAGGGACACTTCAACAAAAATCTAGAACATATGACATAGGTTTGGGACCAGATAGTGAGGGGAAGGCAAGAAGAGCCTTAAGAGAACTCAAGATAGAGCCTGGAAAAACAGTGAGAAAATTATTTTTCACATTATTTAGTGATAGAAGACTTGGCAACACATTCACACATGGTAACATGGAAGGGTATTTAATGAACTTGAGGTGACGTTCCTATGGAAATGTTCAGTCACAACAGTGAAAGCATTAATTGGTTTATTATAGCTGGTATGGTAAAATACAAGAGAAGCAACCTAAAAAGTGAAGTAATCAAATATTTGACAGAAATTAGAGAAAATATAGAGGGTCCAGGGAAGTCTTCCAGCTTTCAAAAGGTTCTTGAAGTACTCAGGGAAAAAAAAATGAAAGCCAAAGTGATATCAATAAAATATTGTTTCAGGATAAAAAGCTGATTAACTGTGTAGCTATGAGAGTCTTTATTGAGAGCCAATTGATAAATTTCAGTGGTACCCCACTGCCCACAGACTCTATCATCTGGACAAAGGCTTCTAAAAATCTTGGGGTGTTATACCAAGTTACCATGGCTCTTAGCCCAAGGTAGAGAATGACCTGTTTTGAAGACTGTAAATGTGACTTTAGTCTAATGAAATATGTTTCATAATCTGACATGTAGGAAACCTATAAAGTATTTAAGCAAACATAGCAGCTTGGACAGTAAGGAATAGAGAATGTTCAAAATCAAAAGGGCCCCCTGGACAATTTCCTATAGGCAGGAAGCAGGTAATGAAGCTACTTACTGCAAGTATCAGCCAGTTTTTATGGAAAAGGAAGTACTATTCAAGAGGCAGAGTCAATAGTCAGTGAGTAGAGTCAAGGGCTGATCAAAACCACTCTTAGGAAGTAGAACTGTATCCTGATCAATGTATATTCCCTGCCCCTAAAAAAGCAGAAATTGGTGACACATGTACACCTAGAATTCAGAATTTCTAAAGACAATGGTTATATGCCTCTTGTTTTTTCTGTTTCCGGATGGTTCTGTCTATTGTGGACATCCTACCCATATCATCATTGCAAGTCCAATGCATTGGGTATGTGCAGATCAGATAATGCTTCTCTTTAGTTCACAGCTCTTCAGATCAAGAACAACCATACCCAAGTACCGCACTTGAGAAGCCACACTTAATTCAGATAATGAGATCCTAAATCTTGTTCTGATTCTGTAAAAGGACAGACTTAGGGGAAATTTGTGTATTCTGCAGTATTTGTGAAGGTCATGGATTTATGTGGCCAGGGATGGGCTGTGGTAACCTCTTGGTTCTTACCTGTGTATGCTATCTTTAGGAAGTATATATATTAATTCTTCTGCAACATTGGACTCCAAAATTGCATTTGGTATGTGATGATAAATAAGATGACAAAGCTTCTCTGTGTCACAGCAAGGTGTTTTCAGTAAAGTCATATAGTATCCTGTTCCTGAAATGCCATGTAACAGACATGAAATCATTTTACTCTTTATACTTTTCTTCTTGGGTCTATAGCTTAAAATGGTACAATTCCAGGGGAAAGGGAAATGTGAGGCCAAGTTTAAACCCAAATGAATTGGCCTTAGGACCTCTGCAATTCTATTCTGGACTCTTCCCTCTGCTCCAGTGACAGTGGCAAATTAGCAATGTTAGATAACACCACAGAAGGCTAGATTAACAGCAATACTCCCTTTCAGTGATAACTAACTTGAGGAAATGAAAACTTAGTAGGCAGGCACCTTGAATGTTAAGTTGAAGACCAAAGATACCTACATAAAAATTACACCATGGTTTTGAGGATACTTACATACCTTACAGCATTTGAAACATTCTTTTAGAAATCAGTAACACCTTTTACTATCATTCAGGACATGTGTTCATTCAACAAACATTTCTGATGCCCTAAGATATGACAGGCACTGTTCCACATATTGAGGATATAGAAGTAAAAAATATCTAATCTCATGGGGCTTTCACTAAAGGAATAGAAGACAGAAGAAAAATAAGTAAAGTTTATGGGGTACTAATGACAAGTGCTAAGGAGAAAAATAAACAGAGTGTGATTTGAAACAGGATGAAGAAGGTGTTACTGAGAATGTGACATCTGTGTAAGGACAGTCGGTGACCTGAGGAGAAACAGGACAGCTATGCATAGCAGAGGGCTGAGTAGCAAGGAGCCTGGGTAGAGGTGTTATTTCATTTCTTCTTCATTCCCACAAGCTCCTCCGAGGCTGCTCCCCACTGATGTGTGGCACTGACCTTGTCATGAGACGGAGGCTGACCTGCCCACCTGCTGCCCACCACTCACCATATTTCTGCTTGAGGAACAGTGATGACCCGCAGCACTGCAGCTCCCCCTTGGCCATGATGGCAATGCGGTCCCCAAGCAGGTCGGCCTCGTCCATGAAGTGTGTGGTCAGCAGGATGGTGCGGTCACTCTTCTGCTGCTGAAGAAGGTCCCAGATGGCCCTCCTGGAGATGGCGTCCATGCCTGAGGTGGGCTCATCCAGAATCAGCAACTGGAAGGCAGAGGCACAGCTTTGTGATGATGGCAGAGCCACCTTCCAGGCCCAGGCTGGCTGTGCTGTGAGCCCTGTGCGGCTTGAGTTGGGGACATGCCCAACTCAAGAGGTTTAGCTCTGGAGCCCTGTGTTTGTCCACTGTGTGTGGCGTGCTGCCCTGGCTGCATTAGGAGGCTGGGCCCCACTGCCCCCTACCTTAGAGCCTGCTATGAGGGCGATGCCGATGGAGAGCTTGCGCTTCATCCCCTCGCTCAGGAACTTGCTCCTTGAGCCCCGCTTGTCCTCCAGACTGAGGAGGTGCAACATGTGCTTGACTTCTTCAGGGCACTTCTGGGCGGACAGGCCTTTTAGCTGCAACAGCAGGGGACAGGGGAAGGGCATGAACCAGGGCTGCTCATGGGAGCATATATCATCCAGATTGAAAGAAAGAGTATAACTATCTCCTATTGGCAGATCATATGATCTTATATATAGAAAACCTTAAATAATGTACAACAAATCCATTAAAGCTAATCTATGACTTCAGCAAAGTTGTAGGACACAGGATCAACATACAAACACAGGGATGGGGGTGGTGGTCTCTGTTAATTCTACCTTCGTGGGAGGCAGAGATGAGAGGACTGGGTTTGAGGCCTGCCTGGGCAAAAAAATTAGTAAGACTCAAATCCACAATAAAAAGCCAGGTATAAGGTATACACCTGTAATTTCACACATGTGAGAGGCAGAGGTAAGAGGATTGCATCCTGAGGCCAGCCCTGAACAAAAACAATACCCTACTTGAAAAATAAACTGAAGTACTTACCTACAGCACAAGACCCCGAGGTCAATCTGCAGTCTGTTCCCTCACCAAAAAGTACAAATTCAAGTTTGTATTTATTTATTTTCCTCTGGTTTTTTGAGATAGGGTCTGACTCTAAGCTGGCCTTGAACTTGCAATCCTCCTGCCTCAGCCTCTGGAGTGCTAGATTGCAGGCTATAGTGAAACCAGCTCTCACGGTCCTGAAGAGAGTAATCACATCTTGCAACAAGCTAAGATTTAGCTGTTCCACATGCCAGATTTCAGAAAAACAAACTGCTGTGCTACCCAGGATCAGAGTGTGTTCCAAGACCAGGAAAACTTCCTGATAAGGGCAAGGAAATTACTCTGTGAACACAGTACTTGTCCAGAGCCTGGTTTTATCTGTTTGGTTATTTGAACCTGTACTTACTTCTGCTGTTTCGACACTGGGTGGTGCTCTAAATTCAGGTATATGCTATGGACTTAGCCATATGGAATAGGAGCTTGGTAGGCAGGAGGGTGGTGCCTTGAGTAAGGGAGAGTCTGGGTGGGTGAATATGCCCTCTGTAGTAATCCGACACACTCTTTAAGTAACCCCTACTAAACTCATTTTACTCATTAACCGAAATTTTTTTTGGTGGTACTGGAATTTGAACTCAGAATCTTGTTCTCTCTCTCTTTCTCTCTCTTCCTTCCTCCCTTCCTGGTGTTACTGGGGTTTGAACTCAGGGCCTGCCTTTTGCTTGCTAAGCAGGTGCTCTACCACTTCAGACATGCTTCCAGCCCTTTTTGCTTTGGTTATTTTTGAAATAGGGTCTTGAGTTTTTGCTCAGGCTGGCCTGGACTGTATTCTTCCTACTTTTCTTTCTTTTTTTTTTTTTGGCTTGGGCTGGCCACAAACAGCAATCCTAATCTCTGCCTCCCCAGTAGCTGGGATAGTAGATATGAACCACTGTGCCTAACACATAAGTCTATATTTCTTTGCACTAGTAATGAACTATCTAAAAATGAAATTACAAAAACAATTTCATTTATATAGCCACACAAAGGATGTTTAGGAAAAGAAATTAACCATATAAGTAAAAGAATGGTGCACTGAAAACAATAAAACATTGTTGAAAGAAGTTAAAGAAGACCTAAATAAATGGAATAAATGGAAATATGTCTTATGTTCATGGATTTGAATCTTTAATACTGTTAAGATGACATTACTGGCCAAAAAACCTACAGATTTAATACCATCCCTATCAAAATTCCAATATGAAAAAAGAAACAAAGTTGGAGAAGTCATACCTTCTGGTTTCAGTACTTACTGCAAAGCTGCAGTAATCAAGACATTGTGGAAGGAGAATGTTTTATAGAAGGACAGAACAATGGAATAGAATTGAGAGTCCAAAAACAGTAACATGCATCTATAATAAATTGATTTTTTCACAAGAGTGGGAAGCCCAGTCAATGGGAAAAGAAGTCTGTTCAACAAATGGTGCTGAGAAAACTGGATATCCACCCACAAAATTCTCTAAACTATGAGGTTTGGAGAGTCTCTGAACATACTGAGGTACTGTTAGGGTACTGTACTTGGAAAGAGCATGAAAGCTCTGCACCCCTTCCCACATACCTTACTCTATGCACATCTTCATCCAAATGTTCATCTGTATCTTTTAAAATTCCATTTACAATAAACTGGTCAATGTAAGTATATGTTTCCCTGAGTTTTGTGAGAAATCGCAGAAAATTACTGAACCTGAGGAGGGGCTGTGGGAATCCTTGATTGATAGTCAGTTGGTTGGAAGTATTGGTGACAACCTGGGATTTGTAATTGGCATCTGAAGTGAGAGGCAGTCTTGAGACTCAGCCCTTAACCTGGGGATGGGGTGCAGGTTCTATGTTCACGCCAGGCAGTTAGCATCAGAACTGAACTGTAGTATACACAGTGTCTGGAGAGTTGGTTGGGTGGGAAAACTGCACCCTGCATTTTACATCAGAAGTGTTGAAAGTAGAGAAACATGAGTGTTTCTTTAAAAGACCCTCCCAAAGTGCACCAGAGAACTGAAGTCTATCTCACTATTCCCAAGAAGGACACAGAAGGAACAAATATTCCATTAACTATCAACTTACCTGAGCATAGAAAAAAAGATGTTCTGCTACTGTGAAGTTATCAAATAAGATATCATGTTGGGGGCACCACCCCATGCTCTTCCTGATTTGAACCATGTCTTTGGAAATCTCATATCCACTGATAAGTGCCTTCCCACTTGAAGGGACAATAAGACCTAGAACCAAGTGGAAGAGACACCCTAACGTCATTTTCAGTCTGAGAACTCAGAAGTACAAATTCCTACCCCTGGTTTGTATGCTTATTCTCCCTTCTTTGCCACTGTCAGTCAATTGGTAGCATCCAAGGAATATATGTTGTATGTGTGATAATATGCAAGTATTTTTAGAGATAGAAGATTCGTTTCTTTTTTTGAGCAACTTCAATCGGCTAAGTGAATAAAACAACAGATGTACTTATAAAGCAAATTATATTACTGTAACTATTAAGCAATAATTTGAATGTTTAGTAAATATGGTAAAGAAGAAAGCATTTTGGAAATATAACAATCTTGAATTGAGATCCTCAAAGACAAGGAATGCATGAATGTATGCCAGTGTAAAATTCTGCAGCCTGCCCACCTGCATACTGTCTTTGTTTTTCTTTTCCTTAGGGTGAAAAGAACAACAAATTCTTACTGGAAAAAGAAAAAAAGAAATAATAAAGGAAACAAGGGTTATACAAGTCCCATCATTAAAAGATAAATATTGTTAGCATTTTGATAGACAGCCTTATGGATTTTTATATACAACTGGCTCATACATTTATTTATTTATTTATTTATTTCTGTGCTGGCTTGTCTTCTTGACTGTTAGCCTGGGGGATATAGCTGACTTTCCTTCCAGCAATGAGGACCTCACAAGTCTATGTGGTAGGAAGAGGACCTTCCTAACTGGTCACACTGCCACAATGCATGTACCCAAAAGAAGACCATCTTCTAAAAACACCACTGTGCCTGTTCAGGAAACTGTGGGGCTCAGTCCCTTGCCCTAACACACACAGAGCTGGTCCACTGACCATCTGCTAGCTGATACCGAACGGGGCACCAAGTGCTACTATTGCTGCTCTTCAAATGTCTTCAATGGAAGGTTTAAGTGAAGAGAACCACAGCAGACTGACTGTGAGGTGCTAATAGCTTTCCAGCAGTGTGGTGCTCTGTGGGCAAGAAAAATTGGTTGGCTTTTAGAGTTCCTTGAAGGTCAGAAGTGTGCCTCATTGGTTTTGTTCAGTGCTTTACACGTTAAGCCTTTAATAAATATATATATTTCTTGAATAAAATAGGATGTAAAATAATTATTTAGGTGCAAAATATACTGAAACGGAATCATTTTAGAATAATTCACAGACACCATTTTAGAACACAGATGTTTCTGTTGAGAGATTAGTAGTGCCTTGCTGTAACAGGAAATTTCTATCTCCAAAGAAACTGCTAGGCTCTCACTGTTCATGGCTTCTACAGTGAACAGAACTGAATTCTGCAATCTGACTGAGAGAGGCAAAGACTTCCTTTTCCTGGCAAGGGTAAATTGAACAACCAGACACTAAGTAGATGGTACAATAAAAAACAATGTTTAATATTAAAATCGCTATAAAATCTAATAGAAGAGTTGGAGCTCTGCTCAATGATTTCTTAAGTGCTTTTTCAGGAGGCCAGACCCCACACAAGTAAGTACCTGTGAGCATGGAGCAGATGGTGGTTTTTCCTGCTCCGTTGTGTCCCAGAAACACAGTGATCTGCCCCCTGTACATATTCATGCTGAGATCTCTGACTGCTATGAGTTTACTCCTTCCCCTGTAAAATACCTGTGAGAGGGTCAAGGCATGACTGGCAATGTAACACACACACACACACACACACACACACACACACACACACACACACACAGAGGAGGCATTTCTGAAGAGGCTGTGACAGGCCTAGCACCCATATCAACTTCCCTTAAAAATTCATCAGTGGAAATTCAAGTACAAATCTAAAAAAAAAAAAAAGAGAGCCTTCTTACGGTTTAGCTGCCTGGAGCTACTGAGGAGCTGACCCTGAGCAATCCCAACATCTTTTCCCTGATCCCCAGAACCTGGTAACAAAGAACCTGACCAGAGGATTGGAAGCTCAAAGAAGAAGTGCCTGGAGCATGAGTGGCGCTCTTCTCTGCTTCTGGAACCATACCTTGTCCCTTTTCCTAGCTAAGCCCCCAAGAAAGGCTAATAACTTGCTTCTTTCTCTGGAAGTATTGATCTGGAGAAGGAATCTCAGAGCCTCCTGTTTTCCAAGCAAGATATCTTCAGTACTTTAAATATTATTTTTTATTATTCAAGCAATTCATAATTAAGAATAGAAGGAAGAGCTGGATGCCCATGGCTCACACCTGCATTCCTAGCTACCTGGGAGTCTGAGATTGGGAGGACTGTCATTCGAGGTCAGGCCAGGCAAATAGTTTGTGAGACCCCCATCTCCAAAATAACCAAAGGAAATAGACTGGAGGTGTGGTGTAAGTGGTAGAGCACCTGCTTTGAAAGTATGAAGTCCTGAGTTCAAACCCCAGTTCCACCAAAGAGAAAAAAAAAAGAGTATAAGGAAGAAATTAAAAAACAACCATAATGCCATCCCAGAGACGGTATTGCATTTTGCTATCTGCCTTAGGTTTTTTTTCCTTTTTGGTGGGACTAAGGTTTGAACTCAAGGCTTTGAGTACTGTATCACTTGAGCCATACCCACAGTCCTTTCTGGCTTTGTTCTCTTTTGGTTATGGTCTTGTGTTTCTGCCTGGGGGCTGGCCTTGGATTGCAGTCCCACGTAGATGGAACCAGAGGTGGGCACCACCACCCCATCGAGGTCTCGATTCCTTTTTCCACCCAGGCTGGTCTCAAACCTTGATCCTCCCAATCTTCACCTCCCAAGAACTTGGGACTATAGGCATGAGACATTCCTGGCCTGCCTTAGACTATTTCTGTCCCATCTAATGGCATTTTGACTGAACTTGGGGTCTGGAGTGCAGACACAATTGTTGGATGGGACTTGGATGTCACTTCTTCTCACAATCTACCCAGTGATGGTTTGGGCAGGGCGCTATTGAAGGAGTTTGAAAGCTTCCCCTGCTTCCACATATGCTTGATATCGGCTTTGTTTTGTTTTGTTTTTTGAGGTACTGGGGATTGAACACAGGGCCTTGTGCTTGCTAGTCAGGAGCTCTAACACTTGAACCACACCCCCAGCCTCCCCTCTTCTTTTTGCTTTAGTTAAGTTTTGGATAGGGTCTTGCATTTTTACCCTGGGCCAGCCTCAGACCATGATCCTCCTACCTATGGCCTCCCACATAGTTGGGATTACAGATGTGAGCCACCATGCCCAGCCTTTACCAGTATGACAGTACTGCTCCTGACTTCTTAGTCTCACATTCAGTAGAGATGGCAATGTGGCCAAGTTCTGAGCAATAAGGATAGGGATAGTCTACTGAAGGGAAGGAAGGCAAGTCTTACCAAACACTTGCTTCTCACCACAGATGAGCTACAGCAGCCATGAAAGCATACAGGCTACGAATGGCTAGGGGAAGCAACCATTTCACTCATCACTCGATCAATCAGAAAGAGCTGTGTTCTGGCTTGGTTGAAGAGCTGAAGTGAGGCAGAACCATCTAACTGCAGACTGTTTGTTATGTGAAATAAACCCCTCCAGAAGATGGGTGAAGAGTCAGGCATTCCTAACTACTATATGGTAGTAGTGTTACACAGAGGAGCTGGACCCATTTCTTGAGTACCCTGGGCTAGGATGTAATGCAGTTGATCCCACAAGCAGAAGTTAACAGAACTGAGCTAGGGCTTCAAGACAACAATTCTGCAGTCCAAGCAGTATAGGACTCCATGCTTCTGCATAGCTGAAGAACAGAGATTTCAAACAGAACAATCAGACTCTATAGACACTGCAGGTTCTGAGCTCACACCCTATTACAGGAGTCCTTAACACAGGGATCATGTGGAACAAGGCTCTATAGTCACCTATACAAGAACAGTTGCCTCTGAATCTGCACTGGGAAGCCAACAGCACAATCTGGTTTTCAATTTGGTTGGTGGTAAAAGTCATCCACCAAATGACTGAAAGAGTCCAACAGGGGTGTTTGGTACTGGAGGTCAAGAGGAGACTACTTCCAAGAAACAGTTCACAAACCTTTCATCCAGTCATTTAACACCATGGCCAGAAACAGGGCATTTCAAGCTATATCTAATTTTAAGGTTAGCATTACAGAAGAGATTGAAATTCCCAGTCACAAAGAGTATTTTGTAAGCACTGTTAGAAAAAAAGAGAAGCTTATATGGGCTATTTCTTAAGTCCTTAGAATGAGGTCTATGAGCCAAACCTTGTATAGATGCTGGATTTCAATTCCTCTTATCAGATCAGTTGGCTCTTCCTGTATGAACTTGCTTTTCAGAGTTTTCTCAGTATCCTCCATGTCCAGCAGTGCCTGTGTAACTGGAACAGGTTTCTTGAACCAATAGGAAGGCTGAGGAGAAAGTCATTTATGTGGACTGATGTTTTCTTCTGGAAGATAAATATCTTGGTAAATTAGAGCCTCTCTCTCTCTACCCTATAGGCGGTGCACCTGCATCAACGTCTAATGGTGGCTACAGCAGTCAATCATCTTGTTTATGGATTTGTTACCAGTCAACTGCATTGCAGCCTGCCACCCATGAACTCAAGGAAGGAGCTAGGAAAGTTGCCTTGTTTTCTGGCTCCTGATATACTTGGAAAACTATGGTACCAGCAGTCAGCATTCCTGGGAGCTGGGTCTGAAGACAATCCAATTCCCCATACTCCAAGAAGGGATGCAAAGTAAACTCTGTAGATGTCCCAAGTCTGTGTGATTCCGTTAGGATCAGCAGGTCTATGGGTGGGCCACCAGTTGGCACTGTAGGAAAACTGAGTCAAGCATGAGAAGCTCAACTTTGTAAGAAAAACTTAGTCACCATGGGAAAGAATTGAGTCTGAGAATGTCAGGGGTTATCATAATAAGTTGTGCCCCTGCTGGCACCCTAGGGGGTGGTCACAGAAGTCCCAAAGAACTTCAGGGCCTTTCCACTAGTATAGGTCAATGGGGAAAGGGTGTGCAAGGTCTCTAGCATGTTGACAGTCAAGTACTGTGGAGAATGCAGGGCCTGATATTCAATGGCACCCCTAAAGCATCTGTGAGCACATGGCAGGGAGGGCGGGGAACGATGCATGAGACTGATGCTCCTGCTCCATTCCATCTATCACATCAGCTGTGGGACAAGAGTCGGAGAAACCGAGACTCACTGTTAATTATACTCCAGTGGCAACCACAAATCGATAGGTTTGGGATAAACCCAGGGTGTAGACTTCCTGGGGTTTGAGATTTTAATCAGGATATCACTGAGAGACATAGGAACATTGCTGACAAATAATTTAAAAGCTTAACTTCCATCTATAAAACAGCAACATCAGAACTAACCATGGCAAAGAAGTACCAAGGCTTGGGTGTTCCATAGCTCCCTGGGAAGATGGACTCCACATAACAGGTTATCGCACAGTACAAGAGCGAGTCCAACAGGAGCATCAGCAGCACCTGAGTGAAGCTAAATTCTCTGCTGATGCTGCCCATGTTTCTCCACTGGATGCCGGTGCCTGTTATAAAGGAAGGAGGACAGGTGCTATATTAAAGGCAGAGAAGTCACCAAAACTTTCCCACCAAACAGTCAGGAGCTAGGCTAGTGACAAGACTGGACTGTTTGTGTCTGGAACATTACAGGACCAGCACATGGCACAGGAAAGGTGGGCACTTTATCTCTTATGAGATAAAGCACTGTTATTGTTGCCAACAGGTGACGTTACTTTCACCAACACCAATGAGTAAGATACTTGGTCATCTAAGACCCATCTCCATGTTTCTGCATAAGCTGCTAGAATGCCTTCCCATTCCTCCCTGCCTCCTTTGGCTACTTCTTACCTCAGATAGATAATTCCCTACCCAAGAAGCAGGTGTACCCATACTTCTTGTCTGGGAGAGATGGCCAGACAAGAAGTGTGCCTAACTTAGAAGCTCCTGCACTCCACTGTGAATCTGCTCACTCATTGCTGTCCCCAGTCTGTGCAGTCTCTGGGGTCAAGGGCTCTTTTTGTTTTCAGTATCTTCAACATCTGACCAGGATCTATTATGGAGTACCTGCTGAATACTTACTTATTCCATGAATAAAGCAAAGCACTGAGGAAGGGCTTGGGCTCCATTCCTGAGTACTCATGTGTTCTGTGTGAGCCAAGTGTCTAAACTGAATAGAAGTTGATGAAGCTTTTTATTTAAAGCATCCAGGAGGCTGCACATCTGCAGCCTCCACATCAGGATCAAAGAGGTAGAGGAGGATTGCAGGAGAGATTCAAGTGCTGGAGCAGACAGACATCCTATCTCAGTGCTTCCCAAATTTTAATGTGCTTACTAATTACCTAGGGATTTAGTTAAAATGCAGACTTTTAAATTACTACTATTATTTTGTGGTACTGGGGCTTTAACTTGGCCTAGTGCTTCCTGGGTAAATGGTCTACCACTTGAGCCACATCCACAGTCCTAAAAGCAGATGCTGAAGAGGCATGTGTGTGTGTGGGGGGGGTGGCTGGAATTCTGCATTTCTAACAAGATTCAGGGAGCTGCTAGTCCAGAAGGCATATATACTGTCAGAAGTCAAGCCCAGGTGACCACTAAAGCCCTTTCAGGGATGAGAGTCTAATTTGAGTCTGTGTTCCCACCAAGAGCTTTGCCTTTCACTTTGTCTTTCACATTTGGATCCTGCACATGTCAGCACTGATCCCAAAGCGGCACAGATACTAAGCATGCTTAGTTCAGGAAAGCCAGGAACCCCCTCATCCAGCAGTCTGCAGTGTTCAAATGGAAGAAAACCACAAAGCTCCTTCCCACCTCCATAGACATTTATTGTGAATATGCATGTAGAAAAGTACATAAAATAATTTAACAAAGAAAATACCTGAAAAAAAACACTCCACATCAATCACCCCAAAACACCCAAATGTGCATACTCCCGTATCAGTCCCATTCTTTTATTGATGTTTATAAGCAGAATAGAGTTGGGTTTTGCCTTTTGATCCACTCACTCTGCATATTTTTCATTGGTGGGTTTAGATAACTCACATTTAATATGTTATTGATTGTCTAGATTAAAGCCTATCATCTTGCCAGCTCTTTTCTATTTGTTCCAAGCTGGGTTTGTTTTTTTGTTTGTTTATTTGTGGCATTACTGGGGTTTGAACTTAGAGCCTCACGCTTGCTAGGCAAGCACTCTACCACTTGAGCCACTTTGCCAGTCCTTTTTTGTTTCAGGTATTTTCGAGATAAGGTCTCACAAACTATTTGCCTGGGCTAGCCTCAAACTGCAATCCTCCTGATCTCTGCCTCCTGAGCAGCAAGGATTATAGACATGAGCCACCAGCATCTGGCCTAAGTTGTTCTTTAGCTCTTTTCCCTCTTTTTCTTGCATTAATGGAGAATTTTTATGATGTCATTGTATCTCCACTATGGACTTCTTTTTAAAAATGTTGTGTTGCCTGAGAGTTTATAATATACAACTTTAATTAGTCAGAGTTTATCTTTAGCTTTTTATGTGTGTTTTTGTTTGTTTTGGTGGGACTGAGGTTTGAACTCAGGACTTCAAGCTTGCAAAGCAGGCATTCTACGCTTGAGCCACACACCCAGTCCCAGAATTTGTCTTTAAATACTACAAATTACTTCATGTAGTAAAAGGACCTCACAACAATATATTTTCAATTCTTACCTCCAATCCTTTGAATATAGTTGTTATATGTTACATCAGTTATAAATGATGCATTATTACCATTTTTGCCTTAGACAATTGTTTTAAAGCAAAAAAATGAGACAAAATAAATTGTATCTTCAGTTTTAGTATTCTTAAATTATCTGTGTAGAACCAAGTTTTATCTGGTCTGGCATTCTTTTTGCCTGAAGAACCCTTTTTTTGTGTGTGCTGGGGATCAGATACAGGATCATGCACATGCTCTACCATTGAGCTTGAGCTATGCCCCAGTCCAAGAACCCAAGAACTCGTTCTCTCTCTCTCTCATACAAAATGGGCTTCATTATGATATTTGTGTGTGTGTATATATATATATATAAAGGTCTCCTCCCGCCTTTTTGGGCTGTCCTGGGGTATAAACTCAGGACCTTGTGCTTACTAGGCAAGCACTTTTAACATGTTTTTACTAGGTGTAGAATTCTTAGTTGGCAGTGTTTTTCTTTTAGTACTTCAATGATGTCACTTCACTTTCTCCTAATTTGTATGTGTTTATTGGTCATTTGGATATTTTTCATAAAGTGACTTGTCAAGTGTTTTTGCCTAATTTTCTTAAAATACAAGGTCAGGTTTCTTTCTGGTTTTCTGTCTTGTTGTTTGAGATGGGCTATTTTGCCCAGCTGGCCTCAAACCATGTTCCGTTGCCTCCCACATAGCTAGGGTTACAGGCATGAGCCATGGCACATGGCACTACAAAACCAGACTTCTGATTTGCATGGATTCTTTAAATACTCTCAACATAAGCCTCCTGTCAGTCAAATGTGTTCCAAGTATTTTCTCTCACTCTCTAACTTGTCTTTTCTTTTTTATGGTATCTGAATTTTAATGTTAAAATTTTCACTTTTTTCAATGGGACAAACTGACGATGGACTGAACCCTCCAAAACTGTGAGCCAGAATAAAACCTTCAGCTTTTTAAGCTTATTATTTCAGGTATTTTGTTATAGTAATGGGAAGCTGACTAATATAATGTGTTATTCCCAAGGACGGTACTCCTGGGAATTGGTAGAACCTTTAGTAGGTGGGGCTTAGTGGGTCTTTAAGTCATTGGGGAGTGTCTTTAAGGGATCATGAAACTCAGATCTCTTTCTTTTCCTCTTTACTCCCTTGCTCGTGCTGTAAGCAGTTTGTTCTAACATGCACTTGTGTCATGATATGCTGACCTCCCAGAGGCACAAAGCAAGGGGTTGCCTGATCTTCAACTAGAACCTCCAAATCTGGGAGACAAAATAAACCTTTACTCCTTATAAGTTAATTATGTCAGGTACTTCCTTATAATAACACAAAGCTGACTAATGCCATCCCCTAGACAAGCCTGTAAAAGAGGAGATACCAAAGACAATGGGAATAAAATATATGTAAAAAGCACATTATCTACAAAGTTCTAAAATATATTCCAGCTTCTAATCACAAATCTATTGTATTAGTTATTTCTTGTTATAGTGACAAAATACCTGATATAAACAACTTAGGGGAGGAAGGATGTATTATGGCTCATGGTTTCAGAGGGTTCCATCCATGGCTGCTTGCTTCATGCTCTTGGGCAGAACATCCTGGTGGTGAGAGTGTGTGGCAGAGATTCTGTACCTCATGAGGGGCAGGAAGCAGACAGTCAGACAGAAAGGGATCAGGGACAAGATACCCCCAAGGACTCACCCCAAGTGACCTACTTCCCCCATCTTGGCCCAACCTCTAAAGTTTCCAAAACCTCTCCCAAATAGTGCCACCAACTGGAGACCTGAGATTTAGCACATGAGCCTGTGGAGCACATTTTACATTCAATCCATAACCTGACTATATTTTATACGTATATAATAATACAGGCATAGAACTTCCTAATTTTTTTGAGACAAAGTCTCACTATGTTACCCGGGCTGACCCTGAACTACTGGGCTCAAATGATTCTCCTGCCTCACCCTTCTGAGTAGCTGGGGCTGCAAGCATGTGCTACTCTGCTCAGCTCTAATGTCTTAATTCAAAATCTTAGTATGTTTTCGTTTTTCTCCCTAACTGTACCGAAAGCTGTATGTCATGTGCCATGTTGTGTTCTTCTTTAGCATCTACACAGAACCTACTATAGTTGTCGGTATGTTGTACAGGTTCAGAACACTAAATGAAATGTGTCAACTGTGTTTATATGGAAATGAAGGGCAGTTTTGCCTAGGGCAAAGCACCCACTGCCTAAAGAGCGTTCAAGAAACATAAATCTCACCTTCTGCCTCAAACACAGAGATAAAACGGACTCCCAATGCCATGGCAACATTTGAGAAGAGACAAGAGATGATCTTTTGGACATAGCTTCTCCGGTGGTAGCTGAAAGTGAGGTACAGATAAGGGAGGTAGGTGAAGAAGAAGATGATACCTCCTATGGCTGTTCCAACATGGGCTGCAAGTTCAGAGGGAAAACATGAAGAGTTTCATCAGTAATGTTCAAAAGACTGTGACACAAACCCCTTTTCCCTGCTATGGTAAGAAAAGTTTCTCTGTACGTGTCTCAGCATTTCAGAGGGGAAGCAATCTGTTAAGAAATTTAAAAAAGAAACCTTTTACAGTGATGTGCTTACTAGTGAACAACAAACATTTGTGGTGCATAAAAAATGAAGGACTCCTCACATAAATGTATAAAACTTCCTCTAAAACTGTATTAATATCTCCTACAACAAAAACTCTCCTCTTCAAAGATGAATAGTGAATCTGAATAGCATCAATTAAACCCTGCCTGGCGCTATGGTAGGCACTTTCTATGTATCATCTTTTTCAATTTTCATAAGCCCCCTATTTTGCAGGGAAGAAATGAAACTTAGCCACATTAAATAAGTTTGCTCAATGTCATGTAGCTATAAACTACGATAAAAGATTCAAGCTTTTCCAGGCTATAAAAATAGTAGCTCCAGATTAGGAGATAAAGCCAATCTGACCAAAATTTGACAGGTGAACTCAAGTTAAATGCAGATATTTAACTTCTAGGAGTTAAAGAGAATAAAGGGTTGAAAAGGTAAGGATTGCATGTGTAAAAAAAAGGCTGCAGTTAAGATATGAGGCAGCCCTTGGCTGAACGTGGCTATGTGAACTATTAGGATAATCTTTTACAACTTCTCTAGATCCCAGTTTCTTTTTTTGTGAAAGGTTATAATAATTGCTAACCTTTATTAAGCTTTAACTATGTACCAAGTACAGTTATCAGCTTTTTATGTGCAATATCCCATTTAAGCCTTGTAACTAATTTATAAGGGAAGTACTATTATTTTTCAATAGAGAGAGAAATGGATGCACAGAATGTCTAGTGACTTGCTTAAGATCAAGATACATAGAGAGGCTAGGCGCCGATGGCTCATGCCTGTAATCCTAGCTACTCAGAAGGCAGAGATCAGGAAGACTGCAGTTTATGAGACCCTATCTTAAAAAACCCAACACAAAAAAGGGCTGGTGGGGTGGTTTGAGGTGTAGACCCTGAGTTCAAATGCCAGCATAAAAAAAAAAAAAGAAGTGAGTGAAGCACATTATAGGAGTGGTGGGTGGTGGTAAGTACGTAAGGGTCTTGATGGGGATCAAAGAATTATTGGAGGGGGCAGGGCAGTAAACAAGAGAGGCATGGAATTAAAAAATGGGATGTTTGGAACTGAGATTCTGGATGTGCAATTATTGGTAAGACTCAGGTTTAGGGGATGACCTTGGGAAGCAGAAGAAAAGGTCATTGGAATGACTATCAGGGATCTGAGAGCTGGGGGAAGTGGATCCCACAAATGGTCACAGCAGTAGTTGGCAGAGTCAGAAACTGAATTTGTTCAATGAATGAGAAGTAACCAGGGGCAACAGATGACTCAATGAAAGGCAGTACTTGATGACACTCATCAGAGGGCCTGAGTTCTTAAAGCATAAAGGGGAGGTGGGGCTCAAGTGGTAGAGCAACTGCTTTGCAAGCATGAAGCCCTAAGTTCAAACCTCAGTACCACTTAAATAAATAAATTTATATATAAAAGAAAGACAGGTCAAGAACAACTCTGATAAAGACTTTTTTTTTTCTGAGTTCTTTGAACTCAGGGCTTCGAATTTGGTAGGCAGGGTCTTTATTGCTTGTGCCACACCTCCAGCTTAAGACTTCTTGATTGACAGGTTTTGTTTGTTTTCCTGAGTTCAAGATTTAAAATACATCAGATCACAGCCTTTGGACTTGATTACTGTAGTGAAATGACCTGTTTGTATGTGGCAAGTCTCCTCTCTTGCTGTTTTCAAAATTCTCTGTCTTTCAGTTTTGACAATTTGACTATAATGCTTCTTGGTATGGAACTGTGAGTTTATCCTGCTTGGAGTTCATTAATCTTCTTGGGTTTGTAAATTCCTATTTTTAATCAAATTCACAATTTTCAGCCATTATTTCTGCAAGAAATTTTTTTCTTTCATTTGTCCCTTTTGTCTTTCCCTTTTCTTTCTGGGACACCTATAAAGTGTATACTGTTATGCTTGATGACATCCCAAAGATCCCTCAGGCTCTGTTCCTACAAAGAAAAGCTCGGACCCGATGGCTTCACTGGTGAATTTATCAAACACTTAAAAATTAACACTAATCTTTCTGAAACTCTAATTTTTTTGGCAGTACTAGTGTTTGAACTCAGGACTTCATGCTTGCAAGGCAGGCACTCTACCACTTGAGCCACACTTCCAGCCCTAAAACTAAATTTAAAGATCAATGGAATATAACAGAAAGTCCAGAAATAAACCCTCACATAATGGTCAATTTTTGACAAGGTGCCAAGACTATCCAATCTTCTAACAAATGGTACTGGGAAAACTGGGTATCTACATGCAAAACAATGAAGCTGAAACATAACCTTTTATCATATATAAAAATTAACTAAAAATGGATTAAAGACCTAAGCATAAGAGTTATAAATTCATAAAATGCTTGAAAGGAACAACACTCAGGGAAAAATCCTAATAATCTTGGATTTGCAATGATCTCTTAATTCTAAGACAAAAAGCATAGTCAGCTAAAAAATGGATAAATGGGACTTAAAATGAAAAACTTTTGTGCATCAAAGGTAATATTAAAAAAGTAAAAAGATAACACACAAATTGGGAGAAAATATTTGTAAATCATGTATTTTATAAGGGGTCAATTACCAAATGTATAAAGCACTGCTACAACAATAAAAACAACCCAATTAATAAGTGGGCTGGAGTGTGTGTAACTCAGAGGTAGTGTATTTGTTAGTATTTTCTGGTTGGCGGTACTGCGGTTTGAACTCAGGGCCTCATGCTTAGCTAGGCAGGTGCTTTACTGCTTAAGCTACTCCACCAGACCAGCAGTAGTGTATTTGCCCAGCATGAGTGAGGTCCCGAGTTTGATCCTAGCAATGCAAAGAAAAAAAGGAGAGGGGCAAAGGACTTGAACAGATACTTCTCCAAAGAAGATATATGAATGACCAATAAACACATGAAAAGGGGCTCATAATCATTAGTCATCAGCTAAATGTAAAATCAATGAGATAATACTTCACACGCCACTAGGGCAGCTTTTTTATTTTTTTAAAGAAAGAAAATGAGTAAGAAAATAAGAATGTAGAGAAACTGAGACCCTTGAGTATTGCTGGTAGGAATAGCAAATGGTATAGCTAATGTGGAAAACAGTTTGCTGGCTCTTTAAAAAATTGAATAGAATTACCGTATGACTCAGAAATTAATGTTCAATCAGTTGAGCTAAACATTATCATATACCTAAAAGAGTTGCAAACAGGGACTCAGAAAGGTATTTGTATACGAATGTTCACAGCAGCACTGTTCACAATAGCCAAAAGGTGGAAACCAACCAGTGCTCACCAACAGATAAATGTGTAAGGGGACAAATGTGAGGGAAAATAAAATGGCAGAAATGTTCTGGAAAAAAGCAACAGAAATGAGCACGGAAATGTAAAGAAAAGAATGGCAGAAGTAACTGTTTTAGATAAAGGAGACAGGAAGGCATCCTTAAAAGCAAACGTCTAGGAAGACGTGAGAAGCATCTTTTCACGTGGGTGGTAAAGCAAGCAGTTTTTCTTCCTAGATGAGGAAAACAAGACAAAACATTCCAAAAGGCAGATATCTAAGGGGGTGAAATACAGACCTTCCAAAAGGAGAGTAATACAGCAAACTTTCCCAACATAAGTATAACAGGGGGACTCACCAGAATAATGAGTGGTAGTCATAAAACAGGTGATAAGCCTCAAGGACAGATGGACTAATGAGACCCTCTTGGAATGTCCAGTCTAATAAGGATTGGGGGAGGGGAAGCAGGATGGTCGGGTTCAGCAAGAAGTTAATCAGACAGCCAATTATAGCCACAGCTTCGAAGCAGAGTGGGGGTGGTGCTTAAAGTCAGCCCCTATATAATCTCACGAACTTCAGCCATTCTTTGGCTTAGCCTTTTCACTAAGTCCTATCCTCGTGGTGCTTTGCTATCTTTTCAATAAATTTTGTGCTTGCTTTACTCTTAACTCCTGGTCTGGCATAAACTTACTTTAACTCTTAACTGCTTGTCTGGTGCCTCCAATCATCAACTGTGCCAAGACACAAAGGTGGGGAACAACAATACAGCCTGGTATCAAGTGGATAAACAAACTGTGGCATTACCTATACAATGAAATATTCTTTAGCCATAAAAAGGAGTGAAGTACTGATAAATGCTACAATTTACCTTTTTTTTTTTTGTGGTACTGGGATTTGAACTCAGGGTCTGCGCTTGCTAGGCAGGTGCTCTATCAGGTGTGACACACTCAAAGCCCTGTTTTTCTTTTTTACATGCCATAACTTAGATAAGCCTTAAAAACACACTGTACTAAGTTGTATTTTTATTCTACTTTTTAAAAAAACTATCGTAATATTAACATAATTCAGTGACACTTGTACATTCACAATGTGTACAACCATCTATATTAAGTTCTAAAACATTCATCACCTGAAAACCTTTTTATTTTTGGACTCTCAATTCTGTTCCATTGGTCAGTATGTCCATCATTATGCTGAAACCACTGTTTTGATCACTGTAGCTTTGTAGTAAGTTTGAAATCAGGAAATGTGAGTCTTCAACTTTGTTCTTTCTCAATGTTGTTTTGATTTTTGAGGCTGCCTGCAATCTCATATTAATTTTGGGATCAGCTTATCCATTTTTGGGGAAAAAAAACAACTGAGTTTTAAAAGGGATTGCAGCAAATCTGATCAATGTGGGAAATAATGGCATCTTAACAATATTAAGGTTTCTAATCCAGGAAAACAGGATGTCTTTCTGTTGATTTAAGCCTTCAATTTCTTTTACTAACATTTTGTAATTTTCAGTATACAAGTCTTTCACTGCCCTTGTTAAGATTTACTCCTAGGTATCTTATTTTGAATGCTATTGTAAGTGGAACTTTTTCGTAATTTCCTTTTTCAGAACATTCATTGCTCATATATAGAAATACAACTAACTTTTGTATCCTGAAAATTTACTGAATTCAATTAATAGCTCTAATTAGAATCTAATTATAGATTCTAAGGATTTTTCTGTACATATAAAATCATGTCAGCTGGCACAGCTGCTCAAATCTATAAACCTAGCTATTTGGGAGTCAGAGATTGGAAGAATTACAGTTCAAGGCTGGCCTGAGCAAAAAGTTCTTGAGACTCCATCTCAACAAATGCCTGCGTGTCATGGCTCTTCTCCAGCTATGCAAGGAAGCACAAATAGGAGGATCATGACCCAGGCATAAAGCGAGACCCCCATCTCAAAAATAACCAATGCAAAAAGGCTGGTGGAGTGGTTCAAGTAGAGTGTCTGCCTAGCAAATGCAATGCCCTGAGTACTGGCAAAAAAACCAAAAAATCAAAAAAACAAAAAACATGTCTACTTGGATAGAGACAGCTTTACTTCTTCTCTTTTTGGATGCCTTTCACTTCTTTTTCTTTCCTAATTTCTCTGATTACAAATTCTGGTACAATGCTGAACAGAAGTGGTGAAAAACAGGCATCCTTGTCTTGTTCCTGATATTAGGGACAGGCTTTCAATCTTTCATTATTGAATATGATGCTAGTTGCTGGTTTTTCTCTTTATTCCTTTGGCTTCTCATTATGTATCCCAGAGTGGTCTTGAACCTTGAATCCTCCTGTCTCAGCCTCCAAAGTGTTGGGATTACTGATGTGTACTACCACACCTAGAAGCTGTGAATTTTTCATTAATGTCCCTTGTAGAGAGCTTTCTCGCACTGTCTTGTTCCTCCTGACCTAACTGGGGGCGACAGGAGACTCAGAAAGAACAAACGATCGAAGAAAGACACGTATAAAGTTGGTGCCAGGTGTGCTGGGCACTGGAATGAAGACGCCACAACAGCCTCCATGCTTTTTTACTTCTCTTCTCTTTACTCGGCTTCTTTTCTCTATCTTTAAAACCTTACTTCTAAAGTATTCTTTTCTGTTCTTTAAAGTCTCTTTCCTTAGACTCGCTCTGTCCCATGTTTTCTCTTAGCTTTTAGCATAATCTCTCTTAAAGTCTTTGCCCTCAGACTTGCACTGTCCCGAGTTCCCTTTAAAGTCTCGGTGCTCAGACTTGCAGACAAACATCAGCAGCTGCGTCTAAAAACTGCAGCAGCATAACTCTTAAAAGTCTTGGTGCTCAGACTTGCACTGTCCCATGTTTCCTCTAATCTTTAGCATAACCAATCAATCAATCCCCATCAAAAAAACCCCAAACCTCCTTCAGCCAGTCTTTTATATCCACTGATAAACAAGGAGGTGGAGCAACAGTTCTCAGGGAGGGGAGTGACATTGTAAAAACAGAAACCTGCTCTCTACTTCTCTGAACATAAACAACTTAGGAAAAGCAGTTGTGCTGCATTTTGTCTTTCACTATCTTCTGTGGCTGGGGCCACGCCAAACTCAGCATGTCCATCATTTGACACAGCTGTGCTTATGTCAAGTTCTCATAGGGTTTTCATAATCTGCTCCCCACCGCCCCTTATCTGGGTAAAGGAAATGTTTTCATATTCTGGTTTGTTAAGTGTCCTTACCATGAAAAAGTTTTGAACTTTCTCAATGTTTTCTTGACATCAGTTGAGATGACCATTTTTGGGGGGGTTTTGCTTCGGTGGTACTAGGGGATCAAACTCAAGGCTTCATACTTGCTGGGCAGATGTTCTGCTGCTTGGGCCATGCCTCCAGCCTTCATTATTTTTTTATTTATGTATCTATTTATTTATTGGCAGTACTGAGGTTTGAATTAGGGACTCATACTTGCTAAGCAGCCCCTGCATTGGTTATTCTTAAGATAGGATCTTGCTTTATGCTCAGGACAGCCTGGATGGTGATCCTCCTATTTGTGCTTTCTTGCATGGCTGGGATGACAGGCATAGACTACTGGACCCAGCAATGATTAAGATGGGGGTCTCAAGAACTTTTTGCACAGGCTGGCCTCGATCTCTACCTCCTAAGTAGCTAGGATTACAGACTTGAGCCACTGCACCCTGGAGACATGTGTTTATTTTTTTCTTCATTCTACTAAGTGGAATCTGATTGCTTTTCAGATGTTGGTAATTCTTACATTTCTGTGATAAATCCTACTTGCCATGATATTTAATCCTTTAACATGATGCTTAATTTGGTTTGCTAGTATTTGTTGAGGACTTATCCATCTATATTAATGTATATTGATCTGTACTTTTATTGTGGTGTCTTTTTTAGATTTGGCATGAGTTGAGACCAACTGTTTTTATTTTTGAGTTGTATGGGTTATTTATTTTGGACATAGTCATTTGTGTTATATATTATTTGCCAATGTTTTCTCTCAGACTACCTACCTTCCTTCCTTCCTTCCTTCCTTCCTTGCTTCCTTCCTTCCTTCCTTCCTTCCTGTTTCGTTTTCAGTCAGGGACTCACTACCTTTTCCTGAGCTGTCCTTAAACTTGACAACCTCCTGCTTTAGCCCCCACCCCCAGTAGCTAGGATTACAGGCATGTACTACCATGCTCAACTCTATCTTTTCACTTTCTTGATGGCAACTTTGACGTACAAAAGATTTTCATTTTGATGAAGTTCAATTATCAATAGTCTCTTTAACAGCTGTACTTTTGGTGTCCTATCTAGAAAATCATTGTTTAACCCAAGATCATGAAGATTTTCTTCTATATTTTCTTTTAATACAACTTACTCTTAAATTTAAGTTCATAATACACTTTGAGTTAATTTTTATATATGAACTTAGGGCCTCACACTTACAATAAATTACAATAATAAAATTTCAATATAATTTTATATATGATGTTATGTGTCCATTCTAGTGGCATGGCTCAAGTAGTAGAGCAGCTGTGTAGCAAGCACGAAGTCCTGAGTTCAATCCCCAGTACTGCCAGAAAAAAAAAAAAAATCCAGACTATTCCTTTCCCATTGAATTGTCTGGCCTCCTTGTTTAAAACTAGTTATCATCAGTATTGGGTTACATGATATTTTTACTTTCATTTGTCCTTTTTCCATGCTATAGCTTCCTGTGATTACAATTCATGGTGTTTCTAACCTCACTGGGCTTCATCTTCTATGTCTAAACCTCTGCGTGGTTCTTGTACTTGACAACAGGCTTAATTTTTCAAGTTTCAACCTTTAGCACCCCTCAGCCTCAGGTGCAGACATCTTTGCATGTGCCTGCTCCAAGCTACCCACCCAGCTCTCTTACTTGAGTGGCACCCCTCCCATGCTTGCCCTAAAGCTATGAAGACAGAGGTAGAATACAGAATCTGAGTTAAGCGATAGTGTTCTGGCCCATCCAATTTTCAGAGAATCCCCTCCATTTTGGCAGAGTCAGTATTTACCAGGACCCACATATTAGAACATGCTATTTGATGTAAAACATTCATAATGATAAATGATAAACTGCCTGGATTCACTTATATCATGCCTTTTCTTTCCTAGTTCTCTTGAGTACTCTTTTTTAGTCACAAACTGCTCAGCTCATTCTCTCCTAATGTTTTTACCTCTACCTCTCTAGGCTCACTCACTTTCAATTTTCCCACACTCTGACTTTGACTCCACTTCCTATTATTTGTATCCCCTCTGGCTCCTCAATTCTACCACAACTATTCTACTGACAGTTTTAGAGGTAACATTCCTGGACAGGACCAAATTCCCAGGAAGCCCTTTTTTACTGTGGTGAAGCTACCCTACTGTTGTGCTACAACTTCACAATCAAGATCTGGAAAATGATCTGCCCTTGCCTTTTCATTTTGTTCTAAATTGAGACTTATTATTTACCTACATTTGAAATTATACTCAGGAGTTAAATGGAGCAAAAAGATACCTATATTGAGGTGTTTCAATAAGTCTTCAGTGGGGAATAGAATTCATCCATTGCTGAAATAACCACCAAACTGAAAACTAGGCTCTGGAGGAATAATACCTAATGCTATATGTAATGAGATCGACAATGCTTCCAGAAAAAGAAGTCATAAGCAGCCATTAACAGAAAATTATATTTTGACTCACCTCTTTGGAAGAATGTGCTCATCATGAATGCAAAGAAAATTGTGGCAATGGCAAAACACATTAGAAAAATAAATATCAAAGTAGGGTCACTGCTCCTGAATACAGCCACGTTATTTATCTACAAAACAATCACAGATGTACATAGTATTTACACGGAAAGAATGTGGAGAAAGCATAAAGTACCCATAAAACGCTGCTGAACATATTTTGAAATTTTAGGATTATCACTTTTTGGTTTTGGTACTGGGGTTTGAACTGAGAGCCTACACCTTGAGCCACTCCACCAGTCCTTTTTTGTGATGGGATTTTTTTAGATATGGTCTTGCAAACTATTTTCCAGGCTGGTTTCAAACCATAATCCTCCTGATCTCTGCCTGAGAGATTATAGGTGTGAGCTACCAGTGCTAGCCAGGATTATCTTAAGCTAAATAACATACACAGGTGTGTGTGTGTGTGTAGTACTGGGGCTTGAAGTTAGAACCTGTTGCTTGCTAGGCAAGTGCTCTAACACTTGAGCCACACTACTAGCCCTTATACATAAATGTTGAGGAAGACATTTGATCCAGCATCCATTATATTTACAAATTATACTCTGTACATGTATCTTTTTTTGGAAAGCAAAATCAGCTTGGATTTAAGTTTTTACCCAATGTGAAACGTGAATTTTTTTTCTTTGAATAAGTAAGTTTAACCCATTTGTCATTATCACTACGACATACAATTTTGTTTTTCCTTTTGATATATCTTCTCTTTTTAATGTTTTCTATTTCCTATTTCAATACATTTTGCTATTTAATCTGGGTTTTCTTGCCTACCTTTGCCCACACTGATACAATTTTAGTGATTTATGAGGCAAATTTTTATAAAAACAAATAATTGGTTATAACTTAGTCATTTAATCCAAATTGGCAAATATTAGCACCAAATTCCATTGACAGCACACAAAAACCACAGTACCATGGATGTAAAAAATGTTTTTATTTTATAATAACTATTTTCAACTATTTGTACAGTATGAAGTTTATAATATTTTAAAATCTATAAAAATATATGTTTTGGCATCCATGTTACTAATAAAATTAACTATACTCATGTACATTATCTGAAGAGCAGGAAACTCAAGCAAGGGCAAAGCTCTTTCCAGTCTGAAAGATCCTAAATGTTTAATTTCCCAAAGTTTCAGCAAACATGACCACATATCAAACTGACATTTTCTAAGGGGTCATCAACACCAGATTTCTTTCCCACCTAATCATTACACCCTTAAGAACAAGAGATATGTACCTTTGTACAGAAGAGAATGGTCATGATAAAAACAGCAATGGAGACAGAGATGAAGAATGTGATGAACCAAGCAACCCAGTGTAGCCAGCTGTCCAATCCCATCATACACATGTACTCCTAGAAGAGCAAAAGAACCAGATGTTACACAGTCCAGTGCTCAGTCTAGCTGACCAGCTCAACAGTCTGTTACTGAAACCCCAGCAAACTGAAATGAAGGGTCATGTGTACGTGCTGGTAGCTATGGGGGTGTGGAGGCTGAGTGAGCTGGAAAGAGAGAATACAAATCAGTGAGTAGCATTTATCTAGTTTAGGTATGGTAGGGTAGGCATTGTACTAAAATTGTTCTCATTTTGCAGTGATAAGTATACTGTTAGTTTCATTTATTGAATGCTTTCTGTAAGTCAATGGTTTCTATGGTCCTGAGAATAAAGTCTAAACTCCTATTTTATCTTACTTTTAAATTCCATTGGCAGCTATTCTTAAGTTTCTTAAAAGCATTCTTTCACCTTTGTTCATCTAAAGAGCAGACTCAAGTATAAAAGAGAAAACACATGACCAATCCAATAACCAAAATACAAACAATGAATGCCCACCAGCTATATGTACCAGTTTGTTGCTGAAGTAGTAACAAACAGAGCAGGTCCAACTCCATCTCATACCTGGAAACTAAAAGGGGATCTTGGCCATATATTGGAAGTGTGTAGTTCCCTTGGAGTTTTTCAAGTAGGAGCACAGTGGACGGCCTGCCTGTTAGCCCACTATCCCATTGCCATCCATCCCTGCAAAAAGGAGCTCTTCCTGCCTCTTCCCACATTAGAGCAGAGCCAATGCACCACCACAGGCAACCTCAAGCAGAGCCTCAGTCAGTCTCTGTTCCTTACAACTAACTGCTGCAAGACAAAGCAGGCTGGGGAAGGCAGCTCTCTAGAAGTAGATGTCATGGAGAGGAGACCAAGCAAGGCTCAAAGAGACACTGGCAGGCTGTTTTCTCGATTTTTGCTTTTGATGATACTGGGGTTTGAACTCAGGGCCTTCAATTACTGTGCAGGCACTCTACCACTTGAGCCACTTCTCCAACCCTTTGGCAGGCTGTTTTAATATGGAGTCATAAAAAGAAATACAAAGAGAAGAAAGTTTAACAGAAAATTATACTCAGGCATGGTGACAGACACTTGTAATCTCAGCACTTGGGAGGCTGAGGCAGGAAGACTGAGAATTTGAGGCCAGCCTGGGAAACAGAGCGTTCCAGGCCAACTTGGGCTAATAGCAAAAACCCTGCCTCAGAAACAAAACAAAAAACCCAACAACAACAAAAAGATTGAGATGATTTTCTTAAAGAGCAGAAAGTGAGAGAAGTGACAGTACAGAGTAGGTAAACAAAAGAATGCAGAAAGTGAGTAAAATCGATTATTTCGGGAGCAACTCAGCAAGATCAAACCCTGACTTAGCCCATGTCTTTCTAGAGGATGCTTCCACCTTACCATGGAATGAGACAGCTAATTATTGGTGACCATTTTCCCTATACAAGCATTCTCGGAACACCGTTCTCATGAAAGGCACCGGGGAAGCCAACCAGGACATCACCAGTCTAAAAGCAAGGATTCATGTAATAGCAATGATGGCACTTCCTAAACTACAAGCAAGTTAAAAGTATAAAAGCACTTCGGAGTTACAACTCACCTGGAAGGACGCACTGCACCTAAGCAACTGCTTACTGCTTGGGCCTCATTCATTAGCAGCATCCCCACAGCCCCGTCCCAGGAGAGGCATCCATCTGAAGCAGATTGGGGTTACCTTCAGTTTCCTCTCCTTCTCCAGTGAAATGGAATTCACAATGATGAGCTCGATGCAGATGAAACTGAGCATAAGGAACAGAGGAAACTCATTCTGAAGTACCACAAAGAACTTGTCCTGGATATGGGGCCCATATGGGAACCTCTGCAAGAGCACAGTGAGACTCTCAAGCATGTCTGTGGCATTTTGAGCATGGTGTCGCATGATGGCTTTATCCAACGCATGCTGTATGGCCAGGAAGCCTTCCTTGTTGTAGCCTATAAGAAAATATTAAGCATAAGAAATTAACAAAGACTGAAGAAGCAAAATAGCTGATGGATCACGGCTAGCCTCATGGCTAGCCTGAGACAGAGAGACAGCAGCAGAAAAGCATCCCTACAGCCCACATGCCTGCATGGCAGAGAGCGGGAGTCATCTTGGAGATCCCCAGGGCTGAGGTGATGGCATCTCCAGTCAGAAAATGGAGAACAGAATTCTTAGGCAGACACACCAGGAATATACCTTCCAAGGTAGGGCCCCATATTATCCCTTAGTTCTTAGGTTCTGGGTACAGGGTGCCTGTTTTACAGTTTTGATCATCCAGCATGTACAGGATGGTTAAACACAAAACCCTTGAAAGATATAGTGTCCCTGACCTATGTGACCTGTTTCTTAGTTATCACTGCTGTATGGTCTCTGAATTTTGCTGCCAAGCCTTAAACACTATCCAAACCATAAGTAACCTTCATTTCAATACAGTGTAGTTGGTGTGCCAGGGTCAGCTTTTGGTAAAAATAGGTTGAAAGGTAAAAATCTCCTAAGAGGTAAAATGGATCCAGCTTCAGGCAAGGGGACCCTTAGATCTAACAGGATAGAAAAAGTGGGAACAAATTGCTGGCAATAAATTCTGGAAACTGTTATACATTCTTGGTTTAGTATAGAAGTATTTGCACTGCAGAACTGCTGACTCTTCTCTAGAATCACATGAAAGTGTAAGTATTTGACTTGATTTCCCACTTGGTAGGCAAACAAGCCCTAGACTTCAAGTCAATTCTTTAAGTCATTCTACAGTGAGACACAGATTATCAACTTAATTTTCTAAGAACAGTTAGCTGCCTAGAGGATGTTCAACCTTAAACCTCTCACAAAGAGGGAGACCAAAAAAAAAAAAAACTAAAGTGAATTGGAGAGCATGAGTCCTTTTGAGAGAATTGGCTCCTGGGCCTCAGTCAGGAATATGATGCTTAATGTGGAGGACACGTAAGAGGTGCTTAAACTACTTTTGCTGAAAAGCACCAACTCCTTACTTGGGCCTACAAATTAACTAAAAACAGGAGAAAAACTTGGCATCTCCATCTCCATTTTGTACCTGCTTTACTTTGCTCTGAGCCATTCTCTCCTGCAGCTCCCCTGGAATCCAAGAAGGACAAGAACGATCAATAACAACTTTATGACAAGAAACTAAAACTTCCCCTAAAGATCAGTGGAACTCCCAGATGAGTGTGTTGTATAGTTCTTGTGGGTAAAATTCAGATTTGGAATTGAACTCCATTCCTGTAAATGTTCCCCCAAATATCTGTTGTATATATGATTCCTGTATAATAAAAATATTTTTGATAGAATCCGTGAAAAAATAAAATAAAAAAAAGTGGAACCTTGCAGGACAGACCACCTCTCCAAATGAGGACAATTAACTATAATGATGAAGTTGCACCCTGGAGCAAGAGTAATCATGTCTTGGGAAACAGATCACTCCCCTCAAGTGATGACAGTGATAACTTCTCTGGAACCCTTGGACTGAGACAGTAGTCAACCAGGACACACCTGTGAGTGAGACTGTTTAACCATGCATACCTTTCACCCCTGCCCCTAATTTTTTGTTCATTTAAAGCTAAAGCTCATGTCTGTACCCCAAAGATGGCTACAGATGAGCTGAGTTCTTCCTCTGTCTCTTCCCACAGCATGTCTAGAGCCAGGTAATAAATCTCCTTTGTCAACTCCCCTTAGGGGTGAGTTGCCAGACCTAACATTTGGAAGTCCAGGATTTTGGGCCTGGGGTCCAAAACTTTGGTTTCAGATATAGCATGAACAGTTTTGGTGATGTCCCACTATTTTTCCAAAACCCTGAGGTTGCCAGACAGATAGCTGGTCTGCAAATAGTACAGACAGATTCAGGAAAACTAGGTGCCAAGTAGGGTTGTCTGCTCTGACATACACTGTTAGGTCCCTTTCCATGGTAGAGAGTATGCTGACAGAAACCAGAACAACTGCACACAGATAAGAGGGCTATGGCAGCCCAGCTGGATCACAACCCAGCTTTGGAAAATTACACCATCCCTAAAGACAAATAGGAGCTCCAGGGAACTTCCAACCTTCTGGTTCTAATGTTCTGTTCACTTATCCTAAGCAAGACAGGTAGGGGAAGGGGTCTTTCCCAGACTAAAGTTCCAAACAAGGAGGCAAAGGAGTTAAGATGGGTGTGATCTACCAAGACCTTAAGGCCTGGGAGAAGAAGGTCCATCAGTGGTGAGGGCGGAACAGGGAAGACAGAGTAGGACTCAAGGAAAAATCTAAAGACTTGGAAAGAAGAAGTAAAATCAAAGTGAAGTATCAACAGATAAAGAAGCCAGGAAGAGTTCAAGGATTCTGGTGGCAGAGCCAAGAAATAACCCCCAAAGCAGGAGCAACAGCTTTAAAGCTGCACAGGCAGGTAGGCAGTCCTACAACAGCATAGACAGTTATCTTCTGTTCCTCCTTTATTAAATTAAAGGGAAAAGATGAAACATAAATGGTGTGTTTAGGGGAGATGGTAAGCAAGGCACGTTAGACATGATAAATGGAACATGTGTGTTGAACAGGATGTATATTTAAATGACAGAACAGGGCTGGGGGTATAACTCAGTAATACAGCACTTGCCTAGCATGTGTGAAGCTCTGAGTGTGATTCCCAGCACTGCGGGGCTTGTGGGAGGGTAGGAGGCATGAGGACACAGCAATCAAGAGTGCTACTTGCAGGTAGACAAGGCAGGCCAAGTAAATCTTGCATACTTACAAAGCACAAATCATGTTTTCTCTATAATAATGGAAATCACCCCTAAATTGGCCACTCATTGGTGATACCTGCTAATAGTTCCACTCTGGCCCTGCCCAAGAAACAGTCAAAGCCCACAGGTACTTATTAGGTTATTCAGAAGCTACAGGAAGAGGCAGACCTGCCCCAGCATCTGGGATATTTGAAGAGATGCCTCTCAGTTCTGACCACTAACCACACCATGGGGGTGGCTAGTATAGAGAGAGCAGGTCTTGTGAGTACTGTGTTCTCTGGCCTCTAGGATGACTCTCTTGGCAATAACCCTGGGACCCACCATTGCATCACAATAAATTTCCACACAACACTCCTAACAGTCAGCAGGAATATTTTTCTTTGGCAGTGCTGGGACTCTAATCCAGGGCTTTGTGCATTCAAGACAAGTGCTCTACCACCAAGCTACATCCTCAGTCCAGTAGCAGTAACTTTCTTAAAACGAAAACAGAAAAGATAGAGGAGTAATTTTTACGGAATCAACAATTTTAAGAAAGCCACTTAAGTGGTAGTCTGTAGAGAGCAAAAACAAATACATGTTTTATAAAACAGAAAAGTTTATACAGAAACCTAGAATAAGGATTCATATTCCTTAATTCCTGTAAAATGTTTCCATTCTTTTTTTTTTTTTTTGGCACTGGGGTTTGAACTCAGAGCCTCATGTTTGTTAGGTAGGTCCTATTACCACTTGAGCCACTCCACTAGCCCCCATCATTCTTTTAAACAATTCACATCACTTCAAACTGCTGGGGGGGTGGTGTTGTTGGTTTTTTGTTTTGCTTTTGGTGAGACTGGGGTTTGAACTCAGGGCTTTGCACTTGCAAAAGCAGGTGTTCCACCATTTAAGACACACCTCTGGTCCATTTTGTTCTGATTATTTTGCTTTTGGACTTTTTTCTTTTTGGCAGTACTGGGGTTTGAACTCAGGACCTTGCCCTTGCTAGGCAGGTGCTCTACCACTGGAGCCATGGCTCCTAGCCTTGCTCTGATTATTTTGGAGATGGGTCTCACAAACTATTTGCCTGGGCTGTCCTTGAACCATGATCCTCCAGATCTCCCAAATAGATAGGATTATAGGTGTGAGCCACATGTGTTGGCTCAAATTGCTGTTTCAACTTACTCCAAGAATGTAAGCACTTTACTGAATGTGACAAATTCCATATGAACTCCTTCAACTGCTTCTGAAATGCTAAGCTTAGCAAGTGTTCAGGCAGCAAAGCAACAACAAAAATAGCATCATTATATGCCACAGGACAAAGTGGCTGTGCTCGTGGTAACTGTATAGGTTTTGGGCTTCCTCACCAGGGCTTCCTCCATCAGCATCTGTAAATTCCCGAGGTTCTTGGCTTAGGTTAGGAGGATAAAGCAAGGATGTACACCAGCCTTCTGAGCCATCTTGAAAAAATACATTCCTCAATGATGCAAAGTTCCTCCGAATGTAACTGAAGCGCAAGCTGTACTTAACCTATGAAGAACGAAGACAGAACAAATTCAGTCATAAGATCCTGAAGTTTAGCAATGGCACAGGACAGAGTAAATGTATTCTTAACATTAGCTGTGACTGGAGGAAAGGCCCATATTGGCAGGTGTCCCTCTGGGACCACACAGTCACAGTGATCTTCTCTGTATTTTTCTGCACATTATCATTGCACCCAACCTCAGAAAAATCTAATGGTTGTTCAGTGCTCTGGAGCCAGACCATCTGTACCTAAACCTCAGATTTCCTGTTGAAGTGCTATGTCACCCTGAGCAAGTTGCTTAATCTTTGTTTCAGTTTCCTCATCAGTGAAATGGGATGATCTTAACAGGCCCTATCTCACAGGCTGCTTAGAGGAGAATGTAAGATGGTGCCCAAAATGCCTGAAACTAGTAAGTGCTTATTGTTAACCCCATGAAAATTCTAACAAACATCAGGTAGACTACAATACCAGAGCTATATCAGTGGCTTTCCTAGTCTAAAAGAGAAACCAAATATTCTGCCTTTTCCTTAAACACACGCACAGACCCACCATATCGAAAGTCTGTGAAATTAGTAATGACAACAACAACTAATCCTTCTGAACAGTTCCTGTTTCAAGATTCTGTTCTAAGCACTTTACAGGATAACCCTATTTAATTCCTACAACCACAGTATAAGCTAGGCACTAATTTTACCCCACAATACCAGTTAATAATGACACTGAGGCGGAAACACTTATAACTCTTCTAAGGTTATACATCTGTTAAGTTGCAGAGCTGGATTCAAGTTTATGTGGCCTGGTTGTGGAGTCAGCTTCTGTAACTCACCAGTTAAACACATGCCATCCTGTACTCTCAGGATGGAGCCTTGCTCAGAACAAATCACTTTTAAAACTGGAAGGGTTCTCTTAAAGACTAGGTTGTAAGATGTGAAACTGGAGCATTCTCTCACCTCCTCTGGAAACAAGACAGCATTGTTACCACAGAGGAAAGCAGAGGGGCAGATCAGCTTGATTAACTCATATTCAAGGTGGGGATTGCACAGTGAGATTGCTACGGGAAAGATTTTCTTACCTCAAGTGGCAAAGGTTCATTGCTGTCATGGAAGTTATGGTCAAAAACAATTCCCACCAACACGTAGAAAGAGTTGGGATCCTTAATTATATAACTTTCAAACAAAGGCACTGAAGAAAAGCCTAGAACTACAGAGAGAAAATCCAATCAGTGAGTGGAAGGCAAATGCTGTCAGCATCCCTGCTTTCTACCTTAAGAGATTTAAGATGCCATCTTACTTCTCCATTCACTTGTTCATTCATTCTGCAAACATATGAGCAAAGAGAGAAAAAGAAAGAAAACAAGGAAGAGAGGATGAGACATGACTCTGATATTCAATTCAGATCTGTAACAAGAAGTCTGTAGTCCCAGGAACTGTTAGTGTCACAGGACATCAAAGAAGTAATGCATCAGAGGAAGAGAAAGAATCACATCCGACATACTTCCTAAATTATTGTCAAGTCTGTGAGCTCTGCCCATGCTGTAGTCCCTCCTTTTTCACACACTTTCAGTAAGTCTTTGTTAACATGGGACATAAACCAAATAGAGGAATTCAAACTCCAAATTCATAGGGCAAGATAGGAAAGCCTAACATAAGTTCTCCAAACCATAAATAAACTGAAATGTCTTAGTAAGAATCTATCCCACTTTACATGTTATTAATGCATGAGCTGAACAGTTGCATTTCTGTCATCCTAACTATGGCAGGAACCATAAAATAGGAGGATTGTGGTCCAGACTAGCAATGGGCACAAAGAAGACCCTAAAGTAACCAGAACAAAAAGGGTTGGAAGATGGCTCAAGCAGTAGAGTACCTGCCTAAAAGTATGAAGTCCTTAGTTCAACCCAAGTACTGCAAAAAAAAAAAAAAAAAAACAGGCAGACACAATCAGATCCTACTTGTACATATTTACATAGGAAAAAGGTAGGAAGGGTGAACATCTAAATATTAAATAATGACTGAATTTTTTCTTTTTTCTTATATGCTTTTGTATTTTCTTTTTATTTTTGGTGGTTGTTTTTTGTTTCATTAGCCTCATTTAAGTTTCTTTTTAAACACACACAGGTCAAATTGTGAAAAATAATATATATGTATAGAGATATACAAAACATAAACACGCAGCTTAATGAATGGTTATAAAATTAACACTCAAGTAATCACCCCTTGGATCAAGAAATAAAACATTTTACCTTAGATTTTTGTTTTGTTTTGTTTTGGCAGTACTGGGGCTTGAATTCAGCAAGCTTGCTGACTTGAGTCATTCTACCAGCCCTGTTTTTGTGTTGTTTTTTTCAAGATAGGGTCTCACAAACTATTTGCCCAGGTTGGCTTTGAACCATGATCCTCCTGATCTCTGAATCCTGAGTAGCTGGAATTATAGATGTGAGACACTGGTGCCTGGCTAGTTCTTTAATGTTTTTAAGAACATGTTTTTACTATTTTATTCAGCATTTTCTTTTCAACTGGACAGATCACCATAACAAGTGCAAAGTGGCTTAGACACGGGTTACTTGATCCATCCTGATGGATCATCTGATGGAGTCAACACCATCAGAAATACCTGGGCTGAGAGTGGGAGAGGGATTAGGCCCAAGGGGGCTGTGATATCAAGAAGGGGAAGAAAAAGAAAAATAGATGCATACACCACAGATTGGAAAGGATCATCAAACTGTTATTTGTTATTACTTCTGGCGTGAAGGATTTGCTTAGGGGATGGTAGTAAATTAGGGAGTGATTAGGGGATGAAAGGAAAATTTACTTTTTATTCTTTGTCTTTTTATGTTGTTTGAAATTTTCAATACAAAGAACTTCCTGTATTTACTGTAAATTTTAAGGTACAAATTAAAAAATTATTTCCAGTCCTTTAAAGAATTGTTCTGGGAAGTGGGATTTGAGATGGCAATTTAAACTTTTACTTTAAACACTGTGTTGTTTCACACATTATATGGTAATAAGGAGAGTAGGAAGAAAGGAAAGCAGAGAACTATTTGGGACAAGAAGTGAGCAAATAAGGGGGAAGTAGAGACATGAGGAAAGCAGAAGTAGAAAAATACAACACTCTCAAGATCTAAAGGAGAAAAGAATTCCAAGGAGAGAGTATCATAAGTACCCTCATGACAGTGAGGACAAAGAGAATGAAGGCTGGAAAGGAAGCACTGGATTGTGCCATAGCAAGATATTGGCGACATTTTCTTAGCAGATATGGGTATAGAACTGAGCACAGAATACAGATTGCAATGAGTTATGAAATGAGTGAGAAGTAATAAAATAGAAATAGACTTTCAAGGCATTTATCAGGAGAAAAGTAAATTAAGGATCATAAAGAGATAGGACCAGGAGAGATCTTCTTCTAAAGGGGAGGCAATTTCTTCTCCAGAAAGAGAAGGTACTAACTGAGAAAGGTCCAGAGAGACAGAAAGGCTTCTGACTGATCACTTCTAATTCCAGAATTTATCTTCAATTCAACTATGTATTTCCATCTCCCTAGTACAAGTAATCATTATCTTTTTCCTCCTGAATTTCTGCAAATACTCCCTTCTAATTATACCTCCAGAGAATAGCCAGGTAAATCTCTTTTAAAACAAATTACATCACATAACTTCTTTTATTAAAAAGCAGTTCGGTGGCTGCCTTTTGCATGTAGAAAAAAACCCAAACACTTTATTTAACATGATCTACAAGGCACTGAATTATGTGTTTCCAACTAACTTCTCAAATCTCATTTCAATCTCTCTGTCTCTCTTTCTCTCTCTCTCTCTTTGTACTGGCTTGCTGAATTTCAGATCTTCAAATACCGAAGCACTTACTACCTCCGGCCCTTGTTACATTGCATTCCCTACCTGGAGGTCCATCCATCCTGAAACCTCCTACCCTCCCCTTGCAAATGGCTTGTTCATGTCTTAGTAAGATATCTTCCCAGAGAAGATTTCTCTGTATCTTAAATTTTTTCACAATCTCTTATTTATAAGGGAACTAAATTGAATGGTATTTTAGGATAGTAGCAAGCATAAAGTAAAACTTTCAAAAGTAGGTCTCACACATTTTACCAGTAAGGGCTTTTAGGAGAATTGTCCCACTGAGTGGCACTAGAGCTGGGAAAGGAGCAACCTTTATTTTCATTTTATACCCTATGCATTATTAGAACATTTTTACAATAGCATATATAATGATTATAGTAATTTTGTATAAACTTCTCCTGTAGACTCCACACTTAGAAAAAATTTATCTACCTAACTACATTAATGTATTCAATAAATATTTACTAGGTCACTACTATGCGCCAGGCACTGTAATAGGCATGGTGATGACCAAAACAGACCTGATCATCTGCCCTATGGAGGTGGAGTCTATTGGAGGAAGGCCAACAATGCATCAAAAGCAAGTGAGTGTATGAGTAAACATTTATGAAAATGCTAAGAAAATGTCAAACAGAGTCCTGTGAAGGAGAATAAAGTAGAGGGAAGAAACCTAAAACCTACTTAGCTGACTTCCTAAGAGTTGTTTCAGCTAAAACCTGAAGCATCGGAGGGAGTGCCATACAAGAATGATCGATGCAAAGCGCCCACATGAACAGGGTGTGAGAGCACAGGAGCACTGGAGGAAGCTGGAGAGAAATGAAGGGGCAGAGCCTCAAAGTCTCTGTGCAGTGGGAGACCACTGATGCTTAAGCAGGGGATGGACCAAATCCTACTGGCCTTTTGAGGACCTTTCCTCTGCCTGGAGACTAGATTAGAATAGAAAAAGTGGAAAAAAAGACGTTTTAGAATGTGAATGCTTTCCATTTTTGGTTAGTCAGATATAGAATAACTGGCAATCAGACTTTCTTATTAATATGAGACAACAGGGTCATGATAGTGAGTTAAAAACACATTAAAAAAACATTTAATATCTTAATTAACCTTGAAGCCTTGTGACATAAATGTGCAAGTCTGCAGTGTGATCTATGAGATAATATAAATATGTCATGAACAGTTTCTCCCCAACTACCATCTCTGTAGGCTTTTTAGTATTTGGAGATCTCGGGTTTGGAATCACTTTTGTAAGAACTCTTAGGAAATAAGTTCAAACTACACTTTACAAAAAGCCCTCCCTATTCTTATCCCATCTTATGTCTAACCTTCGAACTCAACGTCAAAGGTTTGTTCCACCATTTCAGTGAGAGTTTTCAATGTTTCACTTTTGGAAGGGATATAAACTAGTTGAAATCTATTTTTCAGTGGAAAATTATGGAAGAATTCTGGCAGTGAACTGACATCAATTGGGTGGTAAGTAGTAGCAGATCTTTTTTTTGGCATACTGTTGAGACGAAGATACAGTATAACTGCAGAAAATAGTAACGGTGTCAAAATTTCAAGGACTGTTACCAGAGTCTTCCGCTTCTAAAATAAAAACAAAAACTACATGTTAACCCAAAAGAATACAAGTGTAAATCACTGTGTGGAGAATATTCTTCCACTAAGAACCTTCTCATTTCTTCCAGCTTCCCTAGACAATACATGAAAAGGGAAAAAATAGAATGAGAACTAGCTAGAAACATCTCCATTCAGCTTTTCTATAACACTAGTGACTAGAAATCAGTAACAATGATGTCATCTTTAATAGTGAGGGTTAACAGTATTATTACAGAGACATTTGCAAAAAAGAGACCCTTTTACAAGTTAAGTTCTTAATTTTTCTTTAACCATTAGTAACCAATTAACTTAAATAATCAGGCACCCCCAAGGACCGACATCTTCTTCACAGATACCCATACCCACTTTTAAGATGAAATTCTTCCAGAGAAGAAGTTTTAACTTCTTGAGCACTGCCATTTTCCCAGCTGAAGAGGAAGCTCTCCACTGTGAAGAAACAAAGGGGAAATATCAGCCACAATTCAAAACGGTTAAGAGGTAATCTGTCATCCTTAAACAGCTTTCCACTTGTGGGCTTTCAGAACATCATGCCAGATGACTTTTCCTTTCACCTTCCCAGCCATCCCTTCTCAGTCTTTTGGGGCAATTCTTTTTCATCTTTCCAATCTCTAAACATTAATATAATCCAGGACTCAGTTCCTGGACTTCTCTCTTTTCCAGCAACATTCACTCCTTAGGTGATCTCCTTCAGCCTTGGGTTAGGATCTATCTACTTGTGGATGATACCTACATTTATATCCCCAGCCTGAACCTTGCTTCAAACTCTAATCCCAAATATCGAACTGTTTGCTTGACATCCCCATGTGTTTTATCTCAAACTTGACCTGACCAAACAGGGCTACGCATGTCCTTCTAAAACAGGTCATACTACAGTCTTCCTAATCTCAATTCCATGTCTGTTCCATTCTTGATATGTATAATAGGAATTATTCCTGGCTTTTTTTTTTTTTCTGTCTCCTTCTCAATAATTGGAGCCTAAATCCGGTTTATCAAGCAAATACTGAAGGGCTCTTAAATCTTTGAAATATTACCCAGAATTCCAACCCCCTTTCACCAACCCTACTCTTAGTATCCCCCGTGCCTGGAATTTCCTGCCTTTGCAATACATTTTGCCTACTTTTGCCGCCTTTATACCCAGTTTTTTTTTTCCACGCAGTGGGATGAAAGTGACCAGATTCAAGCATATAAACGTCCACTCCCTCTGCCCAAAACTCTCTGATGGCTCCCATCTCCTTCCAGGGAAAAGTCCTTTCCCTTAGAATGACCTACAGAGTTTCTGCTGGTATAGTCTATTAACATTCTCAATCTCATCTATGTCAAGCTTCCATCCTTTCCCTGCTCCTATTGTCTACAGGCCTACCTACTGTTCCTAGCCACATACACACACTCTGCCCTTCAACACTTGGTTTCCTTTGGCAGTGTACAGTACTCACTTTCCTCATGTGTTAATAACAGCAGCTCTAATTTCTCAGATTTTTAGTCAAAAGCCACCTTTCAATGAGGCTTCTTTAGTCCACATAACTTCACCACCTGTAAACTTTCCTGTCTTTATCATGTTTTTTTTTTTTACTTTTTATTTTTTTTATTTTATTTCCCTCCCTTACTCCCCCCTGCACTCCCCCTTACCCCTCGCTACCAGCAGAAACTATTTTGCCTTATCTTCTAATTTTGTGTGAAGAGAGAGTATAAAGCAATAATAGGAAGCAAGGGGTTTCTGCTAGTTGAGATAAGGATGGGTTATATCAGGGAGTTGACTCGCACTGATTTTCCTGTGCATGTGTGTTTATCTTCTAAGTTAAGTTCTTTCTGGAACTAAAACTTTTCTCTAGTTCCTGGTCCCCCCCCCCCCCTCTCCTATTGGCCCTCATTGCTTAAAGTATCTCTGCTTTAGTTTTCTCTGATTGAGGGAACAAATGCTATTAGTTTTTTGGGTGTCTTACCTATCCTCACCCCTCCTTGTGTGCTCTCCCTTTTCATGTGATCAAGTCAATCCCTTGTTGTGTTTGCCCTTGATCTAATGTCGCATATGAGGGAGAACATATGAATTTTTGGTCTTTTTGGCCAGGCTAACCCTCAGAATGATGTTCTCCAATTCCATCCATTTACCGCGAATGATAACATTTCATTCTTCTTCATGGCTGCATAAAAATTCCATTGTGTATAAATACCACATTTTCTTGATCCATTTGTCTAGTAGGGGCATCTTGGCTGTTTCCATAACTTGGCTATGTGAATAGTGCTGCAATAAACATGGGTGTGCAGGCCTCTGGATAACCTGAGTCACATTCTTTGGTATATCCAAGAGTGTATTGCTGGCAAATGGTAGATCTATGTTTAGCTTTTTAAGCCTCCAATTTTTTTCCAGAGTGGTTGTACTAGTTACATTCCCACCAAGTGTAAGAGGGTTCTTTTCCCCGCATCCTCGCCAACACCTGTTGTTGTGGTGTTGCTAATGATGGCTATTCTAACAGGGGTGAGGTGGAATCTTAGTGTGGTTTTAATTTGCATTTCCTTTATTGCTAGAGGATGGAGCATTTTTTCATGTGTTTTTGGCCATTTGAATTTCTTCTTTTGAGAAAGTTCTGTTTAGTTCACTTGCCCATTTCTTTATTGGTTCATTAATTTTGGGAGAATTTAGTTTTTTTAAGTTCCCTATATATTCTGGTTATCAGTCCTTTGTCTGATGTAGCTGGCAAATATTTTCTCCCACTCTGTGGGTGTCTCTTCAGTTTAGAGACCATTTCTTTTGTGAGCAGAAGCTTTTAGTTTTATGAAGTCCCATTTATCTATGCTATCTCTTAGTTGCTGTGCTGCTGGGTTCCATTGAGAAAGTCTTACCTATACCTATATCCAGAGTATTTCCTACTCTTTCCTGTATCAACTTTAGAGTTTGGGGTCTGATATTAAGATCCTTGATCCATTTTGAGTTAATACTGGCATAAGGTGATATACATGGATCTAGTTTCAGTTTTTTGCAGACTGCTAACCAGTTTTCCCAGCAGTTTTTGTTGAAGAGGCTGCTATTTCTCCATCGTATATTTTTAGCTCCTTTGTCAAAGACAAGTTGGTTATAGTTGTGTGGCTTCATATCTAGGTCCTCTATTCTGTTCCACTGGTCTTCATGTCTGTTTTGTGCCAGTACCATGCTGTTTTTATTGCTATTGCTTTGTAATATAGTTTGAAGTCAGGTATTGTGATACTCTCCAGCATTGTTTCTTTTGACTGAGTATTGCCTTGGCTATTCGTGCCTCTGTGTTTCCATATAAATTTAAGGTAGATTTTTCAATCTCTTTAGATGTCATTGGATTTTGATGGGAATTGCATTAAACATGTAGATTACTTTTGGGAGTATACATTTTTACTATGTTGATTCTACCAATCCATGAGCATGGAGATCTCTCCACTTTCTATAGTCTTCCTCAATCTCTTTCTTCAGAAGTTATAGTTTTCCTTGTAGAGGTCTTTCACATCTTTTGTTAGGTTTACACCTAGGTATTTGATTTTTTTTGAGGCTATTGTAAATGGAATTGTTTTCATATATTCTTTTCAGTTTGTCATTATTAGTGTATAGAAATGCTAATGATTTTTCTATGTTGATTTTATATCCTGCTACCTTGCTATAGCTATTGATGATGTCTAGAAGCTTCTGAGTAGAGTTTTTTGGGTCTTTAAGGTATAGGATCATGTCGTCTGCAAATAGGGATATTTTGACAGTTTCTTTACCTATTTGTATTCCTTTTATTCCTTCTTCTTGCTAATTGCTCTGGCTAGGAATTCAGTACTATGTTGAATAGGAGTGGAGATAGTGGGCATCCTTGTCTGTTCCTGATTTTAGAGGGAATGGTTTCAGTTTTTCATGTAAGTATAATGCTGTAGGTTTGTCATATATAGCTTTTATAATGTTGAGGTACTTTCCTTCTATTCCTAGTTTTCTTAGAGCTTTTATCATGAAATGGTGTTGGATCTTATCAAAGGCTTTTTCTGCATCTATTGAGATGATCAAGTGGTTTTTGTCTTTGCTTCTGTTAATGTGGTTTATTACGTTTATTGATTTTCGTATGTTGAACCACCCCTGCATTCCTGGGATGAAGCCTACTTGGTCGTGGTGAATATCTTTTTGATGTGTGTTGAATTCGGTTTGCCATTATTTTATTGAGGATTTTTGCATCAATGTTCATTAAGAGATTGGCCTATAGTTTCCTTTTTGGAGGTCTTTGCCTGGTTTTGGGATAAGTGTAATACTGGCTTCATAAAAATGTGTTAGGCAGTTTCCTTCCCTTTCTATTTCATGGAACAGTTTAAGAGGGTTGTATCAGTTCTTCTTTAAAGGTCTGATAGAATTCAGCAGAGAATCCATCAGGTCCTGGACTTTTCTTTTTGGGAGACTCTTGATTGCTGCTTCAATTTCATTTTGTGTTATAGATCTATTCAGGTGATTAATTCCTCTTGGTTCAGTTTTGGATGATCATATGTATCTAGAAATCTGTCCATTTCTTTAAGATTTTCAAATTTATTTGAATATAGGTTCTCAAAGTAGTCTCTGATGATTTCCTGGACTTCCATGGTGTTTGTTGTTATCTCCCCTTTGCATTCCTGATTCTACTAATTTGGGTTTTTTCTCTCCTCATTTTGTCAGGTTTGCCAGGGTCTTTGATCTTGTTTATTTTTTTCAAAGAACCAACTTTTTGTTTCATTAATCTTTGTATGTTTTTTTTGGTTTCATTTCATTGATTTCAGCTCTTATTTTTATTATTTCTCCTTCTATTTGTTTTGGGATTTGCTTGTTCTTGTTTTTCTAGAGTTTGAGATGTATCATTAGGTCATTGATTTGGAGATCTTTCAGTCTTTTTAATACATGCACTCATGGCTATAAACTTTCCTCTCAGGACTGCCTTTGCTGTGTCCCATAGGTTCCAGTAGGTTGTGTTTTCATTTCCATTGACTTCCAGGAACTTTTTAATTTCCTCTTTTATTTCATCAATGACCCATTGTTCATTAAGCAATGAGTTATTCAGTTTCCAGCTGTTTGCATGTTTTTTGTCTTTATTTTTGTTGTTGAGTTCTAGTTTTATTGCGTTGTGATCAGATAGAATGCATGGTATAATTTCTATTTTCTTATATTTGCTGAGGCTTGCTTTGTGCCCTAGGATATGATCTATTTTGGAGAAGGTTCATGGGCTGCTGAGAAGAATGTATATTGTATAGAAGTTGGATGAAAATGTTCTGTAGACATCAACTAGGTCCATTTTAGATCTAGGATTTCTTTATTGATTTTTTGTTTGGATGACCTATCTATTGATGATAGTGGGGTGTTAAAGTCTCCCACAACCACTGTGTTGGCATTTACATATGCTTTTAGGTCTTTCAGGGTATGTTTGATGAAATTGGGTGCATTGACA